CAATACTATAAAAATACAGGGCTTTTTAGAAGAAGAAAGGAGCAATCAGCTTACTTATCTGTGAATCTGAATTCCCTGAAACCCAACTATATGCATTATTGCCACTGGCCCATTACATATCTGGCCAGAAAGATGGGTTAAGGAGTACGAAGGGATCAGGACTAGTTGTGGTCCGGTGTAGGAATGACAATATAGAGCCTGGCTTCATAAAGATGAGCGTTTTATGCATCCTTAACTTACACTCTATTTTAATTGCCGCGTGATCCTCCGAGGCTCCTTCCCTTGCTTCAGCTCCAAGTCCAGGTTCAAGTCCAACTCACAGGTCTCACCGATCTCATGTGCAATTAAACAATCCGTGTGGAGGATCGGGATCGGGATCGGGAACGAGGAGGAGCAAGTGGAGCAAAGGGAGCCGGGAAAGGAAGCCAGGCAAAAGCAAATTTACGTCCGCTGTCAAGAGGCAGCGACGTAGCGTATTTAATATTTTTCAGCGTGTTTTACCTTTTCATGTTGTGTCATCATCAGCATCACCACAGTGCACTTGAAGAAATATATAGGTTTCTTTTAGGTTTTTTTTTATATATTTATAAAATGTAATTGATATTTAATGCAAGTGGGATTCCTAAGTGCTTTACTTTCTTCATTAAAACTTTCTTTGTATCTGTTCCTATGAGATTAATTATTAATTTCTGTAAGATAAATAGTAAACAACAATTATTATTTTCTATAATTATTTATTTTCATTTTGTATACCTTTGAATGGTATTCTTAATTCAGACAGATGTCTAAAACACAGTGAAGGATCATTTCCGACCCTATAAATCATATATATTCTTGATTAGAATTAACAGGGGAATCGATCTACCCAATATCCGGTCAAAAATGAAATTTTCAAAATTTTTCAATTTTTTCAAAAAAAGATAAGGTACATCGTTAAATTGCCAAAAATTGTAATTTTTAAATATTCTAAATGGAGTATGCAGATTTATTAACCGTCTAAAAACTAACTAAGAACGTTTTCCGAATTAAAATTAATGCTTTTTTGGCTAAGTTATGAGATTTTTCAACTTGATTTATTGAAAAAATTTGTCATATTAAAATTTAGGTAAATATTTATTAAAAAGAACAACAATTATAAGCTCAGTTATGATTATTTCCAATTTGATGGGAAACAGTCTTTCCTAATGCTTGATGGTCGTGAAAGGTGGTTAAATGCGTTAATTAAGTATTTTATTATTTTAAAATGGAAAACTTAAGAACATTTTTATATTTCGTATAATATTTGCTAAGAATTTTCACTTGTTGATACATAACAATTTCCATATAAAATATCTTGAATAATGTATATTTTATGGACTTGTCTACATTAAACAAATAATGAAAAATTTGTAATAAACTATTTTAAATACTTTTAGTTTCTTCCTTACAAATATATATTTTCAAATAATTTAATATCATAACTAACATAAAAAATCTTTAAAATCTCGCATAAAACAGTAAGCAAATATTTACCGTGCATCCTCGGTCACTGCAAAAAGATACAGATACTCGGACACTCGCGATCCTGTTCCTTTCCGAATCGCAATGGATTGTGCGGGGGGATTGGTGGAGGGGGATCACAAATTTGTACGCTCAACTACAAACTAAAAAGTCTTAAAGTCTTAAAAGCATTTGCAGCCCAAAAGGCAACGGCGAAGGCAAAAAGTAAACACAATAAAGGCATAAAAATTGCGAGTGAGCAAAGCAAATAAAAATCGAGGAGAGCGAAAAAAGATGCGAAACAAAATGCTGACCACTGGCCTGGAGGAGGTAGTGGTAGAGCACGAGGAGGAGGAGCAGGAGGAAGAGGGTAGTCCCCGATGCGGAGGGAGCACTGTTGTTTTGTATCTGTGCTGCTCATTTGCACTTGGAATACAAAAGATACATTTTCGTAAGACCATTTTGACATGACAAGATAACGACAAGCAATCCGACCGAGCGAGCCAGCGACTCACCACTATGCGAGGATGAGGATGGGGATGAGGATGAGGCTTCGAGGAGGAGCTGCCGGGGACAAGGAGGCAGTGGAGCAGTAGTGGAGCTGGCCAGGGGACACCACTGTACCGCTCATTGGCTCCTGGCATTCCCTCTACGGCCGACCTTTGCCAGAGTGTTTCGTATTTTAATTTTCATTACGGCCACCTTGGCTTAACCGCCCAACACGGAGAGAAAACTTAATTTAGGAAAATTAAAAATAAAATATGTAGTAAGATTATTAAATCGATTAGGTGTTACTTTAATACGAAATTTGTTAGGGAGGTGATTTGAAACTCAAAAATGCTATATCTTCAGTATCTTTTACTCTCAACAAGTTGTTTAAGTCTTCCAATAACTTTATAACCATTTTTATATATATTTTTAAAGAAATATTACTAGTTTTTACAGAGTTTCTATTGATATTTTTATTAAATAGTTGAAAAATATAATACAAACATTTCCCTATTCACAAACAGATACTTAAAACCCTTCTAACCCTTTAAAGGATCTTCTAATAACAATCTGATTTCTTCTGTAATATTTTCTTAAATTATGCAAGTCACCCATAAATATTCTCTCAGTGTTGTGTACAATCCCCCGTCGCCACCTTTCAACCACTAAAGGTTCTTGAGAAGCTGCGCCATCGACGACAGAGCAGCGAATTTCGCATCCCGCGCAGGCAGCTCAAAAGTGAGTATTTCCAAGAAATTGCAAATTATTTTTGAGCCGAGCGCCTGCGCCTGCGCCTGTCTCTCCCTGAGATCCCCGATCTCAGACCCGGCTTTAGCCTCAAACTCCAGCTGAAGCCGGGCTCCGAGGCAGAGCAGAAGCCGCCGCCAAAATGAGTTAGCATCCCAATATACCCCTGGCCGGCTGGTTGCCTCTGGTGTCTGGTTTGTGTGTGTGAGGGTTACTTTACCTCGAGATACTTTCATACCCATTGACACTCTCGTTCCCTGCCGACCCGCCAGCCGATCCTCGGATGAGTTGCTGTCCAGCCATCAAGTGCCCCAACTCCAGCAAGTTGGATGCCCGATCCCCGCCGCAAAACTCCTTTTCCTGTTCGTTCCATAAAGTCGTGTTTATGCCTTCTCATAAACATTTTTATTTTAATGATTTTTATTATTGCGCACATTCGTTACTTTTTATACATTCCCCCAAGAAGTGAGGAGGATCGCATTGCTTTGGCGGGGTCCTCGCTGGGATATCGGATTTGTATTCTGTGTCCTGGTCTTGGCCAGCTAAGTAGTTGGACCTACCTGTGATCCTGTTACTAAACAAATACACATAAATATATTTTGTTTACTTATCCCTGAAAAGGGAAGCCAGTGTAGGAAAGTTGCTTGGGGGATATTATTACAAGGATGTGTAACTTTGGCAGGGAAAAGTAAATACAACATAGAAATATTTAATATGGAACATATACTTTCAGATTTTCCATAATTCCTTAGCTTAGTTTTGCAGTTAAAGATTTAATCAAGCAATTAACTTAAATTGATTTCGATTCCTGGTTGGCTGAACTGATTTCCCCCTGGAAGGTAGAGGGGCTGCACAGCCATCGGGTCACCTTTCATGTGGGGATTGGGTTAAGTTGATGGCTGAGCCGGGGCAGTCCTTCGCATTTGCAACCAATAAAAATTAATTTACGTTCGATTGCAAGGTTTTCGCCGACACCGCCTGCGTTGATGACACATAAAATGCCACATTTACGGCCCCTTAAGATCCCAAACTCCACTCTTGTCTTTCCGCCAGCATAAAAGTGCTCACCTCGGGAAAAAATGGCGATAGTGAGGGGTAGAAGGTATACATATCATACCTCTCAAAGACTCCAAATCTCATTCGGTTTCAGTACTCGGCTAAGACCTAAGATTAACCGCCATTGCAGAATTGACCGTTTGGCGGCTCTTGGGATAAAAGGCTATCTCCCCCCTCCTGCAAAACCCTGGGGATCATCGCGGTATAGACCTTTCCAGGAATCGGAAACTGGGTTTAGACGGAAAGACCGCACACCGTCTGGCTCTCTGGTGAAGCCTGCAGTTCGGCAATTTCACCTTGAAGCTCTCATTGCTTTGAAGTTTTGGCCAAGTTTTGCCAGTTAGAAATTAATATCCCATTTGTTGGGTTTTATTTTCGAGTTTTTAAAGAATGAAATATATATAGTACAGGATAGTTTTTTGAGGAAATTATAGATACTAACATATATTTTAAATATTAATAAAAATACGACATTTATTAATAGATTTTTATATCCTTTCTTTTTCTAATTTTGCAATAAATGGCTTTGGTTCAACAACTTTTTATTCTAAATATAATTCTTGGCTAAAATAAGAAAGGAACTTTAATTTAAAAAGAGTTTGCAATTACATTATAGGATCGAATCGGAAATCGATCATAACTAAGCTTAAAATATCAGAATTTTGTGAATAAATATTAATCTATATTTTTATGGGACAATTTTTATTGAAAAATCAAAAGCTGTTGATTCTGATCAAGAATTTATAGGGTTGGAAATGACTCCTTCACTTAGTTTTAAGCTTCTGACTAAAATTATAATACTCTGAAATAATATAAGGGGTTTTTAATGCATACATTTATCCATTCATTCAATAAATTAATTCATATTTACGAAAATGCAATATTTATTAACAGATTTCTAAATCCTTTAAAATCTAATATTTCAAAAAACACCTTTGGTTCTACCATTTATCCTTCTAAATACAATTCTTGTCCAATTCACTTGGCGGCGCCTTTTAAATTCGTTTTATATTCCCGTAAAAAGAAAAAGAAAAAAAAAAACTGTTGAGATAAACTTGAAGCAGGCTTCAGCTTCAAGTTGATGTAGGTCTCTGCTAATCCGTATTCGGCATGCTCTTCTCAATCGGTGGGAAAATATCATTCAAATCATTATAAATTCAAAAACAAATAGATTTTAAGTGGATGCTTATGAAACAAATAAAAGTTTCCAATAAAATAAGCAGCGTGTATACATTAACGACCATTACGAATTACATAATTTATTATTTATTTGTTGTAACAATGCGTCAGCTTAGTTTAACTATTTAAATCTAGGGCGCTACCGCTTAAGCTCAAGCGTATTTGGTTTTGTAAAGTAATTAAGTCAAAGGTTTAGCGGCGTGGCTTTTCCTCCAGTCGAGCCACCTTGCGTCGCAGCTCCACAAGCTCGGCCTGCAGACGATCCACATGGCCGGGTGCAGCGGGAGCTGCAACTGGCGGAGTTGCTGCTGGGACAATGGCTGGCCTGAAGGGCACCGAACCCTCCACGCTGGCAATAGAGAAGTCCGGATGAATCTGGGGTGTTCTAACATGTTCGCTGGCTGGGTTGGCAACTGGAGCCACACTGGGACGTACTACAGCAGGCGTTGGAGCTGGATTATTGATTGCAGCAGTGCCTCGATGGTTGGCTATCAGTTTATGCAGCTTGGATACGGCACTGTCACGTTGCGAGTCGAGCAGCAGACGCATTGCTTCCTGGTCGCCGGAACGCGACTTCTCCAGCGAATCGGAATCATCGATGAGCACATAGTTGATGACGTGGGCATGGGTGCCCGGCTTAATGCGATAGATGGGCTGGCCCCCATCGCCACAGGTGGCCTTCGAAATGGAAGGAATGTCGCACATTTTTGCCATCTTGCCGCCGACTTGAAAGATCGATGTGTGACCATTGACAACCAGGGCTTGGGCAGTATATACGGGTTGGACACAAACTGACAGCACTTCCTCTTGGTCTTGTCCACCACGGTGGCCACCTTGCAGCCGGCTGTGTTGCAGGCTCTCAGCGGCATCAGCGAATCTCCGCCAGAATTGGCAGTTGTTTGTGCCGGGTTTGATTGCTGCATGTTTGTTTTGTTTTTTCCAGCTTTTGTGTGTTCGATATCTGTGATGTTTTATCGCTTTCAGCTGACCAATTAGTTGTTCCAATGCACAGAGTTTTCAGTCAGCTTTTAGCTGTTTTAATTTAGCAATTATATTGTTTAGTTTCACGCAGGTTTAGCGTCGCCGCGAGTAATTTTTTACTTTTATTTGTTAGTGCTGGAGAAATCCCTGATAAAGCCATTTTCCAACACTACCGCCTGACGTAAAATACCGAACAAAAATACCATTTTTCGCAGTGCGCCTGTCGATAAGTCGATAGGCAAGATGGCGGGTAATTTGAAATATTAGCAAAGAATAGGAAAAATATGTTATTTCTCTCATTTAATAATTGCATTTTATCTTGTTTTATAAGTTGCAATATATACAATGATAAAATTACGATATTCGGTATTGAAATTTATTCAAAAAGTCATTAAAATGATTAGAAACCTAAATGTTTTTGTTAAAACAATTAAACTCCTAGAAAAACAGGATTTAAAATAGAAACGAATGCTTAGCAAACAGAATAATAGTCAAGTTTGAATATTGGTTACTTAAAAAAATGAAATAATTTACACTAATCACCTAAATAATTACAATTTGCATATAAAATCGGAATGAGTGCATTCAGGTGTCTGGCAAAATCAGTGCGTGGGTGCAACGACCACTGAGATGACCTCGAAATGGAGTCGGCAGATGGAATGGCACTGGGTGGAGCGGAGATGGTGGAGTTGCACCCGCTTCATTTACATTCCAAGTACTTTAAAAGCGGACGCGAACGAAGCGGTCGTTAAAAGATGCATCGGGTTTTTAGTACTGAAACCGCGAGAGCGGACAGTTCCAGCCGCCGCCAGCTTCTTTAATTTCCACTCGTCAATCATCCATCTCTCGGCCAAGTTGGCCGGCACTCAGAGTTGCAGCCTCATTGTTGGCTCAAATGAAATAATTACTTTAGCACACAGCGGACTGACTGCGTCTGGAGATGGAGATGGAGCTGGATATCTTCTGCTCCCTGTGCCCCTGCGTGCATCTGCATCCTTAGTCATGGCCAATATATCGACTCGCATTAACCACGACAACTGCAGAGAGGACGAGGCAACAGGGCTGCAATAAAAATCCACCAACACGTTTCGTCCCAAGTCCGGGAATAATAAGAAATGAAATGCCATTTATTAAGCATTAATAAGTGCAAGCATCCACGTCCATCCATCCTCCAGCCTCCATCCACCTCCATCTACGCCAAGTGCTCCAAGAGGAGCACTCCCATCTGACTCAGCATGCGATGGCCGATGCGATGCCTGTGGCCATTTGAGCTCCTTTTTCCCCCAATCCCTGGTCCCTCTCTCTCTCTCCTTGAGACTTGGTTAGTGTTATGCTAACATGCAGGCACCATTTTGGCCATAAAGTCGCTTCGGGAAGGCAGTTTTCAAGCAAATAAAATCTTTACTCAACGGGTGGCAGGACTCAAATTTGGCTCAATTTATATCCTGGTCTATGGTTTGTTCTATTTTGGGGGGTTTACAAATGTGGGTCAAAGTTTAAAATATTATTTCAAAGCTTTTTTTATAAAATTACCAATAAAAATTGCACAACTTTGATGAGATCCTTTTGTTTCCACCAAAAACTGTATACCCTTTGCTGCCAGTGACTAATCAGAATTCAAGTTGAGTACCTGAGGCCTTAAAAAACTGCAAAAATAAAGCAAGAAAAAACTGCACACAAAGGACCGTCGGCACCTGCAGGGCTAACTTAATTAAATTCCATTGCGTTTTGGCTCAGAAATGTGCGCAACATGATGCAATTATGAATTATAAAATTAATATAAAGCGCACTTAACATGCAGGAACGTCGACGGCAGCGGAAATATTTCACCGAATCCAGCCCACAGACTGAGAGTCCGAAACCCGAACCCAAACCTCGAGTCTGAGCCCATGTCCAGGTAGAGTACTCTCCCAGAGAATGGAGGTATCCCATCCCAAACCCCTTCCTTAATTCACCTTTTGCAAAGGCGACTTGGGTGTGGACCCTCAAACTTTTAATTGCAGGGAGCACATGTGGAGAGCTTGGTTTTTGGGAGCTCAAAGTGCAAGACCTTATTCAAGACCTTGCTTTGAAGAATTAAGATTTAGCTGGCCTACAAATTGTATTAAAGCATTACTGATAGTGTTTTGCTTTATTTTTTGTTCATTTCTTTTTGTATCAACAGTATTACCTTTAAGAGTTCTCTTAAATATATCTTATTTATTTGTATAAATTCTTAAGGATAGAAAAGATAGGGTAGAAATATCATGATTATTATAATTGTATCATGGAAAGGATGGGGTATAATTAGTCTGTCAAGAATTAATTAAATTTCAAACAATCTGTCAATTAATATATATTGCCTTCATTTAAATAAAACCTTCCACATATAATTTCATAAATGAATAAATTTGTTAAATGTCTGATTGCTTCGCGAATTCGTCCAATACAATTGTCTGCATTACAGAGTAGAGTTTATTACCGCTCAGGAAATATATATTAAACAGGGATAATGGAACTTAAAATGGGATGCCTTCTGGCCATACCACGTGCAATTGATGGTGGACCCTTGGACCCTCGTCAAGGCAGATCGATTCGGACAGTTTGCATCCAAAGTTTTTCGGCGAGTCATGCCACTTTACACGGAATTTGGCGTAATGAGAAAGTATTAGTGTGGGTGTTGGGTTGGGTGTGGCAAGAGGTCAATGAACTTGCCGCCTCAATGAATACCTGAGCAGGTGACAACCCTGTGCAATTGCCACCAAAAATAAGAAGACTCGAAAAATGCACACACGTCGCAGCGAGGCATCTAATGGCCGCGGCATGTGAACACGTCTGGGACTTGTCTGCCACATCGAACAAGTTGCATCCTTTTAGCTTTACTTCACCATATCGCTCCTTACTTTATTTCCACTTTATTTTATTTATTTTTATTTTTTAGGCAGTTTGGGTATATACAAAAAAATTAAATTCCACGACATCGCTGGCCAACACATGACATTCGGTTCGGTGGTAACAGTAGCAACAACAATGAGAAGTTTTTTTGGCAGAAGAAATATCAGCATGGAATGATGTTTATGAGGGTTGATACTGGTTTAGGAATTGATAATGTATAAATAATAAAAATATTAATACAATATTAAAAGTTATTATATATACTAATTGAAACTAATAAGTGCGCTCTAGAGAAAGCTAGAGGAAAGCTGGAGGAAGTAGAGACGGTAAATTAAAGACCTTAATAATCAAGAATATTATTAGTATTATAAAACAATTTTTACACACAGTTAGGAACTTTTTTATGTGATTTAAATGTTGTATCATTTAGTCATTAAAGGGGTTTATCTATCTAGAATAATCCTATTCTCTATAACAATCAAATAAGTTAATTTTTATATCTTTAAATATAAAAAAACTCTGCTGCCTTTAAAAATATCATACTTTCTTTACTAACTTCAAAAGTTCTGGGTATCTTTTGTTCCTATTTTTCCTCAAAATTAATCCAGTGTTATTTGGCCATAATTAATATAAAATTCGCGAGGGCCTCTCTGTACTTGAGTGCGATCAAGTGAACAGCAAGCTGCGCCGAGGACAGTGGACAGACTTGAAAAACTCCTTGTCGTGGCTGCCATCGTCTGGCAGACTGGAATCAGACAGAGATGGGAGACGGGAGCCCGGAGACAGACGCAGACACAACACAACACTTCCAGCAGTGCGCATGCGTAGCATAGCGTATCTGTTAGAACCACCGCACACAGATACTCCACTCACACACACACGCAGGCGAAAAAGCACTTGCAAAAGCAGACAGACAAGCAAGTCGATCGCGAAAAAGGCGAAGACAAAACGAAACGGAGACAAAACACAGAGAGAATACAGCAAATGTTTTTATTTAACCTTGACTTTGAAATTCTCATTGCAAAAAGCCAAAGGAATGCACGCAGAAATAAACAGATACTTATATACTTTTAGTGCTATGTTTATATATGATGTGTGCTTGTGCGATTTAAAGCTTTTCTTGGTTTTATTTTTCATTTCCGGTTTCGCTTTCTATTTGATTACTCAAGGATCATCTTGTTCTAGGGAGGGTTTTGGGGGTATCGAGGGGGCTTTGATTTGAAAGGGTTTATTTGTTAACCATATAGATCATTTCTAGATTTTTTTAGATTTTAATTGTATTTACTTAACTTGCAGCTTGGGAATTGATTCAGGAACTAAATACCGCAACCATTACATTGCTTTTAATGTACCTTCTTTGATTATTATTAATTTAATTTAATTATTATTAAGAGTTATGATTTAAATTTAATAATTATGATTTGTATCTTTTTATAAAATCGAATTTATCTACAAGATATGTACGTTTTAAATCAGTATCCTATATATCTCTAAATATATATATTTATTACAAATGAGTTTTCTATAAATTATTATAGTATTATATTCTATATATTATTAAATCATATTCTATATATATTTATATCCCATATACCATATTTTTCTTTTACAGATGAGATCTAGTCGGAAGAAGAGTTTTGAAACCATTTACAGAACTTAGAAAATTGGAGTATATACGAAGAGCCAGGGATAGGATCGGATTATATATAAAGCTCAGCTCAATTTTGGAGCCAACTGCAATACTTTTGTACGCCGTGAGAATTGCGGAACCAAAAGGTAAGATACTACATTATATTATTAATTATTTTTATATATTTAAAATAGAATAAAAGTATTCTTCTAAATACCTTAAAGGCAAAGCTCCCCAGCAAGTATAGGATATAAATATTTATCTAAATATTTTCCCCTAACCCATTTTTGGAATACTGTTGAACCAATCTCTCTTTGAAACCTACACACCATTAAATATGCACATCAAACTGTTTCTAAATCTTTGGTCATCTGTGGACTATCCTGTAATTGGAATGCCCTTTGGAATTGTATCTGTGACCCTATTTCTGGCCAGAACATCCGTTTCGGCAGTGCATCCGCCAGCACGATGGCACCATTAATCGAATTGAATACGACTGTATCCTTGTGGCGGGCCCTCATCCTTACGCCATCCTTCCCATCCTTCCTCTCTTCTCCTCTCACCATAGAAATCCACTTTGAATGGAATTTGAAAATCGATAAATGGCAATGGCGACGGAAATTGCTGTTGCATGGCGGTTGACACCGTGTTAATGGGCCACTTATAACGGCTTTGTTAGCGCTGCTTGCACACGGATCGTCTCCTCATCCTGTCCTGGTACTGCCTCCTGCTCCTCCCTTCCGTTGCCTCATCCTGCGGGCATTTTGGCCTTGTTTTTGCCGTCGCAGCAGCTGCTGCTGCTGTTTTTGGCCAACGACGACACGTGCCATGTTCCAAAAGCATGAATTATCCAGGCGCACTCCGAGCTCTCTGTTCCGCTTTCCTTGGCGGAAAGGTGTTCGCCTGAGCTGCCGCTAATTAAATTTAATTTAAAACAAAGCTCGGCATTTCGTCAACGTTCGCGAGTGGAGTGGAGGATCCCGATGCCCAAAAAACGTAGCCAGTGTTAACTCGTAATTGAGGACTGCTGTTGGTGGTGAACAGTGTCTTAAATTAGCGACACGAGTTTGGGTCCTGGCTCCTGGCTCCTTTTTTGCTGTTCCGATCAAATTAGATGCCATAAAAAATGTTAGACTTCAGAGGAGTGTATAATGCACTGGGAGAAAATTAAGGGAATTACAAAAGTAAGAGGTTTATTGATGGGTTTATGGTATTTTTAAACAAATCTTTTTCTTCTTTTTATGAAAAGTTCTTCCCTTGGAAGTCATTGAAACCCACACAATTTTCTCTGTGCAAAAACCAGGACTAAAACTTTGGTGGATCCTGCCACGGACCTTTTGCTAAGTACCGAGACATGTTATTGGCTTGTCTGTCTTTCTTTCTTGTTTTGAGTCAGCCTGCTATGGTGTATCCTTCTTTGGATCCTGCTCCACCTCTTTTTGGCCGCAGGACCAAGTCAAAAAGCAGCTGGGACTTAGTCTTAGGCGCTGTCTAAGCGAAGGCAGGTGGCTCGAGCCATTGGCGATTAAAAGTCAGCGATCTCCAACGACCATTGTCTAAAACAAAAAGAAAAACCAAAGAAACCCAAAAGGAAAGGATGAGAATAGCCAGAAAGGAGCACCAAGTAAACAAAGCAGGCTTTAATATTCATTGATCATTCTACCCAGTAAAGTCAAGTCCAATTAAAACGCCACATAAACCATAAACCCCGAAGGCCAGAGCTTCAAAAAGAATCGATGTGGGATCATTAGAAAACCCAGAGGAGAAGTGCACCATTTTCAATTGGAGTTTCCAGTTAAGATGTATATCTTGGGGCCATGTCTGGGTTTTGATCCACAAAACAAGTATTTGTTTACCGTTAGGCGGAGCAATCAAAACGGCGATCCACCGCTCTTCCGCGGGGGTTCCCCACTTTGAAGGCCAGCGGCCGGCGAAACCCTATGATTAAAATTTAGGTCCGAATACTCGGGGATCATCATTTCGTGTATATATATTGACTATATATATGCATGTGCGTAATTGCCCGTCTTTGATCGCGATCCTTCTCAAAATTAAAGTGAACTCCCCCCTTTCAAGAGGGGAGGGAAGGGGAAGAGCTACCTGCGGTTCATGTTAGATTTTAAAATAATATCAACTTGATGCACGCTTTTTCGTATAAGCTAAGCAGGCAAAGGCTTATTATTGCTTATTTTCAGCAAAGAAATTAATAGTATAACTACGATCACAAATTTGGTGTGTTATTCACATATGAATTAAGGCAACAGTAATGGATTTTATAAATTAACTGATTGTATAAGAAACTATGATATGTCGGAATGGTTTTCATTTTTTTTAACTTAAAATAAACTAAAATCGGATTTTCAATAAAAGTAAACATGGCCATAAGTCAAAATTACCTAAGGAAGAATATATTTACATATTCTTTAAAAACTAAATAGAAAAAATCTTATTTTAACATATAAAATAATTTACAAAGAATAATTTCTTCTTATTTTTTTCCCTTGTTCCCTTGTTATTTTTACCACTAAATAATCAATAATAAACCATTATACCAATTACTCTTTGCTTCCTTTTATAAATTACGTATTTACCTTACTTCTTGGAATTTAAATTTGTTTTATTTGCATCAGATCAATTTAGAAATTCTTTTTAAATTTATGCACTTCAGATAAAATTTATGAGCTTTGGTTTTGACTCAATTATGACCTTTATTTGTCATAAATTGGATATGCAAATGGTCAAAGTCAGGGAAGATCTTATTTAGAGGAGCTTAACTCATATGGAAATACATTTTGTTGGTTTTTATTTAAATTTCAATGTTAAATTTAAGTTAAGCTAATAAAACGATATTGAAAACGATCGAATATCGTACAAAAATACTAAAATCTCTCCCATATACAGTAGTAGAATCTCATATCGTATGGTTTGTGTCTCAACTTTAAACGTAAAATTGATGTGAAATTTTTATACTGGTGTGTAAAATGAATATTGTTTAGTTTTCTTCCGAATTTATAAAATATAAATCTAAGCAGATATTGGTCATAAAACAAATTAATAATAAGATAACAGTTTGACAAGTTTAAAAAACTCATAACTAAGTTAAAAAGCTTTAATTTTAATTCGGAAAGCGTTTCTATGCTAGTTTATGCTTATAAAATTAAAAAAAAAAAATTCAAAAATTTATTTTTTTAAGGGACATGATATGTATAAGATTTATAGGGTCGGAAAAGATTTCTTCACTTTTTAAGCTCCTGACTGAAATTATAATACCCTGCAAAGGAATAACATATAATGATGAATGTACATATATTAATATTAAATATTTAAATAAATACATTTAATGCAAAAAAATAATATTAATGGGTCAATAAAGCAGCTGACGCCCCAAAAGCGTGATGAAAGATTTTTTGCCTTGCACTTTGAACATTATTATTTAATTGTTTTGGGATTCACCAATAAAATCAGAACAGACCGCATGGAGACAATATATTTGTGTTTGTAAGCGACTTTGAAGAACCCCTCAATTTTACCCAATTTCGTTGGCCAAGTGTTTGCTTTGCAGTTTTTTTTGTGAGTTGTGATAAAAAATGCAGAGTTTTAGTTTGTCGAGCCCTCTTTCGGAAGACCTATAAGAATGCCTCGTTTTGTGGGCAAAGTGACAGTTGTGTAAAATCTAGCATTAAACATGAAGTTCTTCGCTCTGATCATCGCTTCGCTTGTGGCCTTTGCCGGTGCCTCCTGTCCATATTCCGGCTACTCGGCGCCATCTTCCGGTTATCCTGCTCCTCCGTGTCCACAGAATTACCTGTTCAGCTGCCAGCCCAACCTGGTGCCAGTGCCCTGTGCCAAGGAGGCGTCGTCTTATGGCTCCGCTGGAGCCTACAGCGAACAGATGCCCCTCTACACCGGATATCCAATCACCAACAGAATCAGCAGTATCAGCAGAGAATAGGAGCAGCGGCTTTGCTTGAGGAACTGCGTGCTTTTAGCCAAGGAAACCAGGGTCAGCAGTACTAGGAAAAAGGATCATTAAATAAACGAAGAAGGAACTGCAGTTTCATCTGTGCTGAAGCTGTGGGAATTGACTTTAGGAACTTGAAAGACAATTATTAAAAAGCAAAAATCAAAAAAGTTTTTACTGTTTCAATTTGAAACGATTTTAGCTAATTGTTGAAATCTTTCAAATGGGTTAAAGTCATAAAATAGATGACAAGGACTTGCAATATTTTTAAAAAATTTGTGCGACTTTTTTTGTCTTTTATAAAAAAGAAAATATCAAAAATTCTTTCTACAATTTTAAATTAAATATATTTTATAATTACAAAAGTGATTTAAGTGTGGGAAAAGTGGTAAATTTAATAACGCAAACTTGTAGGATTTTTGAAAAGATTTGTGAACTTCTTTGGCTATTTTTTTCAACTTTTTTGATTGAATAACTTATATTTTTGCTTTCTAAGTAATATTTATTTAATATGTTTACAGCTGTAATATTACTTTAATTTTGGTATATAATAATCATTTTGAAATATAAAAATATATATTTTTATATACAAATACATTTATATGTATAAATTCCTTCTCAAACAAAAAACACATGCTCAGCTAGAATGTCACTGCTGCTCTGATTTTGCTGTGTTTTGTATTATTACTGCAGTCGGTGTCATTAAACGGATTATTGAAAACCATTTTCCGAGCATTTTCCCCTCTTGAATTTTCCCATTTCTCAAACGATTCTCTCGATCTGTCTTCTCTCGACAAAGATTTTTGTCAATGGATGCGGCAGGCGGGTGCCAAAAAATAAATATATATATTTTGTCAGTCGAAATTGGTGTCTCTTGGACGCTCGGTCGTCGTCGGTCGTTGGTCGTCCGCTGTGATCTGCTCTATATAGCTTAAACGCATATAGATCAGCTATATAGTCCCGATTTTCCAGCAATATTTGATCTATAAACAGCAGCTGGACACGGTTCCGGTGGTTAGTGTCCGCGAAATCGCTGCCATGTGTCCATCTTTCTCCGTGTTGGCCAAGTTGTGACCCAATTTTGATGTGTGGCTGGCTGGCTGGCCATTTAACGATTAGTGGCCATTACGGTTGAGTGTTTGTTTATTTTTTGCTGTGTGCCACCGCACAAATGATTCCAAAAATGATTGCGTAATTTACTCAGTGGCGACAATTCGCGCGAAAAGAATTACTTCAAAAAGAAAGTTGAGTTTTTACTATTAATATTACGAGTGATTTAATTGAGTGGTCGCCATGAAGAAGCTGCATCTGGGGGCCAAGCACAAGGGCAAGTCCTACAAGCCCTTTAGGAACAAGAATCGAAGGGTGAGTTTATTGGTGAAGTGTCGGAGATCACTTTTTAAAGGTGAAGCTGGTGGTTACCCTGGGGCTTTGGATTTTACCTGATTTAGTGTCGCGGCCCTGCCCCCGGGCCCCGGGCGGAATTTTGTATATTTTTATCCACTCGATCGCTCGCTGACTGCTTGCCCAGCTCGTCAGGCTGTTTGCCACCATTTAAAATACACAAATACACAATACACACTCGTACACAGACCAACGGAGTGCCTACAGTGCGTATCAGTAATATGTGGCAACGGGGCGGATGAGTGATTTGGCGGTGGCTGCCACATTACTCATACGACATGTTGACTCAAAGAAATGCTTTATTTTTATTAAAAAACATTTTTCCTTCTTTAAATAACAATGGAGTGTAGGAATATAATATTTAAAACAATAAACTAATTTATATTTATTTAAATTTTTTTAGTTAGTGCCTTATAGTTTCGCCACACACTGTTTTCCTCTTCCAATTCCATGTGTTTTTGTCATTTTCTCTGGGTTTTCACAGACAATTGAGGGTGGGGGGGGGTTCTGAAAGGGGGGTTTTGGCCATCATCGCACCTCTTACTCATCTTCGGGATCTGCATAGTCGGCATGGCATGGTCGTAAACCCAGCCAATGTTGATACTTTTGCGGTGCTCGTAAACAACTTGGCGGATTCTCGGGTTTCCCCCTTTTACATGCAATGCGCCTCTGATTTGTTTTTATTTCTGAGGACACACAGAATGACACAAAAATATGCATTTATTTACAGAAAGAGGGAAATAGTATTAAAGAATTAAATCAAAGGGAAAATAAATACAAGAGTCCAAGCAATTAAATACAATCATAAATATAGTTTACTTTATTTAAGAAACTACAAAAAAATTCTAGAAGTAAGAAAAGCTTACATGAATTTAAGGAAGAGAAATCACAATTTTAAACGTTAAATTTGTTTATTTTCCTTAAAATGTATGTGTATTTTTTCGAATTTACTTTGTTTAGTGCCTTTTTTAATCAAAGGGCTAACTTCATTTGTTTTGCTGCTGAATTTTATAAAAAAAAAATCATGGCGAGTTCACTTTTAGTTTTCTGTCAATAAATCTCGCACGTGTGTATTTATAATTCCCAACTGCTTCTAATGCACTGGAATGGAGTGACGGTTGCAGACCGATCTTAGATACGAGTGAAGTTAGTTTTATCATTATCATCATTTTAGTCATTATTTTCATTATCATTATTATCATCGTTAATTTCATAACTATTATCATTATCTTTTGTATCTTCTTCTTCTTGTTGTTTTATTTTTTATTATTATAGGCGTCATCATTATCATTTTCCTGTGTTTACAATGATTTAATTTTATTTGAAGATATTATGTATTTTTTTATCTTTATTAATATGTGATAATATTTTTGCAAAACGTTTATTTAAATTGTTGGCTCTGATATCTTTTCTAGAAAACCAACTAAAGTTTTTGAGACTCTGATGTAATATACATTATTATTATATATTTTTATATATTTTTTATTAATTATACTGACTTAAAAGTAAGACAAATAGAGCAGAAATAACAAATGTGCATTGCGGAGCCATCGGAAAAGCGCTGACAGCGCAGGCGGAAAAGCGGGGCTGACCATGAAAATATTTGTCAAGGGGTGGAGCCGCGGGTAATTGCACTGGAAAATGGCAGAAGAGCGTTGACCTAACCACAAAATAATAAGAAAAGCAGAAAGTGCAAATAAAGGGGGGGGAAGTGCGGTGGGGTTTCGATGGCAACCAAAGTTCATTACTAGTTGGTGGGGCAAAGTTTGATGGCTCTTTGGGCAATCGGCAATCGGCGAAAGGTAAACAAAGAATCGACCCGCACAATGGCACCCCTTCACTGTGCGCCCTTTGTTGTTGCTCCTGTTTTTTTTTTGTGTTGTTTTTGGCACTGCCTTTTTGGAAATGTGTAAACGCAAACCGCGACCATCGCCCCGCGACTTCCCTTGCCAGCGATACAACGGTACAAGTGGGAGACCACCCAAAAATGGGTGGAGAACGGTTAGTGGAGACCTAGAGATGGCGCCTGCGCCGAATAGTTGTGGAGAATTCCTATGGCGCATGCTCCTTCTCTCTCGCGCTCTCCTTCACCAGCGAGCTGTCAAATTTTCTTTCGCTCGCCTGGAAATTATGGTGGCACTCTCTCTTACGCTCTCACCATCTGTCAGTTTGAGTGAGAAAAAGGAATGCGGAATGTTTACGTTATGGACGCACAGAGTGAAAGCAGAGAAAATATTACCTCTTTGGAGATTTTTCACTTCTGTCTTTCTCTGCATTTATTTATAAAATTTTAATTGAAAGACCATATTTAATATTCCGAGATATAATATTTTATAAAAATTTTTATGTCACCTAATAATAATAAATGTGCTACCGAAAATTTTAAATCTACTTTTAGATACTCACTGTTCAGAGTTACTTACTGATTAGTTACTTAGTGCTCATAGTTAATTACTATCATAGTTCTATTGTTCGATTGTTCCTATGTCAGCTATATATATATAAATATATTCCACCGATTCGCCATGCTCCGAATTATATATTAGTAAAATTATATAGACGAAAAACTCTTAGTTTTATTCAAATAGCTTAAATTTGTTAAAAATAAATCTCGCACATCTGTAATATATTCCCAACTGGTTCTAGCATCCCCGGAACGAAGTGACTGCTGCCGGCCAATCTCAGATATGTGTTGTGTTACAAAAGTTGCAAGTCATTGTTTATTAGTGTTCAAATTTAGTAACTGATCATAGATACTTACTGATGATAGTTACTTAATGTTCAAAATACTTACTGTTCAGAGTTACTAAATGCTCATAGTTAATTACTGATTATAAATACTTACTGATCATAGATACTACTGATTATACTTACTTACTGGTCATAGATATTTACTGTTCAGAGTTACTTACTGCTCATAGTTACTTACTTCTCATAGTCATGGCGTTGTAAACTTCTGACTTAAATTATAATACCTTGCAGCGGTATAATAACAATTCAAATAAAATACATATAAAATGCAATAAATACAAATTGCTGAAGTATCTATTTGATTTTATTAATTTAAAGTACAGTAAAGTTGAAACATTTCATTTAAAGACAAACTTGCAGTTTTTGCAAAAGTGTCAATTTTGCCAAATTCCTTAACTTTGTCACTTAACAAAACAAATAAAAAATAAAAACAAAAAACAATTAAGAATCATATTCATGAGAAACCAATGCTGATTTGGCAATAATAATCACGTATTTACCTGTGTAATCGCTTGAGCTTAACGTATGCTCAATACGTATACTTAATATACGTATACGTAATACGTATGCTTAATATGTGTGAGCAATTGATGGCCAACAGCTGTAACCCTTTTCTTCCTCAAGCGACGTTTGGCGCTCGCGGCCAATTGACGGGGCTGCCAACAGGTGGACCTCCCTTTCCCTCCCACCCCCCTAAGGCACCTTCAACCCGGAAAAGTACTAAAGCTATCGATTTTCCAGTCTCACCGCTGACCAGTAACGTCTTTTGAATGGAATGCGTGGGGAGAGAGTGTATGGAACAGAACATTTTTGGTTGCTGAAACAACTCCGCCTGCACAGTGGGCAAAATCAAGCTAGATGTCTTGAAAATCCAAATTTGTTTACATTACTGACTGTATGCTGTCTATGTGTGTGTGTGTGTGTGAGTGTGAGTGTGAGGAAATGTTGGTGTATCTGAAAACTGAGTGAAGCATTTACGCACTGGAAGCAGGCAGCGAGAAAACTCTACACGGATTTCCCGGAGCGAAGGCAGACATTTTCGTTGGTCGCTTTCGCCTTCCACATACAGAAACGATTCAGTTAGCGTGCGGAGTAGAACCGTGTGAATGTCGGACACTCGAAATCGAATCGTATCGAAAACCAGGGATGTGATTCGAATAAAGTTAATTGCAAGTTAGCAAACGGTAGAGAAAGCCAGGCGCAAGGATACGAAATCTAAAGGATACGGTTTGATATCAACGCACGGTCACATTTTCGCGAAATCCCTCTCAGCCCCACCGTCCCCCCGACCCACCGCCGTGTGTGTTTTCCAGTACACTTCTTCTTTCCGTGTGTGTGCATATACTAGAAAAAATACAAAAGAAAAAAGCATAGAGTGTGTGAGCAGAGAAGCGCGACCCCACTGACATAAATTCCTATTTTTAACTTTAATCAATTTGGGGTTCTGGATCAGCAAATCCAGTTACAGGCCATATGCAAATCATTGTCGGAGCAAGAAAATCTATGGAAATCCATTCCAGTTTAACAATTTAAAGTTATATTTTGTGCCTGTGGCTTCCAATCCGTTTTGACAATCGCCTCGCTCTTTCCTCCCTCCTCTCTCTCTCTCTGTCACTCTTTCTCGCTCTCTCGCTCTCGCCGTGCCTCTGACCCTCTCTGTCGCACTTGCTGTTTTTGTGTCAGTGTCAAAATCAAATTGATTGCTGTTTTAACCACCAAAAATATTGCCAATGTCAATGCTACAAAATCTAAAATATCCACAAAACCTATGTGAAAAATCAACAAAAACCAGTGCATTAATTTTTTATAGTTAAATCTAAATAGAAGCTTCATGTCCTGCCAAAAAAAGCATACATTAAAGTGTATAAAAATCGGAATAAAATCAAGCATACATTTTTGTATGTAGTTGAGCGTGATTTTATAATCTTTTTACAACATATAAAGTTTGTATAACCAAATCAAGTGAATAAGGGTTTCATTAATCAAATTAGAAACCACAAAAAATGCTATTAAATATAATATTTCAATAAGAAAATAAAGAAAGTGTTACAAAAGCATTTCCAATTGAAAACGCTTTAAAAGTTGACTAGAAAACTAGTCATACTCCGGTATAGTCTTCGATATATACGTAATCATTGCCAGCTCAACGTCTTGCCAGCCATCGTCTCCATCTCCATCATTGGCAACGCCGTCGCCATCGCCATCGCCATCGCCACCATCACCATCGCACCATCTGGCGGTGCTGCTCCTGCTCCTGCTCCTATCGTCGCACCCTGTCGTCGCAAACGCCGGCAAGATATCCTCGTTCGAAGAAGACTATCGGGCTGACAGGCCCATGGTGCAGCGCGCCTCCTCCTCGGATGCACCCTCCGTTCAGGGTGGCCAACATCGGGAGTCTCGATTTGGCCTCGGTTACCCATCCTACCAGAGTGGCTACAACAAGCTATTCACACAGGTGCTAAGCTTTAAATGATTTAGAGAACCGCTAAAAGGATTTATTTTAAATTAACCCATTTTATAGAACATTTATAAAGACAACTGTTTATCTTTTTGCACTTGGTTTTCATTAGGGAATTGAGGAACTATTTTTAAATAGAATTTCTTTTGGTTTCAGCTTTACCGCTATTAATGAAATATTTTGAAACGTTTCTATCAAATTGATATTAACAATATGCTTTTAGATTGGGGTTTCTTTTATACTGAATTTGGATACCATTTGAAATTAGGACAAACTTGTATTCATTTAATTCAATTAATTATTTACTTGAGTGTATAAAACAATTACTACAGCTTTATACTAGATATATAAAGTGCCTCCAATTGAGATATTTCAAAGGGGTCTCATTCCATTTATTAAAGTATATGTATACTTAAAATAAACTCGTCAAATAGTTAAAATATTGTGTTTAATAATTAGCAAATTAATAATTAAAGTAGAGCAATCAGGATTATTGGTAATTCATAATTAAAATTGAATTTATGGCATCATGAAAAATTACATTAAAAATTTTCCAATTAAAATTACAAGTAAATCATCAATATCTTAAAAAACTATAAAAGCTAACAAAACTAACGTCTAAAAAGTAAAAAAACATATCAAGGAATAAGACCATAGTGTAATTTTACTATTTAAAAAATGCATTAGATCTTGAAGTTATTAATATTTATTTCCATATAAAAAATTTTAATTAAAAGGTCTAAATTCGGATTTCTGCATATATCTAATACGATTTACATACCTGATCCAAAGTTAACCAAAGTAGTGCAACTGTATTTTAAATTTAAAATTATCATTCGTTTTCTGAATTCAGTCGAATTTACTCGCTTCCCTATAGAAACTATTGTTTTTAAAAACACTCAATATTGCTCTATAAACATTCCCTCTTAACCCTCTAAAAACTAATAACAAACTCCTTTTTAAAACAAAACCTTAGGGCAAGTTTCTTGCATTTGCAATCAGGAAATATTCCGCATAACCAAATTATAATCTAATTGCTACGTATACGTAATTTTTTATTACACAAATTGCTTTAAATATTGAATGGAATTTGCGGCCTGGTCTTGACTCATGTCAGCCTTCTTCATTGCCAAAATTATGGCCAAAAAACACATTTGATACCAACTGTTGCGCCACATGAACAGCAAAAACAAAGAGCCATTAAAAAGTCCGTGGATAGTGCGCTGCATTGTTCGCCCGTTTTGGCACGGGCCAATTTAATTTGTTTTGATTATGGTTGATGAGATGGCTCTAGCCAAATTAATTTATCTTCCTGCAGCCCTATTTTGGCCAGATTTTGTGTATTTATATTGACCTTGTTTCTTTTTGGCTTTTTCCAGGGTTCTGCCGACTCGAACTACTCACAACCGTCATCCGATCTGTCGCTAGACGAGGAAAAGGAATCGCTTCGGCGAGAAAAGGAACGTCAGGCCTTAAGCCAGTTGGATAAAGCGAGGGTGAGTGAATACGATAATTTATTTGTTGAATATTTAATATTTAATTGACAATATTTTAGAGCAAACCAGTGGCGTTCGCTGTGCGAACCAACGTAGCTTACGATGGCGCCATCGACGACGACTCGCCGGTGCAGGGCGGCGCTGTTTCGTTCGAGATGCGGGAATTCCTGCACATCAAGGAGAAATACGACAATAACTGGTGGATCGGCCGGCTGGTCAAGGAGGGCTGTGATGTGGGCTTCATACCCAGCCCCGCTAAGCTAGACAACATTCGTATGCAGGTTGGAATATCATCTAAAACGAAGCACTAGAAAGTTCCCTAAAATCTGCTTTCAATCACTCCGTTTTAGAACCAAACCAGACCCTCAAGACTGTATGGCACAAAGGGCTCGTCGAGCGGTAATCTTGGTGCGGGCGGACAAGCAGGTGCGGAGCCATCTCGAGGTAGCACACCCCCCACACCTGGTATGACACACATTTCATTCTCCTGATTTCCTTTCTTTTCGGTCGAGGTTTTATTTCGTATACGTTAATATCTATTTGTGAATCGAATTAATTTCCAATCTGTATATTTTTCGCTGTCTTCTATGTAATGTGTTTACTTTTGTATAAAGTATCGGTCACAGTGTGTACATACTGTACCAAAAGTTTTATATGGACATCTGTATTTTGTGTCCAAGCGGCGGATGCGCCGAGCTCCCTCTTCTCGATCGATGTTTATTGTAAATTGGAGAGAGACACGATGTTATTAAGTTTTTCATTTGAAGCGAACCAAAATCAGAGAACCAAAAGTGGGCCAAGCTAAATTCCCGTAATTTTGTACTTTTGTGTTTGATCTAATTATTATAAATCATGCGACATCCATAATAAAGAGTGCAAGTGCAATTCCCAAGCTTATTGAATATTCACCACCAAAATGCCCCAGAGGCCGTCCACGTCCACATATATTGTAATTGTATATTGGCCTAGAGTGCTAGTCCTAGTTCCCAGCATGTAAAAAAGCCGAATCCTTGAGCAGATCGGTCTAGACTGCCTCTAGAACTTGTCCCAAGAAAATCACTTTTCCGTAAAGCCGTAAACACACAAAATAAAACACACCTACTCAGCTTAACCAAACACAGTCCTGCAAATTGTATCCTTTATTTATGATTTGATTAGGATGTGACCTACTTCCGAAGGCCTCATCCTAAGCTCCTCGTTCATGGTCTGCTTGCGAATTAGCATTAGCCAAACAGTGAACACTATTAAATGCACTCCAAATCTCTGTTTTATCTAACACTAAACGGTTGACAACACTAACCAATGAACAATGAACAATGAACAACCACAACGCGACCCAAGATCCCTACAGTACAACACCGCGCAAGAAAAAAACAGGTTTGTCCACGTCTCTCATCAGCAAAACACTCAGAAATCCATTTCAATCGCTGAAACTATAGCTATTTCTGTACTTGGTACAATATATATTCAAGATATTTTCTAAATTGGGCTGGAAAATCCAGTTAACCATTTCAATCACTGAATCTATCGCTAGCTATGAATAATATTTTAAATCTATGTCTGACCTTTAAGTTAAGGCCAAATAGAAAGTTTAAACAATAAGCTTAAGTCAGAGATACTTTCTAGAAACTTACCGAGGTTATATTTGCATTATTTTGATATTTATTTATCTAATTAAACATTAGGCTATATTGCTTCTTCAATAAATAATAAATTGACTTGCGTGTTCTCCCCTTAAAAATTGCTCAATTTCTATTTGCTTCAAAATCCAACCCAAACAAAAGCAAACAATTAGTATTTCTTTTCTTGAAATATATATATAATTATATGAAATAATACAAATTTAATATCTATGATTTTCAAAAATGGAAAACTTAAAACCGCAACGTTCTAAAACGTAAGGACAAACTTTCATTTCAAAATACTCATCATCTTTCTCTCTGTAAAGTCCTTGTATCTTGGCTCTAAAACACGTTGTTATTTGTGTCGTATTTAAAACCTAGTTAAACCCACTTAAAACCCGTAATTAATTAATCCAGTTAGTCTTAGAATTATGTAATATTGAAAGCCTAGAGAACACGCCATATTCGCCTAGCGTTAAGTTAATATCTTTTAGGAGAAACCTCACCCTCGAGTTGACATTTTGAACAGCATTAAATGGTGCGTAGACCGAGTTAAAATTTCAAATTCTGAAACTGCAACAAACCTGGCACATAAACAAAAATACCCACAAAGGATCACTAATCGAGAAATTGTATATAAACTAACCCACCCACACTGACTCCGACACGTGTCCTATGTATTTACAATTATAAATATTTAATAAATTGGCCTAGCAATTCGCTCTGAACGATCGCACTGGCTCATACCGTACCAATCATAAGCTCGCTCATCCTTTGCCATTATCTCGTCCTGTTTTGCCATGATACTAACGCTCAGGTGACGAATCAGATTCCATGGGACCAGGACGTGGCAAGACACCGCTGGCGACGGCCAACAAGGAGAAGCGTAAGCCGTTCTTCAAGAAACAGGAAACGGCCAGTCCCTACGATGTGGTGCCATCGATGCGTCCGGTTGTGCTGGTGGGACCGAGCCTCAAGGGCTACGAGGTCACCGACATGATGCAGAAGGCCCTCTTTGACTTCCTCAAGCACCGGTTCGAGGGACGGATCATCATCACCCGTGTGATGGCCGACATCTCGCTGGCCAAGCGCTCCATCATGAACAATCCCTCGAAGCGGGCCATTATGGAGCGTTCCTCCAGCCGGAGCGATTGCCTCGGCAAGGTTCAGGAGGAGATCGAGCGCATCTTCGAGCTGGCCCGCTCCCTGCAGCTGGTCGTGCTCGATTGTGATACAATCAATCATCCGTCACAACTAGCGAAAACTTCATTAGCGCCAACAGTAGTGTACTTAAAGATTAGTAGTAGTAAGGTGGGTATATCTATACTGTGCGATCCATTTGACCTAATTGATTAAACTTTTATATATTATCCTTACAGGTTTTACAGCGTTTGATCAAATCACGCGGCAAGTCGCAGGCGAAAAACCTCTCCGTTCAAATGGTAGCCGCCGAGAAGCTGGCCCAATGTCCACCGGATATGTTCGATGTGATCCTGGACGAGAATCAGCTGGAAGATGCCTGCGAGCACATTGCCGAGTACTTGGAGGTGAGCTTAATTAGCCCTTTTAGAAGATTTTAATAATAATATCCTTTTAATTAAGACCTACTGGAAGGCCACACATCCGGATATACGAGCTGTGCCGCCCATTGCCCGCCCCTTGCCGCAGGAGGCCTCACCCTCGGCGGATCCTGCGCATCTGGGTCCTACGCCACCAGGTAAAGCCACACCTGCCGGTCTAATCGGTCTCATTTTACGGTCGCATTGCCATTTTCATTCGCGTAAAAACCACCTTGTCCCAGTCCATGCCCAACAGAGCTACGAAATTCAATTCCAAAAATCAATTCAATCAATATCGATATCGAAATCAGAGTCACCCATTGTCTCACCCCCAATTCTAAAGAAGATCCGACCCATCACACACATCCCTCAGCATATATATTATGCATAATATATATAAATCAGATCAGCAGTATACGATTTTCATTTGCTTATCCACATAATACTCTCAACACAATTATACAAATACAATTCTAAAATTTGTCTTTCTCAAATTCAAATTCCCATGACTGTACCGATAACCAATCGATTCTCCTTCCGGCTCTCTCTCTCCCCCTATAAATGTCGATAAATCTCTATCTCTGGCTGTGAGTAGTAGATGGCGAGGAATATATCGATGAGCAGGATCCCAGGATGGGCGGGATGTCCGGTCCTGGTGGGGATCGCGAGGGCAGTCGGGAGCGGGATCGGGATAGCAGGGAGCGGGAACGGGAGCGGGACAGGGAGAGGGACTACTGGGATCGGGAGTTCAACCGGGATCGCAGCTCCAAGGATCGTGAAAGGGATCTGGAGTGGGAGCGGGAGAGAGCTCGCGAGTGGGAGAGAGAGCGGGAAAGAGATTGGGATAGGGAGTTCGATTGGGACCAAGGTAAATTGCGTTCCTAATGTTTCTTTTCGTTTCGTTTGATTTTCCAATAAATATATACTATGTAAACTAAGTATTAAATGCCTCTAGACTTGAAAAGAAAGCTTAAACTGGGTACTTAAATCATATCCTTTGTTTAAAGTGTAGTTAGATGTCATTTTGTACATAGCCTGAGGGTACTTAAAGTAGGTTCGCTTTCCCTGAGACATTCATCTTTCCTACTATTTAATTTTTTATTTAATTTATCGGTATATTACAAGAGTTTAAGACATCAAGTTGGGTCCCTTAACTTTATTTCCTTTCAAAGTAAAACCAGAAACCCTTTTAAAGCTGTATAGATAGAGTCAGGATCATAAGTAGCTTCGACATACATCGATCCACATGTAGCTACAACTCATAACATCTACTTACTATACTCCAAACCCCGCTTTCTAGACACCTCTCTGTTTCTCTATATAGATATATCCAAGCTAAAACTCTGGTATCCTGGAACTTTTTTGTTTATTTCTATTATTCTTTTGTGGCCACACACACTTTACAGCATTCACAGCACGCGACATACCCGGTCCCTTTACAACAATGCTATAAAGTCAAATTGAATTCAAAACAATCAGTTCCAAACTTATAAGATCCAAGACCAACACAACTGCGACATCAACAGTACAAAGCCAAAGACAATTGAATCCGTATCAAAACCAAATCAAATGGAATAAATCACCAATGACCGACCAGATCTCCACAAGTACAAGTACAAGACCGCCAAGGTGTGGTTTTCAGAGATAGAGTCCTTAGATTGCCCACTAACAATTAGCTGACTAAGATTACCTCTTTGCCGTTTGAGTTCTACTAATCGATTAACAACGATATAAGCCTGCAAATCGCTACCTCCAGCATCTATCGAACACCCATTCAATCGAACCAATCGAACACCCATCGATTTTAAACCTTTTGTGCGTCTTATCGACTGTGATCTCTGTACTTGTTTTTAGTTACACCGGGCGTAGTGCGGCTCTAAGCTGCCGAAATCTTCAATTCTCACATTCTTCCGGGTGTTTTCCTAGATCAGCCCAACAATTCAACTCAACCACCCGATTCAGCTCAGTTTATAATATGTTTTATGTATTCCGTTGTTATCGATCCCTCCTATGTTTTCACCAAAGTTTTCAAGTTGCAAAACCAAATCATCCAATCGTTCGTTGTTTAGATCTGGTTTTAGTGAGTACCAACAACCCCGTGAAGTGTTTGTGTTTATTTAATCGAGTTTGACCCTATGAACCCTTTTCCTAGTTTATCTTATATCGTCCTGAAAGCATCCTTAAACCCAGAAAACCATTCCATGCTTAATTTTGAAGCTAGGGTTGATGAAGTTCGTTCGCTTGTTGATTTTATTTTATTTTTAGTAAGTTGCCTAACAAAAGCGTTTAATTTTTTATTAACATTTTAGCTTTGAAATTTGTTACATTCCAATAAACACTGTAGCTTAAATAAAATTAGAAATTATATTGCTTATACATTCAGTATACCATTCAGTAAGAGATTTGACTAGGAGATTTATGGAGGTATCTTATTAAAAAAATTTACATATGAAAACTGAAGATTAACTAAAAAAAAACAGTTTATACTTATTGCCTCTATTAAGTGTTTAAGTCCGCTTAAATAATTAAAATCAAAAACTGCGTTAAACAATCATTAATTAGTCAAAGTATTTTCCTTAATTTGAACATTTAAATATATCCCAAACCCATCTTTATTATTTTTGTAATAAAGTGTAAATACAGTATATAACAAATCGTTAAATAAAACCACAAAGAGTTGGAATATCCCTTAGAGGACCCACCTCCGGATATGAAGAACCCCTGTTGACCCCCTGCCAAAAACTATAAAAACTATAAAACCCTATTTTGAATGCTTTAGTTCTGGTTCTGTTTTTTGTTTTACGTTGAACCCTTTTGAAAACCATTTAATATATATATTATTAACTTAATGCCGTGTTCAACATCTTGCAGGAGGATCCTCTTACCATCACAGCCGCCGACAAACGACTTCCGGTCGCCACCAGGAGCGCGGTGGTGGCGTTGGCGCCGGCGGCGGAGTTGGAGTTGGTGGTGGTGGCGGCGTTGGTTACGACCGGGACCGGGAACGAGACCGAGAGCGTGAACGGGAGCGTGAGCGGGAGCGGGAGCGGTACGAGCGACGGGAGCGGGACCTCATGCACTATGACCTCAACAGTGACGAGCTGCTGGACGAGCGTAACTTTGAGTATCCGGCGATGCGAAGTGGTCCCAGCGGCGCCTCCCACCACGGCCATCTGTCCCGCGGTGGTCGACTCCTCGACGATCAGGACTTTGAGCGCGAAGAGGCGCAAATGCGGATGAGCAGCTCCCGCTATGGACCCTCCACCAGGATCGATGATCCCAGAGATTTGCCGCGCGGCGCCACCGTTGTCGATCGCGATGAATACAGTCCGCACAGAGGTGGTGGGAGTAGTAGGAGAATGCTGAATGCCATGTAGGAATCGTGGATATAGGGGTGGGATCAGATCGATGCGAGAGTGCCAGGTTTGATGGAAGCACGCGACAATAGTTTTGATCTTGACATCACCACACACCACCAGCCCCAGTCTCAGTCCCAGTCTCAGTCTCAGTCTCAGTTCCAATCTCAATCTCTGTTACAATCACAGTCCCGGTCCAAGCCCAGGCCATTGTCCCTGCCCCGGCAATCGTCCCTGCCGATAAGCCGGGCACCCATTTCCTATCTGCCCCGCCAGTATTCCCTGGGCAGTCACTGGCTCTCCTCCTCCTCGCAGAGTTCCCTGGAGCAGAGTTCCCGTTCTCGCCGTGAGCTTTATCCGCTGCTGCATCAGCCGCAGTCACATCCCCAGGCCCGGTCCACCCATTACACCGCCCATTCGTATGCACCAGCTAGCTCCCAGCAACATCCTTCATCCCATTCCCATTCCCAATCACAGTCACAGTCACGATATCGCTATTCCGTGCAGGACACGTCCTTTGCCCACCCACCAAGATCGCTGAGGGACGAGTTCCTCAGCCCCACCATGAGCAAGGTCGAGGCTGTCACGCATGCCATTCGCAACAAGATCATTGTGGAGGAGGACGAGGAGGATATCCTGAGCACGGATCGGTTCTATTAAAGAGATTTCAGTCATCATTTCGCATCGGTTAGCCAGATCCACACCACTTCAGTGAACGAATGATTACAGAGGGGGAAGGCCCCTTTTGGGTTACTTTTTGGGGGGCAGCAGTGCCAAAAACACATTTGTAAATGTTCCATTCGATGATCTAATTATTAGCCACAACACACACAAAACACACCCATTAGCTGGTTAAAGTTAAAGTGAGCGTTAAAGGCGGCAGTTAAAGTAAAATGAAAAAGAAAACAAGTGAGAAGAGCAGCCCAATGCCAAGTGGGGCCTTATGTGTCTTAAAAATGCTATAGCTAAGTGTAATCAGATTTTATTTCGAGTAATGTGTATTTAAATTAAACGATCTAAGCCTAAGAGTTAAGCTAGTGACAGGTCCCGTTGAAAAGAAATTAATGGTTAAATAAGCAGCCACATGGGTCTCGTATTTGTTATGCAATCGATTGACTAAGTACATACATAAGTGTCAGCTTTAATAATTTAGTGAATGTGTCTTAATCTAAGTCAGGCCACACACCACACACATCACACACCACACACACACACCACTCAGTTGACTGTGAAACCGGTTGAAATCTCTTTAATCTCAAATCGATGTCTAATTCTCGCATTCAAACTGTTTCTTCCTCTGCACAGAATCAGCCCACCTGCTAGGTATTCTTCTAATTGAAACTAAGGGCACTCAACGTGTACAGTGCGTTTCATAGGCAAGCGTATAACCCAACTTAAATAATACTATTGAAAATATTCCTCCAGTTAAAGATTTAAACCCTTTAATAGTTGTACTCAGATGTAGGTCCAATAGTTTCTTTATTCAAGAGCAATCATTACTCACTTAACCATTGCCATCTTAGTATCTATACTCGGTGACTGACAAACAATTGAATCTTCCAAATTAAAATGGTTTCTCTAACACATTTCTCCTTACGTAGATACACTTATTTATATAACTTAAAAGGGCGACCAAAACAAGAGATCCAACTGATTCCGATAGTAAGTTACTAATCACAATAAATAATCCTTGGCTAATAATAATGTTATTTCTAATTACTAGAGTTTATTCAAACTATTAATTTATTAACTACAACGCCTTGAGCGAAACGCACTGTTCTGCCACCTGCATACCTGTAGAAAAATCCCCCACTTTCCTGTCTTTCCTTTGCCAAAAAAAACAGCAATACCATCGACACCTAGATACCTTGTCACACCATATCATGCCACACACCTGCCAAAAAAGCGCACAGTTCGCGACTGCAAATCGAAACTATATGTGAACATATATAGTTGGATTGCTCGCGAATAGCCTTTAGTCCTGGATCGAAATCCATTATAAAGATCAGGGCAAGGGCACAGCGATTTAAACTACCAGTGCCTTAAAAAAAAACCATCAAATCGAGTAACTACACACAGAAGCACACTACCCCAGCCTCAGCTCCCTACCAGAGAGATCATTTCACCCGATATATATATATTATATATATTCGCTTGCGTCAAAATTATTGTTCCGGTAGCCGTAAAAATGTCGTGATCTGGCCCATTCCGAATGAGAGCACTCCTTTTACAATTCCAACCACCATGCTAAAATTTCGTCGATCATTCGTTGTCGAACTGAGCTAGCGCCCAACAATGATGAACCGCACTGCATTCAAATCGATCGCCACCTCGAGTAAGATGAGTATAATGAATGACATGGAGGTTAAGAGGTTTTCAGAGATTTTCCAACTGATAACTCCATTGGAATCCTGTATTCCTAGGTAGTAATATCTCTGGCAAACTTCCGAATCTAATGTCTTTAAGTAGCCACTAGCTAGTTGATCCGTAAGCACTCCCGCAGAAGCTATCCAAGACTGCAGCTGATGATCCGCCCCAAAAAGAGAGCCGGAACTCTGGGCGGGATCAGCGATAGCTATCGGTAGAACGGTGCACTCCTATGTAGAAGACAGGCCAGGCCATGGCCCTGATGTTAAGAGCAAAGATCTAGTACTTTTTTTATATAAGAGATACAAGGTGATAAAATTAATTTTTGAAAAGCAAATTTGAACAGAGCACTTCAAGTAATGAGATACAGATACAGATACCTAGAGCAAATTGTTAGCAGCATTCAGGAGGGAAAGAGTTTGAAGACACTAAAAAAAAAGGACTCCAGGGGGAAATGAGAGGTGTGTGTTTTGCTAAATTACTTTCAAATTAAAAATATATATATACATCTCCGGGGACAAGAGAATGTGTGTGGGGGATTGGTCAGGGGCACTGGTTTGGAGCCGCTTTGAAGAGCAAACAGATTATGAACACAACAAATGGAAATTAACCGAAAGCAACATACGATACGCAAGCACTTAATGTAAAAAGTGAAAAAAAAAACAAAAAATGATCTATGTATTAGCTAAACCTAAATGAAATATTACTTTTTAATACTAGCGTAAAGTTGAAAACAAAACCTAGATACGATCCTTCGCAGCTAAGCAGGGGCTAAACGGAATACTTAAGTTTAAACTTTAAACGGTCAGTGGATGCGCGATGTGTGTAAGTAAGAATAATATTGCACATAATTCACAGAACTGGTAATTCAAAATACTATAATAATGGTAAATATATATATATATATATATATATATTTAAAAAAAGGATACATACATTTATAAAACGGTGCATATACATTTATACGTGCATATGTACGCTCTTACTATAATTAACAAAATTTAAACCGATATACAGATACAACACAGCCGGCATTTTGTAAGCGTGAAAACCAAAACAGAAAATACAAATAAAGGAAAAACATAAAATGTAATGAACAAATAATAGATTATCCCAGATATTGTTAGTTACCTTCTTCTTCTGCAAAAAGGGAAAATAATGAAAACTTTATCGTGGAAATTGTCATCAGATCTGATAGGAATATATTGAAGATACGTTGTAAGATGCCTTAAGTTTCCCAAACCGAATTCTTTGAAATTTTCAAATTAAAATGCTACACTCGATAAAATTCAAAATATTCCAACACCGTAACCTTCTATCAGATGGATGGACGAAAGGTCCAAAGGCTCACTGCCTAAATACGTTTTTGCAAAACAAAACAAAAAACAAAACCCCAGGTTTGCTTCTAATAAATAGAATTTTTTTAAATAAATAAATCTTATTTCCAATTAAACAAAACAAAATTCAAATTTGTTGACACTTTCCAAAACCAAAAAACAAAAGAACACACACACCCACACACACGCATGTAAACAAAGAAATTTTATAGCGAGAATAATACTGAGATCTTTAAAGAGGATATGCCTACATATATATATTTAAAATTTAGCGGTAATAACTTCTCTACTTTTCAAGCCACTTTAATAAAAAGCAAACCTTATTTTTATAGCCTAAATCCAATATTAAGCCGGAGAAGAAAGTGGATAGTAAGAGATTTGAGAAAAGCACGCCTGAGAATTCCCTATTCAACAATTGCAATGCAAAAATATATTATGATTAACTAAGAGAACCCCACTCCGAATACACCAGAACAACAAATACAAACAGAACACACACACGAGATAATTGTGGAAATATCAATCCAAATCCAAATTTATATAAATATTTTATACATGCAAAAAAAACATATACATATTGTAAAAAAATGAAAGAGGAAACTAAAAACCAATCAACAATTTCCAAGAATTGTATGTAAATAGTTTAATATACTTCAATTTGTTATAGATATATATTCTTTTTGTTTTGTTTTTGTTTTTAAAAATATGTAAATTTCCTTTAACTATACGGAATGGAAGATTTTCTCCAGTCTTCTGAGCTTGCCCAGGATTTTGTTGGTTTTCTTTGTTTTTCATTTTCCGCATTCAATTGTTGTTCACAATATGTTTTTGGAAAATACGTAGTTAAATGAAAGCTAAATTGCAAATAAAAGCAAATACAATAAAAATATTGAAAATATATGGCAATTGTTTTATTATTTGCGGAATAGGATTGATATGGGACTTATTGGAATAAACAACTATATTCTATATAGATGCAATATATAATACGATCGTTAAATGTAGAGGAATACGCATCACTGTCCCTCTGCCTCTCACTCTCCCAGCCTCTCTTTCGTTTTTGCTATGTCTATCTCTCTCTGTGCATCTCTAGAGGCACCTCTTTCCCACTCTGCCAGTCTCTTGCTCTCTCGCTCTCACTTTCTCTGTTCTCTTCTCTCTGGGACTATAAATAGAGGCACATTCGGCCGCGCTGCCCTTAGTCTGTGCGCGGCCCCCCACCTGTTAACATCTACGGTGATAGTGATAGTGATGGTGATAGCGATGAACTTCAACACCGAGAACATCACCTGGCCAATGGAATACTTGTGGATAACCAGGAAGGAGCCCATCTAGATGATACCACGTGTCCTATACTGCGGTAAGTCTTAACCATGACTATTATATCATATACATACATACATATATATATAGATGCTATGTCAGGGATCAGCTTTTCATTAATTTTTCAACTCATTCCCCTATTACCATTAAATTAATTTAAAAAAAAAATTAATTAATTAAAAGTGATACAGCATTTTTTATTTAGGATACCTAGAATCGTATACTCAAAGTTAACAGCCTAACTTAGATATACATTATTTAGATTATTAATTCCTTACACTTAACTTTCAAAACTTGAGTATTATTGTTTTAATCAGAAGCATAAAATGCAATGAAGGACTCATTTCCGATCCTATAAATCATATATATTCTTAATCAGCATAAAAAACTGAGTCAATCTAGCTAATATGTCTGACAAAAATGTTATTTTTTTCAAAAATTTCCAAAACTTATAAGGGTTTACATCGTTAAAATTAAAAAAACATCCAAAAATTTTACTTTTTTAAATTTTAAATTTGAGTATGCAGATTTGTTAACCTAAAAAACTAACTAGCCTTTTTGTCTGAAATATGATATTTTTAATTTTTGATTTGTCGAAAAAATTGTCATAGAAAATATAGATAAATAATGATTAAAAAGCGAATATTATATACTTAGTTATGATCAATTTTCGATTGGATCTTATAACTTAATTGCAAACTGCAAAGGTATTTCAACTACAGCTTCCCGAAGATAGGTTCCTTCTGGTGTCATATATAAATTGGGATACTAAAGATAAGATAATAGTATTCAAGAGCTCGCTGTCATTGCCTTTTGTGTGCCTTCCAAAACAATAAATATTCATGCTCTAGCATATTGATCAAGTCTCTTATATGGATTAAATTACCAGCCTAAACCTTGAGTTACCAAAACCGCTTATATTTTTGTTACCATAACCTTGAGTTCCAAAGTATTGCCTACTTTTCGGCATAAGATACTGGAGAGTATTTGAGAAAACAAAGAATACAGATTTTACTTTTTGTTAATCTTCTTCGTGGAATTCGACTTTATTTATTGAAAAAAATAAGTCATTTCTTCTCAGGTTGACAAGCTTTGATAAGAAGATTATTATTATTAATTTTGTAAGTATCATTAAAGTCTACAAGCCACATTTCAGATCTCTAACTCATAGCTCTATTGATATTGATACGTCAAAGGTTGGAATTAATTTTAATATTAATAATACTTAAAATACTTAATAAATTTTAAATAAATTCATTTTAAGCACATGGTCATAAATGGGTTAATATTGTTGTTTGCACACAAAAGCTCCACATTTCGAAAACAACTCACACAAAGAGGAACCGATCACAAAGAGCAATAAGCACAGAAGAGAGAGAGTGAGAGAGAATTCGGGATCCAAGTGGAGCTTTTCGCTCAGTTATCATGCAAAAACAACAACGATCCCCAATGCACTGGAGAGCCGGGGAGCGTCTGTCAAAGTCAGGTTCGATGGCCCGGCCGGTTCTGCTCTCAAAGTCAATTTACTCGTTCAGTATAGCAGATCGCTTGTTTTGCGAAAAATTAATACAATTAGCTGAGTTTATTCCGATTCTTAATCAAGTTTAAATATGCCACTAAATATTAAGAAAGTTCTTGTCTGCGATGCTGTGGACAAATCATGCGTGGAGCTGCTGGAACAGCATGGGATTAATGTAAGTTTTCTTTTAATGGAAAATATAGCAGCTTTTTCAATTTTGCAAAATACGCCGCCTACATACCCATACAAGTGCTAGCAAGTACAGTGTTCACTCGAAAATTAATACATGGCTCCACAAATTAAGTTCATAAATTTAGAAAGTTATATTACTGATTTATATTGTTTGCTGATAAATACTCACTAATTATTATACAAAACAAAGTTTGAATATGAATGAAAAGGGCAAGAACTTAATATTAATTGTGTCAAATTGATTTTATTTGACTTATTTTCCTATATTGTCTCTTAATCACCCTACCATTTATCGAGTTATCACTGTAATTGCATTTATTCAAGTACCTCTACTTTGGTGTGGCATTCCAACAATACTTGCACTTAATTGATTGCACATTTTAATCAATGTTGTTTACCATTTTTCTTATTTTGACAAGGTTACCTACAAGCTGAAGCTCCCCGTGGAGGAGCTCTGCAAGGAGGTGAAGGTAAGTGAAGCTTTGGGATTACACCAAAGGTGAATTAATTTGTTTGTTGTTGGCAGTACTAGATAGCTGGAATGTAATTGAAAGCTCTTTTTGAGAGTATTCAAGTGCGGTTTAAAGACACACGTGCATGCTTGTGAATTTTACTTACAACATGTAATGTGTGTGTGAGTGTGTGTGCTAGCAACCTATCTCAATTAGACTGTAACTAAGCGAAAGATTACGTAAGCCATCAGCACAGGGAAAATGAAAAAAAAACAGAATTGTTTGTCAGCAACAGCATATGCATAAGTATTATCAACAAAACATTCCACTCGGCCTGCATTTCGGAATTAATTTGATTTGTTATTGCAAAATAAATGATAACAATTTGAACGCACTGCAATTCATTTGAGACATTGTCAATAAATCCAATACAATGATTTTATTGAATTTTATTGAGCTTAAATGTTGGTCTTAGAATTCAAGTGAAATCTTTTTAAATCAATTTAAACAAATTTTATTATTTTCTGATATCAATATACATTTTTCTGAGATTTTGTTTCTATTTATTTTTCGTGCTAAAACTCTAGCTAGTGTATTGACTAATTTTGTTTTGTTTATTCTATAAAACAAATCTGTTTAAAATGCATTGTTTATTAGAAGGATTAGATTTATTGCTGGTCTCTAGGAAATTGATTATTTATTTTAAGATTTAAGCTTAAATTGAGCGTGATAAGCTACTTTAATAGGGAAGAGAAAAATTATTATTATTATTGTTTTGATTATTTTAATAATGTCTATCGCTTTTTTATAAAATGTCACTTCTAAAGTGCCAAATTAATAAACTAAACGTGCTAGACATAATTATCACCATCTCACTAGGCCCAACGATTAGTTCTTATCAAAAACAACAGCTGGATCAGACGATGTTGCTTAACATTAAATATAAAATTCCATCAAGAAACTGAAAATTTCCGGAAACTGCCTTAATCATCAACAAATCTCTTTTTAAAATTCAAATACGTACATCAGTCCATACAGCTGATGTTTCCCAGATGATAAGGGTTGCCAATGAATGCCCATCTGAACCTAAACATAAATTTATGCATTTTATTTGGGGAAATAACACGTAAATTACTAGTAAATGTTTGCTTATTATTAATATTCCTTATTTAATAGAACTTTGATGCCGCCATTGTTCGCTCGGATACAAAAATAACCGCGGAAGTTCTGGCCGCCGGATCTGGAAGCCTGAAGGTTGTGGGACGAGCTGGTGCTGGTGTTGACAACATTGATGTTCCTGCAGCCACCTCCCAGAATGTCGTTGTCCTTAAGTAAGTGCTCCTTAAGCCGCCAGTGCAATGCACCCAAAAGGATTCCACGCAGCTCTAAACTAATATATGCATAGACACCCTTTCCCACAATAACATCCTTCTTGAGGGAATTATTATTTAAGTCGAGTGTTTTTAAGGCAGGAAGGAGAAGCACTTCTAAAACAATTAATGTTTATTGTGAGAATGAAATAATAAGGATGTCCTGATTGTTTGTTGAGAGGTGAAGGCCTAGGATTCCATGGTTATCTATCCTTATAAGTGTTAAAAGTCAAGAGCTAACTTAACTAAATCCCTTCTTAAAAAGCTATGACAATTGATTGAAGAATAGAGTTTGATTAACTCTATATCTTTGCCTAAGGTTTAACACCTTTTTCCGATATTCCCCTTTTCGCAAGAGTATTTCTCGCAGTGTAAGCTCCGATCGCGCAGCCTCCCCAAAATAATTATGCACATTCTGAACTGTGGGATTGGCTGTCGCTATCGCATCGGTACCCCAACCACAGCCATGACTTGGGTCAATTGACGCCGTTTGACACGCATAATTAAGGGACGACGACGAGTGTCAAACAATGGGGAGACCGGAGAACGGAGGACGGAGGACGAAGGACGAAGGCTGGTGGTTCACATTGCCAAGAATACGAAGGCAAGCGCGAAAATTGCCATATTTTTTGCTCTTCTCCCTGTCTCCTGTCCCAGTCTCCTGTCTCTTCCCTTTATTTTTTTTGGACATTTGCATAATGCTGTCTAGTCACAACAAACGCCACCGTTTAACCCCCAGTCCAGTTTTGCTAACGGTGGCATTTAGGGAATGCTTAACTAAACTCTTGTCGCTTTCAGCACTCCGGGAGGCAATTCTATTTCGGCCTGTGAGCTGACGTGCATCCTAATTGGCTCCCTGGCCCGTCCCGTCGTACCCGCTGGCCAGAGCATGAAGGAGGGTCGATGGGACAGGAAACTCTATGCCGGCACCGAGCTCTATGGAAAAACCCTGGCCGTTCTTGGACTGGGACGCATTGGTCGCGAGGTTGGCATTCGCATGAAGACCTGGGGAATGAGGGTAATATACTCCTCTTACTCCAGGAGCACCTTTGATTGAGCTGTAAGTGCTTCACAGATTATCGGATTTGATCCCATTACCACGGAGGCGGAGGCCAAGGCGGCTGGCATTGAGAAAATGACGCTGGAGGAGATCTGGCCCCTGGCGGATTACATAACCGTGCATACGCCGTTGATCCCGGCCACAAGAAGTAAGTGGAGCCTTGAACTTGTATAGCAAAAATGTAAAATAATAAATATTTAAATTCTCGTGGTAGATCTCATATCCTCGGAGTCCTTGGCCAAGTGCAAGCAGGGCGTCAAGGTGGTTAACGTGGCCCGTGGCGGTATCGTTGATGAGCAGGCTGTTCTCGATGGCCTCGAGAGTGGAAAAGTGGGTGGCGCCGCCTTCGATGTTTATCCCGAAGAGCCGCCCAAGTCTGCGGTCACCAAAGCCCTTATCAGCCACCCAAAGGTGGTGGCTACGCCCCACTTGGGTGCCAGCACCGCTGAGGCTCAGGTCCGTGTTGCCGTCGAGGTTGCCGAGCAGTTCATTGCCCTCAATGGAACCTCGCCGAAGTACACCACCTACGCGGGCGTCATCAACAAGGAGGCTCTGGCCCATTATAAGTAAAGGATTTCGAATTTAAAAACTCTTAGCACATTTACCAGATCCTTAAGTGGCACCCAAGAGGTCAGCATTTATGTATAGACTTACAAATATCATTGTAATTACATATGCGAGAGATAAAATAGCACTGAAAAGTTATTAAACTATGAAAAGTTTGTTAAAATGTGTACAATTTGTTATTAGTTTATATGAAACTTTTATTTATTGGATATCAGGTGGGGAAAAGGGTGTTAAAGGTTTGGTAATGTTTACTTAATTGAAATTATTATGCAAAAGATAATCTGTGAGTGTTTAATTAACACCCAGACGAAGCAGAAATTGTCACCTTAGTGAAGGTACTTATTTTTGTTTTGTTGAATAAAAAGATTCATTCATATCAATATATTTAACACCAAATGTTATGTATTTATTATTTATTAATTTCCCCATTGTTGAAAAGTATACCATTTATAATTAAATATAAATATAAACATTTTCAACCATCAATAAAAACAAGATTCCTCTTTAAAATGAGTTTAAAAACAATGCCTGTAATAATCCAATTTATTTGTATACATATATGCTGGATTTATTGTGGTAAACAAATTTGTATAGAAATGTTTCTTTTTTAAAGAGGAACTACCATCGATATAAAAAAGGAATTTATTAGCAACTGCAAAATAAATTCCACTTGATTCAATGAATTCTATCAAATGCACATCTAACTTGATGTGTATTTCATCAAAGCACTTTTCATTTAATTGTCGAACTTTGGGGCTTTGGCCTACAACCAAAGTTAGCAGCCATTTTTATGTTGTAATAAATTGCAATTCCAGGAAAAATACAACAATGAGTAGTATTTTTGTTTAACACTTTTTATTTAATTCTTTAGCAAGTGTGAGTCCCGGCAGCTTTAACAAGTTTCAATTCGTTCACTGAACTTAACAAAATTAAGTCTGACAAGCTAGTAACCATTTATTTATTCGACTTTTAGACTGTTGCAACTAACTGAAAATATAATCAACTTGCAGCATTTGTTAGCTTTTCAAAGTCAACGGCTAGAGATAACTATCTGAATGAAACTTTGGAGTTAGTCTTTTATATACTCTAGTATATTTGTTGGAACGGGCGGATCGGACGACTATATCGTATAGCTCACATAAAATTTGTAGAAAACAAATTATAACTTTTCCAGTTTTTAACATATTTTCATCTAATTTGAGATAAATCCTTAGTATTATTTTAAAATTTTAGTTTTAATTTTATTAAAATCGAACGACTGTATTCTATATAGATTCAATAAAAACAATTGTTAAATGTAGAGGAATATGCATCACTGGCCCTCTGCCACTTACTCTCACACTCCCACCCTCTCTTTCGTTTTGCTATTCTATCTCTCTCTGTGCATCTCTAGAGGCACCTCTTTCCCACTCTGCCAGTCTCTTGCTCTCTCGCTCTCACTTTCTCTGTTCTCTTCTCTCTGGGACTATAAATAGAGGCACATTCGGCCGCGCTGCCCTTAGTCTGTGCGGGCCCCCCACCTGTTAACATCTACGGTGATAGTGATAGTGACAGTGATGAACTTCAACACCGAGAAATCACCTGGCCAATGGAATACTTGTGGATAACCAGGAAGGAGCTCATAGATGATACCACGTGTCCTATACTGCGGTAAGTCTTAACCATGACTATTATATCATATACATACATACATACATATATAGAAGATGTCAGGGATCAGCTTTTCATCAATTTTTTAATTCATTCCTTTATTACCATGGTCAACTTTATTTAATTTAAAGTGATAAAGCATTATATTTATAATATATATTATATGTATACTCAAAGTTAACGGCCTAACTTAGTTATACATTACTTAGGATATTGATCTCTCAACCTTTAGATGGTTTAAGAACTGCAAAAATATTATGCTCCTTCAGAGTATTATAATATTAGTCCGAAGCTTAAAACCCAGTGAAAGAGTCATTTCCGACCCCATAAATCATATATATTCTTGATCAGTAATAAAAGGAAAGTCCATCTAGCTATATTTTAAAGAAAATAAATTTTTTCGATTTTTTTCAAAAAAAAAAATAAGGGGATACATCGTTAAAATGTTCCAAAATTGCTAAAAATTTGAGATTTTAAACTGAATATGCAGATTTGTAAACCTATTAGAAACTAACATAGGAAAGCCCTCCGAATTAAAATTAATGCATTTTTGGCTTAGTTATGATATTTGGAAAATATTAATTTACCCAAATAATTGGCATATAAAAATATCTATTAATAAACTAGAATACAAATATATATATAAATAATAAATAATCTTAAACAACAAGAAATTCAACTGAATTGATACTTTAAGTTTATTTAGGTTTAAAATGTTTATATTTTGTAGAAATCAATCTTTAATTTTTAATGCATTTTAGAAAAAACACTCTGGCCTTATCTAAATAAAGTCAACAAATGACCCGAGGAAAATTGTTTGCCATTTTGAGCTAGAACTGCTCGGAAGTATAGGCTCAAATATTTTATTTACACTCCTGCTTATCCTTGAATCGCCACCTTAAATTCCGCATCAGTCATTTCTGACAGCGGGTGTTAATCTTTAAAGAGATTTATTGTCATTTTTTCATGGGAAATACTCAACAATGGGAAAAAAGTTTTTTTCCCCGCAATTTCACTGTTAAACTTTGACTTTTTATATGCAAATTTCGTGTCACTAAATGGATTCCCAGGAAATCACAAAAATAAAATGGGAGTAGGACAGCAAATCCAAAAATAATAAAATTTAAATTCCGCCATTTGTGAGTACGGTGGGTTTTATTTCGAATATGAATTTATGTTAAAATGACTTTCAAATAAAACATTCAGTTGAACTTAAGCAGATACATTTAAATGTGCCGTGGCTGGATCCGTTTCCGCATGTCCTGGCTTCATTTATACTCCATTCAATGCATAATTCACGGCCCAGGAAACTTCATCTTCATCTCGATGGCAGTATCCAAGACATTTGTCGAATGTATTGTTATATGCAAACGGAGCAACTCATACGGCAATCTGAATTGTCATGGTTTTCAGAGTCCTCCTCGGCCGTTGTTGGCCGGGACAAAGGAGTAACCAGAAGGGAGTCCCCAGGACAAGAGTTTAAAATTACATTTTCATTTCAATCAGCTTACGTGTATCGTCGGCTCAACTGGAATCAAATTCCTAAGCCTAGAATTGAAATTGAACTTGGACCTTTACAGTGATCAAGAAAATAGGAATGCCTTATTATGGGAATGGTAAATGAATAAGTGCACGGGAACACTGCGTTACAGTAATATAAAACCTTTGATGATGTATAATTTTCTGTTTTTTTTTTTTTTTTTTTTTTTTTTTTTTTTTTTTTTTTTTTTTTTTTTTTTTTTTTTTTTTTTTTCTTTTCTTTTTTAGCAGGTTAATAAACCTGCAAACTCATTAAAAAAATTTTTTTTTTCCAATTTTCGAAAACTTTAACGAAACTTTAACCCCTTATCTTTTTTTGAAAAATCAAATTAATTGTTTTGCTTTAAAATATAGCTAGCTATCGTCTCGGCTATCGATGCTTATCAAGATTTATAGGGTCGGAAATGATTCCTTCATTGCTTTTTAAGCTCCTGACATTATAATACCCTGAAATGGCATTTATTAGTATAGATTATAGACATCATTTGGTTACAAAAATTGTTTTAAATATCAGCTAAGGAATCCTTATTTAAATTTTATAAAGAATCCATTTATTTCACTTAATTTTCCTCCCGTTTTATCATTATGAACCGCACTGCCTTGCTTATTGAGTACCTTTTTTGGGAAAGTGGTGTTCAGTTGCAAATTATCTTATCCAGCCATGAAGGCTCTCCGCCTGGCAATTGAAAATAGAAACCCAAGTCAGGTGCCAAGCAAATGCGAGTGCGAAATGGCTAACAAGTTAGGTGAGAAGCTATTTGATGGGCCTAAGTAAAAAATTCAATTAGAAATGCAAGCCCATGACAATTGCAAATAAAAGTACAACGCAATTAATGCTAATGTGTTGACATGAAAGTCTGTGGTGTCCTCTAGAACAGGACTTTTTTTAAAGGGGAATGCTAACCAAAGGATTTGCATTTGCATTCCGATTTCCGGTTAGAAAATCCCATCAACCCTCAATGTTGTGGTAAACTTAGATTTCTATGTACAGAGGTGCCCAAAAACGCAGGCCTTGAAATCCTGCAACGCAAATAAATAAAGGGTGTTCTTTGGGAATGATTTATTCTTTATTTTGTTTTAATATTAATATATTCTGTGAAATGTAAAGGCTAATCTCCAAAATCATGTAACTTCCTTTTAAGAGGCATCGCACAAAACAACATGAATTATTTTATAGAAACTCGGAAGTCCTTCAGCCATTTCAATGATCCTTGACCCATAGCGTTCCTTTTTCCTATAGTAACCAGAAAGCCAGTTTCGTCATCGCATAGAGAAAACAACAGATTATCCCCATAATTGACTGACAGACGGATTTCATGTCAAAGTATGATTGCAATTTGCGAATGAAAATTGCCTGGATGAGACGATAACAGGAGGGTAACTAACCTGTGACCCAAGACATCACCATCATTGGGTCACAAATTTAAAAACCGAAAAATCCGAATGATTTTTGGCCTGCTGACGGGAAACAAATAAACAAAGTCCTTAGCATCCTGTCGAACTGACCAACGGCAATGGGCTTAAGAGCAGGAATGGGGGAATGTTGCTGACCCGACTGCCCACTTGTCCTGCTCTCGTGATCCCCAGGCTCTGATGATTTTGTCATTCATAGACCACTTAATTTTGGCGTAACCCCCTTCTGAAAGAAAAACACCGCCCACTTTGTGTATTTCCCAGCCGGAACGAAACGAATTCCGCAGAAGGACACGAAGCACGAAGGCTATAAAAGCAAGGATACGTCGCCACGAACAGCCTCAGTCTGCGACGGACTACGACCGTGTTCGATGCCACGGAACGGAGATAGACCAAGCTTAAACTTCAGGTTCAGATGCACGCACACCTGTTGGGATAGCAACGGATACGGATACGAAAACGAGATTTGAGTAAACAAATGACTCTCGTCCGTGACCATGTGAGAGTCCTCCGCATCCATTAAAACGCAGCAAACGAAAGTCGGTGTTGGTGTCAGATTATAAGGCCGGATTTCACGGAGATCCTGTTCGGTGTCAGTGTCAGTTGAGTGCAAAATAAAACTTTATTGCCATCGAGGATGCCGTTAAGGATGTCAGCCTCTGTTGCCGCTGCATTCTGTTGCATCTTCGTCCTTCTGGGCCGTCAGGGGAGCAATCCTTTGGCCTCCATGCCTGGTGGTTCCACTCGTCGTCTGTCGGACACAATAAATATTGGATTCCTCGCGGAATACTCTCAAATGCGGGTGAGTAGAACAGATCCCCCTACGTCCTCTTAAATGTCTACCTTGTAAAGATCCCACGCAAATTATAGAAAAAATCTTGCGTTAATAATTGTAAACTGCGTGCTGTATTAATTGTGTATGTGCATGCATAATACATCGAGATGTCACATTTGCAATTCTAATGGCTGCCTCATTTGGCCATAAGTCAACGCATGCTGTCCCAAAAATATCATGGAATTTATAGCTCAGCCTGTAGGACAGCCAAATGATTTGGGAATGATTGCGCTGGCCCCCCATCAAACATCGTCCCTTGAGGCATTTAATCGAATACCCTTAGAATCTGGCATATTTTTTCGATGTTTACATACACAGAGTGCATATTAAATAGACCTTAAATCATAGAATTTAAAATTATGGAGTTGCTAGAGAAGTTGATATTTAAAATCATTGAAGGTATCCTAAAGTATTCTATAAAATAATTCATTGCAGTTCTTTGTAGTATTTTAGACCATATAACTTGATTTCTAATTTGTAAAAATGATTATCAGATGAGCAACAGAAATTGCTTTTAAAAATCATATTTAAAAGGTATCGAAAATATTTTCTTTTGAATATTGTGTACCATATTTTATAAAGCCATCTTACTTATCTTTAAGCCAATTTTGTTATAAACTATTGTTATTTAATTTATAATCATTTCAATTAGATTAAAAGCCACCCTTAGAGTATACCAAATTCATTATAGTTTCCGGAAAGTCCTTTCTCATCTTGTTTGATTTTCTTGACGTATTGTGAATTGAATTGACATCGGTCATGTGGTCATGTGATGGAAAATAAAGAATAATAGAGATAACTGCTGCTTTTACAGAGTCCATTGATAGCTCTGTAAGTCGATTCAATCTCTTGAACTCATCCTATATTTATAAAGAATCTGATTTAATTGGAACCAAAACAACAACATAACAAAAGAGGTGTATTTCGGGACAACTCACCATTTTTCTCACTTAACAGCCTGACTGACTAAGCAAAAAAAAAGAAGCTCAACAGCAAATCCATCAGAAGTCCTGTTCGGTCTCATCAATTTGGCAAAAGCCAGAGCCAAGCCAATGTCCTTGCACTTCTGTTGAATATAAATGGCGAAAAAGGGAGATCAGGAAATATATTCAGGGGACATAGATATGTGACAAGGGTTCGTGAGGGATTTGTGTGCATAGGGAAGAATGATTTTATTGAGTGATATCAATATATGAAAATAATTTAGATCTGTTGACTCTTTTTGAATTGGCAGCTGGCGGAGCCATTAGCATTGTTCACAAAATAACCAATTAAATTGGTTGTATCCTGAAAAAAAATACAATTTAGGATTCTTCACATTTATTTATCAACATTAATAAGCAGTAAGTCAAGCTATCGTTTAATTTGCTTCTTCTTTTGTGATTTTAATTAATATTTTCACCATTTTGTCAAATCATTTCTGCTTAACTTGCCCTTAAGGGAATTCATACAAGAAATAAAAAGATTTAACTCATTAATTTATACCCTACTAAAGTCTCTTTTTAATTAAATGCATTCATGGATTTATTTCTAATTTCAATTGTAATAAACAAGCACTAATTATACAAACCATTTGCTGTATATTTATTGCAATTAATAATAATTAAGCAAAGCTTTCAATTTATAATGTTGCTGTCACAAAAACATGTAATTGTGGTCATAAAAACATCAATGAAAATAATAAATAAGAAAAACAAAGTTCGTGAAACATTTGTTTCTGTGTCCAGCAGCCAGCGCGGATTATATATATATTAAAACATTTTTTTTTTCTTTTTATATGAGGAACCCTGAATGGTTCAAAAAAAATTTAATTGATTTGACACCCCACGGAAATTATTTCTGCCCTCCTTTAATTTTCGGTATCCCGCACTCTAGAAATTTTAATTATTCTTTTGTTGATAAGAGCCATTGACTTTTAAGAAATCGTATAAAAAAAGTTTAAGCGTCGATTTCTTAAATTTTATTTGTCCTGGTCTAAATTAATTCTAAAACTTTTATGAATCCTTGAAATGTATAATTTATTAAATTAATCTTTATTTTAAGGCATTTGGTATCTTAGAGCATTACCACTGACAACGCTTAAGCTAAATTTAAGTGTTTAATTAAATCCATTGATGTCCTGGCAATTTTTTTTAGCAATATGCGGAAGCCCATAGCCCATAATTATAGAATTATCACAATTTAAATACGCTGCCTAGGAAATAAATTCAACCTGTTGGCATTAAAATCTTTTCTTTGACTTCCCTTAATCCCAAAATTTTTATTTAATTCACCTGTGGATAAAGTTATATTACTCAGAAAACGATGTCGTTTAAATTTCAGGTAGATGTCGTGTTCATTTGATATTTACAAAATATATCCAGCCTTTTCACAGAGTCAACATTTTTTTTCTTATCCCCTGAATCTCATTTTTAATTTCAATACTTTAAAGGACTCATTTTTGATGTTGCTATGACAGCTGCTCCCTTGATTCACGGGCAGACATACATATTAACATTTAACTTTTTCCTCATAAATTAAGAGTAAGGGAAGGCAGCAATATTCTTTAAAAACTTTGCCAGAAGGAATCTCATGAGATTCAAAAAACAGTAACTACCAAGTAAACTAATTGTTAATTAGTTGCCAGCCAACTTAATGAAAATATTTATTCATTAAATATGAATATGTAATATGAGGATGGAACAAGTAAGAGTATCCTTTGTTTTATTACTTTAAGACTTTCAATAAATTTTGTCTGGAGGAAATTGCATTTAAAATTATGTTTTTCCATTAAATTCCAAGCTTTTGGCTAAAGGAAATTGCATTTAAAATTGTTTATTTAAGTTAAATGAAGCTACAGTGTTCATAAATACCTTGAGCTAAAAAGTTTATAAACCCAAAGTTTTAAAGTAAAGAAAAGACAAATCAAAGCCATTGATTACACATACAGTTCGCTTTTTATTTTATTAAATGTCAAATGCACATGGCTGAGATATTGTATATAGTACAGATAGAGATAAAGAGAAGCTTCGGGGGACATTTTTTAATAAAACTTATTTACCGGGAACATTTGAATAGCTAGGATGTGTGAAAAGGGTTGATTTAAAGACAGGAGACAATTTTAAAATATTGATTAATATACATATATATTAATATGATTTTCTTATTATATTCTGCAATTGTTTCGAATTAAATAAAATACATTAAAATCTGAAATTCCTTTAAAGACTTACTACCAAATTTGATCCAAGTGTCTGCTACATTTCCTGTCTCTGCCGTATTCCCCACCATTAATTTCTCTCACAAAAAAAGACACACATTGCTGCGCAATTTCTTAAATAAAGCATCCTTTAATTAACGATTTCGGCATTGCTTTAATTATGAATCGATTCTTGGTAATATGGGTTAATAAGAGCATTACGTACTCAGTTAATGAACTCTTTGTTCCCATGGATTTAAGTCGCTTGTCATGTTTAAATCGTTTTTTATGGAAAGTATACATATATACGTATATAAAAGTCAACAGGATAATTTCCTGAAGTCTTCTTTATTCTGCAATTTTTTATTATGCCTGAGCATAAGACAAAAATAATAAATCTCATTAACTCCAACTTCACTCAAAGATAATATATATAACTTTAGTTTTGAACTACCTATAGTTGAAATTTTTAATTGCTCATAGATACTTACTTTTCAGAGTAACTTAATATTCATATAGACTTACTGTTCAGAGTTATTTACTGCTTAACTACTGATCATTGTTAATTACTAATCATAGTTCTATAAATCGGCCGATTGTTCCTATGTCAGCTATATATATGAATATATAGTCCACCGATTCGCCATGTCCGAATTATATATTAGTAAAATTAGATAGAAAATAACGCCATAGTTTCAGTCAAATAGCTTAAATTTGTTCCAAAACAAATCTCGCACATCTGTACATATGATTCCCAACTGGTTCTAACATCCCCGGAACGAAGTGACTGCTGCCGGCCAGTATCATATATGTGTTGTGTTTGAAAAGTTGCAAGTCATTGTTTACTAGTGTTCAAAGCTAGTAACTGATAATTGCTCATAGATACTTACTTTTCAGAGTAACTTAATATTCATATAGACTTACTGTTCAGAGTTATTTACTGCTTAACTACTGATCATTGTTAATTACTAATCATAGTCCTATAAATCGTCCGATTGTTCCTATGTCAGCTATATATATGTATATATAGTCACCGATTCGCCAAGCTCCGAATTATATTTTAGTAAATTATATAGAATAATAACTCATAGTTTCAGTCAAATAGCTTAAATTTGTTCCAAAACAAATCTCGCACATCTGTATATATGATTCCCAACTGGTTCTAACATCCCGGAACGAAGTGACTGCTGCCGGCCAAGTATCAGATATGTATGTGTTGTGTTAAAAGTTGCAAGTCATTGTTTATTAGTGTTCAAAGTTACTTACTGATCATAGTTACTTACTGTTCTTGTAACTTATCGTTGAAAGATTCTTACTGATCCTTACACGTAACAACCTTTTCTCTAGCAGTTATATTATGTATATAGTATTCCGATTTTCATAAAACTAAAAATGGCATTCTACAATAATAATAGGTAGCTGTGAATCAAATTTGATAAAAATATGATAAAATCTTTAAAAGTTACAATTTTTTCCTTATAATAAATAATACAAAAAATCTAACAAAGAACTACAATAAACTTCAAATTGTTTCTATTTATTATTCATACTTAGTTCAGATTGCCTTGAACTTTTGGGTACAAATTGCATTTTCAATCTGATTCGATGCTAGGAAATATTAAAATTCGTATTTTTAAGGTAGTCTCTTCTTTATAAATCTGGTATTCACTTTCAGGTATCATTTTTTGTATTCTCTTGAAAGTATCAAAATTTTTAGTGGCACCATGGTTAGTTCTATTTACCGGTCGGTGAAGCGTCATCCCCGCATCTGGTTATTCGCTACGATGCAGATTGCATTGATGATGTCGATGATCCGAATTGTCTTCAAAATTGAGCTACCTGCGGCCCTCATGAGCACCCTGGCCCGGACCCATATTGATTACAAGCTGAGTGATCTGATTTATAGTCCCTTATTATCGGGATGTGCGATGAGCGCCCTGTTCCATGGATACGGATTGGTCTACTTTCAAGTTGATGGTTGCCTTGACGAGTTCCTGTGCAAAATCCGAAATGCCAGCCTGACCGTGTGGGATTGTAGTGCTTCCTTGATGTTCCTGCCCTGGCTGATACGGGTGGGCGATGGTCTGATCCGCTTCCCGTTTTACAAGGTGGAGAGTGGCTACGGAGTTGGAGGTGTCAACTTCAGGATGTTAACCATGCTGGCCGTTTGCTTCTGGTGCTGTCTGCTCTTCCTAACCGTGGCCAGCTTATTATTGGCCGTAAATATCAATCGTCAGCTGAAACGTTATCGCCGTGTCCGAGCCGTGGACCCGGAGCTAATCGATTACGCCCAGAGGATCAATGCACTGAACGGGTTTGAGCTTATACGAATAGTTACCTAAGCAAATGAAGAGCAAATTACCAATTTTTTTAATATCAAATGTAACTAAAATAAGGCTTAATATTACTATTTTAAGCTTTCAATAGCCGGATTTCGTATATAAATAGACATCAAGCAATCTAAATTATAATGGATTTATTATTTTTTTAATTAAGTTCTTGAACGGTAGAGTTCCTGGGTCCTTTATACCAGAAATTTATTTATGAGAATACCAAAGTTTTCCCTTGCCACTATGAAGCGGAAGGATACCCTAGTTTGTTTTGCTTTGCTTTGTTTTGATTTACCTTGAGTCCTTACCGCTGGCATAACATGCATAAATTGAGGTCTCTATCCACAAACAAAGGTCATCCGACTCCGTCACACCTCTAATTGCACACAAATTAATACTGACTTTAAATCTGTTAATGTACTTCAAGGTGACGCTAGGGGACTTCCACTGGCCATTGAGGATGTGAACAAAAATCCAAACCTGTTGCCGGGCAGGAAGCTGGCCTTTAAGCCCGTTGACATTGGCCACAAGACGAGTGCCTATCGTGTCAAGCCGTTGAGGTAACTCCTTCGATTACTGAGCCCGTGCCGCGTAACCTTTGGTCCTCCAAATCGCTCTGCTCTGATTACCGTTTCGTTTCCAGGGCAATGACACAGATGCGGGAGGCTGGAGTGGCCGCCTTCATCGGTCCGGATGAGAGCTGCACTACGGAGGCGCTGCTGGCCTCCGCCTGGAACACCCCGATGCTGTCCTTTGTGAGTAAATCCATTACGCAAAATCTGGGTCACCACTTGGATACTTAAGCTCGTCTCATATGACTGACATCTTGGGTTTATCCTGCGGGGTTTTATGCTTTTTAACCCCTTCTTATTTACACCTTTCTGTAAAAAAATTCTATATTGCACATAGAACAAAATGAAAGAACATTTAATTTAGATAGAATACACCTCTATATGTCTAAAAAAATATTTCTTTTAATATTTAACATTTTCTTTACATTTTCATTCCTTTAGAAATGCTCCGATTCAATAGTCTCCAACAAAAGCACTTTTCACACCTTTGCCAGAACTCTGGCTCCAGCTTCGAAGGTAATTAAATACTTACATTATTATGAATTTAAAATTACAAGAAAATACATTCCAAGGTCTCAAAGAGTGTAATCAGTTTGCTAAACGCTTTTCATTGGAAGAAATTCGCCATAGTTGTGAGCTCGAAGCCTGTTTGGGGATCGGATGTTGCCCGAGCCATTCAGGTAAGTTGATAAAAATTCTCAATTCTATTAAACTTGTCTACTTTTTGATACAGGAACTGGCAGAAGCCAGAAATTTACCATCAGTCACTTCAAGTACATTTCAGACTATATACCGACGACGAAAACACTTTCGCAGATTGATAAAATTATAGAGGAGACTTATTCAACCACGCGCAGTAAGATTTAAATAGTATACAGTGCGGTTTATAAGACAACCAACTCTGTATTTATAAAATTTAAATAAAGTCACAAAATTTCATTAGTTTTAAGTTCATTTAAGTCATTTCTCAAGCAGGTTCATGGATGTACGGTTTGTTCTGCTCTGTCTTGGACTTCTTATTTTCTTGCAACTATTATAAATCGCACTGTAAAATAGGAACTAATCTGTATTTAATTAAATATCCATAAACAGTCTATGTGTTCATTGGTGAGCATATTGCCATGGTGGACTTTGTGAGAGGTCTTCAGAATCGGAAGCTTCTAGAGAGCGGAGATTACGTTGTGGTTTCGGTGGATGACGAGATCTATGACTCCAATCGAAGGGTTAACATTATGGAACGTAGTAAGTGAATATTGCAGATCGATAGTTCGGTATAGACTGCTAATGCATGCACCATCTATTCCAGATTATTTAGATCCTTATATTAGAAAAGAAAAGAGCAAATCACTGGACAAAATCTCATTTCGTTCAGTTATAAAAATAAGCATGACATATCCACAAAATCCCCATATTCGGTAATTTATCTGACTCTTAGTTATCTCTCTAACTGTGCGTATTTTCGTTGCGTCTTTCTAACCAATCTTAAATCTAATTATTTTCCCAATAATCTCTTTTATTTTACTTTGAGTAAAACTAGTTTGCATGTTTAGGTCATAAAATTAATAGCAATTAATCAGGCTTTGGGCGAAGGGAATATAATTAAAAATCAGTTTCTGTTCTTTTTTATATATTGTTATACAAAATAATTAGGAAATCCCAGCAAATAAAAATAAATATTTAATTTCTGTTATATTCAGTTTGTTGTGTTAAAAATTTGCATGTATATTACATATTTAAAATGGTAACTAAAGCCCAGTTGTATTAATTTTAATACCTTTACGCTTCCAGCGATATTTGTTCGAAAATCAAGGACTATGCCCGAAAGACTCCATTTCTGGTGCCATATCATCAGCGGGTCTTTGACAACATATCGGTAGGAAGTTAGATTGAAACAGAAATTAAATAAAAAAAGAATATGTTAGTTCTTACAACTTTAATGACTTTGCTAGGTTCCCATATATGGTTACATCTCTATGACAGGTAATGATCTATGTTCGAGCCATAACAGAAGTCTTGCAACTTGGTGGCGATATATACGATGGAAATCTGGTAATGAGTCACATCTTTAATAGATCCTATCATTCCATACAAGGATTTGATGTGAGTATAGCCTAAATATTCGTTTAAAATTTATTTTAAAATGAATTTCAAATAACTCATAATGATTATAAATCTTTTCTTCCACTTTTACAGGTCTACATAGATTCAAACGGTGATGCCGAGGGAAATTTCACCGTCATCACGCTACAAAACGATGTGGGCAGTGGCTCCTCAAGTGGATCTCTGGCCAAGATGTCAATGCAACCTGTGGGGTTTTTGCCTACGACAAGCACTCTCTTATTCCAGTGAGTTGAAGGACATTAATTTATAATAATTTTGTTTAACTATCAATAAATTAATCCCTAGGAATTCCGCTATATAAGAAATGACAGACCCATCCAATGGCTAAATGGTCGTCCTCCTTTGGCAGAACCCATTTGTGGTTTTCACGGCGAAATTTGTCCCCGAAAGAAACTGGATTGGCGCTATCTGGTTACCGGACCCTTATGTGCCCTTGTCGTTGTCGTGGCTCTTGCTCTGCTCATCAAGTAGTATTCAAATATAGTCTTCAACTTGATTTCTTATAATATTCCAACTTTTTTTCAGGCATTATCGATATGAACAAACATTGGCAGGATGCTGTGGAAGTGGATATGAAGGAGGTGACTGTTATTAATCTCGGAGAGTACAATAACCCCAGTAATAAGAATATTGTAGGTATCAATGGGGGAATATAATAATATATACATTTTATTACTAATTTAATTTTATTTTTAATTCTTGCAAACAATGTTTCAGTTCCAAATCTGTCGTCAAAGCATTCTTGTGGTGGGTGAACCCAACAAGCGATCTTTTACAAATATAGGTAAGTCCTATTATAAAGATAGATTATATATTTTAAAGGATTTAATATATTTTATAATTAGCTCTCTTTCGTGGCAACATTGTGGCCATGAAAAAGATTCACAAGAAAAGTGTAGACATAACCAGATCCATTCGTAAGGAACTGAAATTAATGAGAGAGGTAATGAAGTAATTAATTATAGTAAAGAAAAGAATATAGCTTTTTTTACATAAATAGGTACGCCATGAGAATATCATCAACTTCATTGGTGCCTCCACCGATCATGGATCTGTGATCATATTCACCACTTACTGTGCTCGCGGTAGCTTGGAGGATGTGCTGGCCAACGAGGATCTACATTTGGATCATATGTTCATCTCCTCACTAGTCTCGGATATCCTAAAGGGCATGATTTACCTCCATGACTCGGAGATAATATCCCATGGCAATCTTCGATCCAGTAACTGTCTCATTGATTCCCGTTGGGTTTGCCAAATCTCTGACTTTGGCTTGCACGAACTTAAACGGGCCAAGAGGAACCCAACAAGTTAGTTAATTATATCCTATATATATAACTTCTTTTATACTTATGTAAAAATCCCAATCCTTTTGCCAGCCAGGATGCTTCTCCTCCACTATCAAATATATATATTCTATTAATGTGATATTCGCAGGAATGAACTGGAAGTGAAACGTGCCCTCTGCATGGCGCCGGAGCTTTTGAGGGATGCCTACCGGCCAGGACGTGGCTCCCAGAAGGGGGACGTATATTCCTTTGGCATACTCCTCTACGAGATGATTGGACACAAGGGGCCATGGGGGGAAACGGCCTACACGAATGAAGGTCTGACACTGGGCACTTGAATAATTTAAAATCATTTTACTCAAACGTATTGTTTTCCCTGCAGAAATAATCCAGTTTGTCAAGTGTCCGGAACTACTGCAGCACGGCGTCTTTCGACCGGCCCTGACGCACACCCACTTGGACATACCGGACTATGTCCGTAAATGCTTGTGCCAGTGCTGGGATGAGGATCCGAGGCAGGCCAGACATTAGACTGGTTCGAATGCATCTAAAGGAGCTGCAGGCTGGCTTGTAAGAACTGATTAATAAGTAATTGGAAAATAACGTATTTGTTTAAATTTTATATACTCTTTAGGAAGCCCAATATATTTGACAATATGCTTTCCATTATGGAGAAATATGCTTACAATTTGGAGGGCCTTGTCCAGGAACGAACTAATTTACTGTATGAAGAGAAGAAAAAAACCGATATGCTTCTATACCAAATGCTGCCCAGGTATTCGTTTTATTAATTTATTATTAATTAGTATTACTGTAAATGTATACATTTTCCAGACCTGTAGCTGAGCTCCTTAAGCGTGGGGATCCTGTAGAGGCCGAGTGCTTCGACTGTGTAACGATATTATTCAGTGACATTGTGGGTTTCACCGAACTCTGCACCACCAGCACCCCTTTCCAGGTGGTGGAGATGCTCAACGAATGGTACACGTGCTGCGATGCCATCATATCCAACTACGATGTCTATAAGGTTATTAACATATCGAATATAATCAGATATATTTATATGCTTATTAATACTCGTCAGGTTGAGACAATTGGCGATGCTTATATGGTTGTATCCGGATTACCCCTGCCGAATGGCAATCGGCATGCAGGAGAGATTGCCTCTCTGGCACTTCACCTCCTGGAGAAGGTGGGGAATCTCAAGATAAGGCACAAGCCCACCGAAACCGTTCAGCTAAGAATTGGAGTTCATTCCGGACCATGTGCAGCAGGCGTTGTGGGTCAAAAGGTAAGGAACAGATTAATTGATCAGTTCATTAAACAATCTAGGATATCATCCTTTCAAATCAGATGCCCAGATATGCCTGTTCGGGGACACTGTGAACACAGCTTCCCGAATGGAGAGCACCGGCGATTCCATGAAGATTCACATCTCGGAGGCTACCTTCCAGCTTCTGCAGTCCATTGGCGGCTACGTCTGCATCGAACGCGGCATTACTAGCATCAAGGTGAGATAAGATGCAGGTCTTGTTTAGGAGATAAAAGGTTATACATATCCTGTGTGTCTTAGGGCAAAGGTGACATGCGAACTTATTGGCTGACCAATCGCCAGCAAACCGAGCTTGCACCCGATCTCATCAGCACCGTGGACACACTGGACAGCTACTGCTCGATGGAAAGAGCTAGTCTGGAGCACTCACTGCATCAATACTGCAGTCCGGCTCCGAAGAACTATAGATTGGGATCCTGTAATTGTGCCACCAAATGTCTATATAGCCGCCGATCCGATGACAATGTGACCAGTACCCACGACACTCCAGAGTTCCCCAAGGTCCAGGTTTCTGAACCAGCCCAGGTCAATTGTAACCATTTGTGTGTCTGCCGGCTGAATAGCAGCCAAGTGTTCAATAATCGAAGTCCACGCTCCGCTCCGAGCATTACGTTTAGACTGTAAGGATTCTATTCTATTGAGTTAGGAATTAGGAGCATAGAGATATGTATATCGAGCTGGAGTTATATCCATTGGCGTCCATTAATGTTTATGCATTTAAAGAGTGCGATATGTACTTGGAAATCTAGTGTCTGGTTGATAAATGTTACATAAAGTAAATCAAAGTCGATAATATCAATTAGAAAATCCTTTTGGGATAAAAGAACCAGTAAAGGATTTTATTTGGTTGAAATTAAATATTTGCAATGGAAAATAATTGTATGTTTAAAATCAAATTGTAATTTGCTGTACATGGTTTATGGTTCTCCTAATCTTCAATACTTCAATTACTTTTTTATACAATCCCCATTTTGTTTTTGTTTAAATTTGTGTTGTATACAAATACGAGAAATAATAACAACGTTTTAAATAAAAATCAATTGGGTGTTTATTAAGTGACTTTATAGACTTAACTTATTTATTATATTATAATTCAACATTTTGGAAATGTTCCTTCAAGTTCTGCCAGCATTCGTAATAAGCTGCGTCCAGCTTTTGGCAGGTTTCCTCACCCCACTTGGTCACGGCCAGACTCAGAGAAGATTCAAACATAAAGGCCTGTAAAAAATATAAATTAATATTTTAAAAAATGTATATAATATATCTATACATACCTGAGTTCCCTCAGCAATGCGTTCTGGCACCAGCTTGGCACTCGAGGCACCCTCAAAGCACTTGACATCCGGTCCATGGGGAGTCATCATCGAGTGTAGAGTGGCTCCACCGGCGGCAAAGCCATCCTCCTTGGCCTCGTACTTACCCAAGATCAGGCCCATGAATTCGCTCATGCAGTTTCCTATAGAACGTATAGAATCATTTGTTTCGTGGCATTAACTTTCTTAATTCAATCACAGCTCACTATGGTAATATGGCGGGCGGAAGGTGTGCTCCTGGACGGACCAACGTGGCGGAAATATCACAAAGTCGGCAATGGCTGTTCCAGGTCTCAAGCTCGGACAGGTGAGTACGGTGAAGATGCTGGGATCGCAGTGATCAAAGCTAACCGAGTTGATCACCATGAACTTGGACAGATCATACTTGTAGGGCACATAGTTGCCATGCCAGGCCACCACATCAAAGACGCTATGGTTCTGCCTGGCCACAAAAAGACTACCCTGGAATTTGGAGATTACCTGGAAGTCTATGCCAGGTATTTAAGGTTGATAATAACAATTTTTGTTTAATTTAAAAGCAGATATTTACCTTTAACGGGCTGATCATTGAACCAGGCCACAGGTGTTTCAAAATCCCTGGGATTGGCCAAGCCATTAGCACCAATGGGTCCTAGATCCGGCAACACAAAGTGTCCATCATAGACCTCCAGTATGTAGCCTCTAAAAATACTTGTTTCTAAAAACTATAAATCCCAATTAATTTTATATATTAACCCACCTGGAAGGAGAATCCACAGCCACAGCAAATCGAATGCCCTGAGGAATAACGCAAATCTCATTGGGGGCCACTGTCATCCTTCCCATCTCTGTAGTTATATCCAAAACTCCTTGCTGCGGCACTGCAAGTAATTAACCATATTAATTCTTCATCTCAGTTGGTGTTTTATATATATATCGTTACCAATCAAGAAATCCCCATCACTATTATAGAAAGCCGATGAATCCATGGAGCTATTGCAGGAGTAAATATGAACTGCAAGACCATGACGAGTTCGGGATCCCCTGCACCGCAAACCGTATGCAAGCCTTCCACAAAGTTCACTGATTTGCATCCTTTGATGGCAGATCAAAGGGTTTCCAGCGCAGCTGAAGACAAAATTATAAAACAAATTAGTGATCAACATAATCAAAAGAGTATAGCTATTCACCTGATTTGGATTGGGGGGCTGTTCATCCCAGTTCTGTCTAAAGTAAGTGGCTCCGTTGAAGGGCTGGAATGGCAGATGCACTGCCGAGGGCAGCTTCCGGTAGAGCCAAGTCCGGGCATTCTCGGTCCTGGGAGCTGTGAAAGCGCTTCCCGATAGCTGCTCGGCATAGAGCTTATAAGGACACACCTGTGGGGAGTTCTGGCCCACTGGCAAAGAGTTGGGATACCGCTCGTCCTCGGAGGAGAAATGAGACCCAAAGCCAGAGAGATACTAAAAATGGGAGAATAGATATGCATTATGTTTCCCTGATTAGGAGTTCCTACAGAAAAGTTACAAATGTAGATAAGATAAAATCGGTTTATATCATAATTATAATCATAATTGTATTATTTTATTTTATTTTTTCTTTCTCAAAATATGGTATTATTTTTTATATACACAGAAAACATGATAGAACTTCAAACAGCATAGACACTGATAAGATATATTTCATGATAGATAATATCACATACCGTAAAGATATCTTGTCCAAGAAAGCTGTTTGTATATTTGCATAATTAAATCTAAAATAGAAATGTAGATCTTAAATAAAAACAAGCAAAACCCTGAACTAAATAAACCGGCATAAGATTATAAAATTATTCCAGTTGGAAACTTGTTTTTAACACTACTAAAGACTAAAGACCTAGGCACGCGACAGATTATTCAGATTTCACAGAAAACTACATACATATATTCAAATTTTGCATTTTGAAAATGATTTTGTAACTAATCACTTATTATTATCACATATGAAACACTAATATAATAAACACATTCAAATTCTTTGATATTGTTTTTCCAGATAAACACTTTACACTTTGATATCCAATTTCCGATATTTAATAAAACGTTTACCTTGTATTGCGACATGTCTGATCCTCCGGCGGTTGAAACTAGCACTGAAGTTCATCGCTTGGAGGCAACCTCTATTTATATCCAGTCCGGATAGCGAGTGTTTTGAATACTGGCCGGAGAAACTAGTAGCCAGTCCCCTAAAAGTGTGATACGACGAGAGATAAACACCTGCCCTGCCCCCAGATTTGTTGTTGATGCGTGCGGATTGTTTTGATTTTGTTACCAAGACTAAATCACACCACTGAGAACCTCTGGAGAGGCATACGTGATATAGTTAGCATAGCGGTTCTACAGGTTTATAAGTGAATCAAATGGGGTATACCTAGTCCGAACTGAATATCACGTTTTCTTTTCGGTATATATTACACCAATAATATTCAGTCCTATTATCCATCTCAAATTAATCAAAATATAGTCAAAACCCATGAGATATTGTAAACTAAGTAACTAGTTGTGTAATTTATTGCGGCAAAGATTCAAAGTTATAGTTAATGTGGTGTAGGCAATACAATACAATACAGTTGATGTGTGTGCTCTGTCTGTATATTAAAATACTTAAAGTACTTTTTATGCGGTAATTAAACCTAAATTAGTACGAGTATACATTAAATTAAACATTTAAGGACATACAGCGCTCGTGAGTAGGGTGAGTAAAAGCGGAGATTACTCGTAGGACTGAAAAAATTCCTTACGGATCATAATGAGTGCGTTTCGATTGAGATATGCACGGCATATCTGATCTGTCTGTCATGTAGAAAATATATGAAAATATAATTAATTCGTGTACGATCATAATTCAGATCTTTGATGGACTTTACACTTGGCAAAAAAAAGAAGTTAACTTAAATACAAAAATGGAAAGATAGTATAAAATATTTATCCGGAAATATATACTGATTGGGCGATTAAAATGACGGACACTGGTACGTTAATGGAGATGCTACGCTTTGTTTGCATTACGCATGGAAATTGATGCTTTTGGGGGAAATACTGCGACTTCTACTGCCCTCTGGCAAGGATTGGAGTGTGCCATCATTCCGGTCCGGCGATTTTAGTCATGCGACAAGTTCAAGATGTCATCGCCCATGCTGTTCTTGGGCATCTTTGCCGGCGGCGGAGCAGCCAAATCCGCTACCGATGCGAATTCCATGCGCTTCTTGGGCAATCCAAGGGCTCCCGGTGGAGCTAGCTCTCCATAGAGACGACTCAGATCCGGTGAGGGCCGCCGATGCGAGGAGCTGCTACTGCCATCAGATGGCGCCGGCGAGGGCGTATTCGAGGGAACACTGGAAATGGCCAGGTCCACGGCACTAAAGTTGTATTGCCGGCGGAGTTGGAGTTGCTGCCGCTATTGCCGCCACCTCCTCCTCCTCCACTGTTTGCAGACTTGGTGGGCGTCAACCGTTCCAAAGCCGGTGAGGCCGAGGACTCCCGGGTTCGCGCCGATGAAGGCGTCGTAGATTTGGGTGGCTTCATCATCATAGCTGACAGAGACTCCTGCTGGATCTTGAACAAGGCCGATGGCGACATGAACATGTTATTGGCCGCCAGTGTGGTCTTCGAGAGTGGATCGGGAATGCCATATTTGCCATGTTGCTGCTGGAAGAAGGCAGCATAGTCCTGCATCTTTTCCTGTGCCAACGCATTGTAGTATGCAGCTGGATTAGACAGCGATGACGGCGATGCAAGGCCACTGGCTCCTGCTCCGCTCGAAGAGCCCCCAGACTTCATGGCATTCGCAGAGGGCCCAGCTCCTACCACACCCCCCGTGGGAGTGGCGAACAGGGCATCCAGATCGGCAGCTGCCTTATTTTGACGATACAGTAGCGCCTTTATCTCTGAGTCCTGCTTTTCCAGCTGCAGTAGCTGGTTGAGCATGTCGCTCTGAATGTCGTTCTGGTTCTGCTTCTGTTTCTGCTTTGATCCTCCACCGCCACCACCTCCACCACCGCCTCCGGACATGCCCACTCCCGAGGAGAGCAGTGCGGAGAGCTCATTGTGGGCTCCAGCCATGTGCTTGTTAGACGCCATTGCCGCAGCAAATTGATTGTTAGGGTCAAACAACTTGGTGTAGGTCTGCAACAAGGCCGTGTAATCCGCCTGAGCAGCAGCCTGCTGTTGCTGCTGTTGTTGCTGCTGCTGGTGCTGCTGCTGCAACTGTTGCTGTTGTTTCTTGGATGAACTACTATTGGAACTGCTACTTGCGGTAGCCTGGGGAGGCGGCGGAATAGAGGCAGCCGCAACGGCTGCCATCTGCTGCTGCAGGAACGCATTAAGGTCGTTACTCTGCTTGCTCTGCTGCATGTAGGAGTCGTAGCCGAGCAGTTTGGAGGCCTGGATCAAGTTGTTATAGTCCGCACTGAGGGCAGCAGCTGCCGCAGCCGCTGGCGAGGATTTCGATGACTTGCCAGACGAAGAGTTTGACGGTTGACCGCCCGTCAGAGTGTTGGCGGTGGGTACACCCAGTCCAGCTCCTGTCAAATAACTATAGTCCGAGCCGAATCCCAGAGTACCCAAGGTGGTGGCGCCTAGTGCTTCCGCTTGCTGAAGAAGCAGGGCTGCATACTCTGGCGAGCGGATGAGCTCGCTCATCTTTAGCGGATCGTTCTTCAGCTCGTCCAGCTCCTTCATAAGTTTCGTTTTATACGAATTTGATGTCGAACTTGAGTTTGAGGAGGACGATGACGACGAGGACTTCGATGACCGCTCAGCCTTGGACTTGCTGTTGTTGTGGGCATTGCTATTGCTACCGCCACCTCCTCCTCCGCCTCCTGTGGGCAACGGCATGTTGAAGCTGTTCGAGTAAGCAGCCACTGCAGCTGCCACATTCGGATCACTCAAACTGGCGGCAGATGTGGCATTACCTTGCTTGGAGCCGCCCACCTTGGCAGCCGCTGCGGCCAGTTGGTTGAGCGAAGAGCTGCCGTAATCTTTCCGCTGCTGCTGGAAGAGCGCTGCCAGATCTGCCTGAAGGAAGTTCGGTGGCAGCTGTCCCGCCAACTGGGCCAAGCTGGCAGCCATTAGATCGTTGGCTGTGGGCAGACAGGCGGCTGCTGGAGGCACCAGGGCGGCCGCAGCCGCTTCGTACTTGTTGGGCGTGATGCTGGGACTGTTTCGGGCTATGTCGCTTACGCTAAACTTGCCGGGACTGGGCGCTGGCGAATTCCGGGTACGGGAGGTGGAGGCGTGCGACGAGGTGTCCGACTTGGCCGGCGATGGGGACGCCCGTACCGGAACTTCAAACTTGGCCGGGCTGGCGGAGTTCGACTGTATGGTGATTGGACTGTCGCGTGGCGAGGCGCTCAAAGCAGACGACAGAGCCGGAGTCGTTGAAACTGGTGGGATGGCTGGTGGAGCGGCAGCCGTTGGCGGCAGTTGTGGAGGCAGCAGCTGCTGGCTGGCGGCAGCCGGTGGCAATGTTGGAGCCACCAGATTGGGCAGCACCGACGGATGGCTCGTGGGATTCGGTGTGGCAAGCGGGAGAGCATTCGCACCGGATTCATATTCAAGCCGGAAGGCATGCAGAGCTGCTCCTGGAGCGACATCACCTTCAGCTCGCTGGCCTTCTGCTCGGCCTGAGCAGTGGACTCCTCCTCCGCCTTGCGGGCACTCTCCTCCAAAGCGTTGACTGCCTCGCTGAATAACTCCTCCTTGGGGGCCGTCATCTTCACATCGTTGCCTATGTCCATGAGAACAACGGGCTTATCCTCCTCCTTCACTTCCAGCTCGTCATTGTCAATGATCTTGATGGTCTTGGGCGGTATGAAGTCATCCTCTTGCTCGCAATCGAGGACAGCGCAGATCCAGTTCCACAGCGCCTTGTCGCTCTGCTTGGAGGGAAACTTCGGGTACAGCGTGTTCTTTAGCTTTTCGTTGTAGGTGACGTCGTTGTTGTAGATGTGTCGGAACTTGACTACCTCGCTCCTGTACTGGGTGTAGTAGTCCACGCACAACTGTATCTCGGAGCGCACCTCTTCAGGTATCTCCTTGTCCGGCAGCACCGAGTATTGCATCAGCATAGGCCGACCATACTCCATCGATTGCCGGTTCTCGTTGGGCGGCACAATCCAAATGCACTTGACCACCGACTCGAGCGTGGGATTCTCATCGTAATAGGGAGCTGAAAAAAAAGATTGATGATCATCAGTGATTTCTCTTGACGTTTGCCAACAATTCCACTAATACTTACATATAATCAGGGAAACACACGGCGTATAGGTGAGATCGCTGGCACCACGCATCCGTATCTGATAGTCCAGCTGGGAGTCGCAGTCGCGCAGCGTCGGTTCAGCCTGGAATTTGGGATGTGAGTGATACCATCCCACCAACAGCAACTGATCCTGGATCATCATCTTCTGTATGTCACGTTCCACTTCGCCAGCCCTCTGGCGATCGAAGCGTGTGCTCCGGCAAGGATATGTCTTTGTAATGGATAGAGCTGAGGATACATAGAACATTAAAGGGATTGCTTATGTAGATTAGAACTCAAACCGAGCCGGACTCACTATGCGTGTTCATGTCCCAGGTTCCGCCCAGATAGCCGCAAACCTCGCGCACCGTCAAATGACAGTGGAAGTCTGCCAGTAGAAGGGCAGAGGAATTGATTGTAATTAGGAAGGGCTGCAGTTTACCCACAGACGAGAAGGGAACGGACTCAATGAGCATGTTGGCGTCACTGTGGAATAAAATATGATTGATTCAGTTAATTAAAAGGCACAAAGGATAAATATCTTCTTTTTAGAAACCACCCAAAATCCTTAGATATAACCCTTTTCCTGATTTACTCACTGAACTATGTTGCGATTGGCTACGGTATTGTGGGCAAAGACAGTTCGCTTGACCACAATTTCCGGGGACTCTGACTTGCGTTCGGCATCTGCAGTTACAAAGGAATCAGCAACGATCTTGAAATGCAGCAGGTAGCAGATACATACCAAGGTCACAGTCATCGAGCGGCGTCTCCTTTTGGAGGGCACATTTCCGAAGATACGTGTTCTTGTAGGCATCCAGCTTTTTGCCCTTGTACTTGACCGAGGCCCAGCCGCAGCCGCTCTTCTTCTCCGGATTGATAATCCGCTTGCAATGCATGGCCCAGGCGCTGGGCGTCAGGAAAATAGTCTCAGTCTCATGGGATTTGATCTTGCCGTCGGAAAGCAGATCTCCGACAAACTTCTGACCCAGGTATTCGATCGTCATCAGGCCCTGGCCCGGCTGCAGTACATTTGCGGCCATCAGCGTCTGTAAGGTGACCGTGCGTCCCGTGCCATTGAAGCCCTCGTAGTTCTCCTTGGCCTGGAAGTGTATTATGCATGTATTATAGTCACCGATATGGAGTCTGTTTCTGAGCGTGCTCACCTCATCGTCGTTGTCGTCGTCACCAGCGTCACTGTCCACATCTTTGTCGCACAGGTTATCCTCCAGCATAGCGACGACTGGCGCCGTCGTCCTGTCCAAGGGCGGTGGTCCGGCGTCCGAGTTGTTGGTATTAATTGCATCCGACGCGGATAGTGCATGTTCTCCCTCCAACTCCCGCTCGCAATCGTTTGTTATTTGCGGCTGCGACGGCGGCGGCGGCGACGACGGCTGCTGCTGCTGCTGATGCTGTAGCACCTGCCCCTCCTCTTCGCCATCACCATCGACATCGCCGTCACCCTCGCCGTCGGAGCTGCTCACAACCTGGTTCTCGCCCACCTCATCCACCGGCTCGCCCTCGGCCAGGGCACCGTTTTCCACACCGTTCTCCATGCGTCCTGCAATCAGCAATCTGCAATTTTTCGCAAATTCAGCCGCAGAATTTGTGTATGTGGTGGCGTAAAATGTTGTTAGTAGTACTCAGTATGACCGCGGTGTGGTCGCTCTAATATACCAAGCGGCCGCGAAAAAAATACCAAAACAATCGGCTGCACCTAAAGTGTGACCAAGTCGTTCACTATTTTTGGTATTTGTCTCTGGTATTTCGCACTGGTCCAGCTGCGGTCACTTCTAAGCGTAAATGTAAATAAAAATATATTTGTTCCTGCTTTAAGTCAAGATTTTGGTAAATGCAAGGATATGAAGGACTTCAAGGCAGTTGCCTCGCCTCGCATCCGTTCTCTTCGCAGTCGGACACAACAGTAAGTATGAAAACTGTAAATCCAAAGACAATCTTCAGCTTGGCCAACATATTGCAGGTGTCGAGTTTGCTTGAAAAAATCAAACGAAATGGTCAACATCTTTGATGCCACTCCAGAGCAAAACGTTTCTATTGTGGACCTGTTATCCCACTTTACAGGATTTGAGGTATCTAAGGACGATCCGTATCCCGAAACCGTTTGTCCACCGTGCCTGCAGGATGCCAAGAACACGTTTGAAATTAAGCAGTCACATGCAAGGAGCCACCAGATCTTCCAACAATTAAAACAGGATCCCGAAACAGTGGTAGACTTCACAGAGAAGGAAATTAGTGTCCAAGTTAAGAACGAAATCACCGACAACTTATTGGAGGAATCGGCACCACAGATAGAATACTTCCAAATAGATGAATTCCTTTCAGACGAAGTGATGAACGAGGAGACAGCGGAAAAATACGTTAAATACCAAGTGATGAACGAACCCATTGAAGACGACTCATTAGTGGAAGATTTTGGGAAAAGTTTAGATTATGAAATCGATCCTTCTTATTTACGAAAGCAAAATGACAACATTAATGATGATAATTATGGAAACTGTCCGATCTTTCTTACCCTAAACGTGGGTTCCAACAGCTTTGCGTTCCAGTGTTCCTCCTGTCCACGGCTTTTCCCAACACAATCTCAACTGAAATTACACGAGTACCGACACAAAAAGCCTACCTACAAGTGTCCCTACTGCAAAATGGCCTTTATTTACCAGTCGTTACTACAACAGCACGTAAGGAAACATACTGGGGAACGGCCTTTCAAGTGTTTACAATGCCAAGAAGATTTTACAACCCAGCAACAATATACGATACATTTCAAGAGTCACCCGAAAATTCCATTGTTCAAGTGTTCCCACTGCGAACTAGTTTTTAAAAGTCAGAAAGAACTTGAAGAACACATTGAGAGGGATACAATAAAACAATTGTATAATTGTTCTGTCAAGAGTTGTCAAAGAGTTTTCCATAACAAAAATGCACTTAATAACCACTTAATGAAAAAACATAACAAAATAGCTCTCAAGAAAGACAAGCTCCCTGAACAAGTGTTCAAGTGTTCCTACTGCGACAAGTCCTTTAAACGGAATCAATCACTTAAAATACACAAGAATAAAAAACACCGTGATGCCGGCGGACTATGGGACCCCTAACAGAGATAGACATAAAATAAAAATTAGCGTACATGTCCATAGTGCGTCCCTTAAGTGTTTCTACTACCAAAATAATATTTATCCAAAATCATGGACTTGCAGTACACAAAAAAGTCCCTGGGGTCTCCATAAAATTAGTCTTGATAACTATTTTCTTAGTTAGTATGGATGAACATCGCTTTTCAGGAAACGGCGTTTAAAAGCGAGAATCTTAAATTTAAAATAAAATCTTACGGAAAAAGAGCTGTGAAAGTGTTTCCATTGTGTAGTCACATCTGAACTGACTGATATTTTAATTATTTATTAAATATTTAAAAGAAACATATTTATATTTACATAAAGAATAAAACTAAAATTGTTTGATATGATTATGCAAAACAAGTGTATATATATTTTTTCTAATAAAAAATGATTAATTAATGATTTTTTGTTGCTAATTTATAAATTCTTCAAACTTTAGTTTGTTCACAAAACTTTTTAAGTAAAATATGTTCATGTTTGGAGATTTATTGAAATATTATTGGTCAAAATAACGAGACTTGTTAAATGTAATATATATTCCAATTTCCCATCAAGATCTTAATTACTAAAAACAAAACAAACAAATTAATTTCAAAAAATAAAATAAAAAGTAATACATTTTTCAACAATTTTAAATAGACAAACATTAAAAGAAAATCAATACTTTATATTCTTTACTTTATATATTAAATATATATATTTCTTCACTTTTTCTAAAAAAAAGCTTAGATATATTATCAAAGGTGTAGTTTTTGAGATTTCCCTTTTTATTAAATTGGGTACGGACCAGATCGGGCGGTTGTATTATGTAGCTGCCATTACAACGATCGGGAAAAATAGAAACATATAACTTTTCAGTTATTCATTATTTAGTGATCCAAAAATTGCAAAATTAAAGGGTATATAAGCTTCGGCTTGCCAAAAAGAGTTTGATTTCTTTTTAGTTAAACGACGCGTTAGGACTTAACAATGTCCGCCTGGTCACTCTGGAACGCTTATTGCAAAAAGGCGCGCATGCTAGCTTACGGAATTAAAATCGTGTTTTTATTTAATTATTGTTAATTTACTGCATGCCCATACAACATGTCACTTTGGGTGGACAAATACCGGCCGCGGGAACTGGCCAAGTTGGACTTCCATAAGGTACTGACAGAGAGATCGGGCATTTTCATACTAAAGCCATCATGCCAAAATGTTTTTTCTGACCTCAGGATCAAGCGGACAATCTGCGTAACCTGTGCAAGCAAAGTGACTTTCCGCATCTCATGTTTTATGGACCTTCGGGCGCCGGCAAGAAGACCCGGATCATGTGCCTTCTGAGGGAGATGTACGGAGCCGGCGTGGAGCGGCTCCGGAGTGAAACCATGACATTCACCACTCCATCAAACCGCAAGATCGAGGTGATGACAGTCAGTAGCAATTACCACCTGGAGGTGAATCCCTCCGATGCCGGCATGTACGACCGAACGGTGGTTATCGATCTGATCAAACAAGTGGCTCAGACGCACCAGATTGAGATCAATGGCCAACGGGAGTTCAAGGTGATTGTCATTTCCGAGGGCGATGAGCTCACTAAGGATGCCCAGCATGCCCTGCGCCGGACCATGGAGAAGTACGTGGCCACTTGTCGGATCATTATCTCGGTTAACTCCACGTCCCGCATCATACCGGCCATTCGGTCGCGTTGCCTAGGCATACGGGTAGCAGCGCCCAACGAAACGGAAATCGTGTCAATCCTGCAGAACACCTGTAAGCGAGAGGGTCTCACTCTGCCGGTGGAGCTCGCCAAGCGGGTGGTGGACAAGTCGGAGCGCAATCTCAGACGGGCTTTACTAATGCTAGAAGCCTCCAAGGTTGCCAAGGCACCGTTCACTGCCAACCAGGAGATACCCGACCTGGACTGGCAGGTATTCCTGCGCGAGACTGCTTCACAAATCATCAGCGAGCAGACGCCTGGCAAACTGGAGAAGATCCGCGAGCGCCTGTACGAGCTTCTCACCCAGGGCGTACCGCCCAATCTAATTTTCCGAGGACTTGTTGAGCAGCTTGTGAACAACTGTGACATGTCCATCAAGGCAAAGACACTAGAGTTTGCAGCGGAATACGAGCACCGAATGCAGTCGGGGGCCAAGCACATTTTTCACCTGGAAGCTTTTGTCGCCCAGTTTATGAACATCTACAAAAAGTTCCTCTCTGAGCTGGTTATGACAGATGACTTTTAATGAACTCCGTAAATTAATTAATTATTCCGAAAAACTTAAATAATAAACTGAATGTATCAACATAATTAATAGAAAAACGGCTGTTGCTGCTGCTGCTGTCGTTCCTCGCGACTCTGCAGGATTGCCATGCTCATTTTATCCTCGGTAGTGCGTTTGACAGTGTCGATGTATATGCGGACCTGCTCCTCCAGCCTGATGCTTGCCTGCAAAAACAGTGACAGGTTAAAATTTGTGAATGTGTCAGAAGAGATAAGTCATAGACATCCCATAATGGAGTAATTTTGAATTCAAAATTCTTTTAGCTTACCATTTTATACTCGATATCCTCCTTGCTGTTGACCTTTAGTGCGTGCAGCAGCAGATCGATAGTGTTAATGGGAAAAGCAAGTTGGGGATTCGTTACATTCACCGAGTGCTTAAAATCGAAGTACTCGCAGCCTGCTCCAAGCATTCCGCCGATCATCTCATGGCCTAAATCAGCGGCTTCCAGCAAACGATTGTGCTTAACGAACAGATGCAGGAGCTCCCGAGAGTTGGACAGCTTGTACGAATCAATCAGCCACTGAGGCACGAAGGCATTCAAGGCGAGAAGTCTGTTGACGATGCTCTTTTTTATCAGCGTGGAATTCTTCTCCTCGTTATCTTCTAACAACTTCTCGAGCAAGGCCCAGGCCATGTCGGCAGCATTATTTCGATGGGGAAGATCTGGGAAAAAGGGAGCATAATTATTAAAGATAGATATATTATCCCTTATCCTTAAACCAACCTGTCATATCGTTGTTTTGCAACCAGCTCCAGGCGTTCGGTGACTTATCCTCCGTGGCCGTGACACAAGCCGTTGTCAGACTCTCGAATATGGGCAGCACCGAAAACGTGTGTCCCCTGGACAGCTTTAGGGCCGCCGTGTACAAACCACAACTGGCCAGTAGATATGACAACTCTTCGGGTGAAGCGCGATCATAGGAAGCTGCATCTTTACGGAAATGGGATAGCTCAAGTAATGCCTCGGCGTGTACCAGTTCCCTTCGAATATCAGGCAGCTCCAGTACAATCACCTCCTGACCACTTGTATCCTCCTCATCCCTAAGTTCATTTTCTTCGTCTTCGGCTTTGTTCGTTGATTCGACCCTCTCGTCACCAATGCTGGGCTTGGCAATCCATCTGTAACGGCTGTCGACCAAGTGCAAACTGTTCAGACAAACCAAAAGCGACGAACAGCGTTTCTCAAGGGCATTAGGGGCGTCGCTGTCCACTTGCAGCCGCATCGCTTGCTCGTACATAACCGTGGCAGCTTTACGCATATTGCCCTTGTCCGTATGGAAAGCGTACAAAAAGTTGTATACATCGTTCTGATCGATGCTCAGGGCCCTTGCACGCGACTCCACAATGTCCTCGAACTCGTTCTGCAATCCGTGGTACGAGAACCGCATGAGCAGCTGCAGTTTCTTGGTGTTGAATAGCGTTATGACCAGTTGTCGGAGGCAATCCTTTCGCCGCGACGTATCGGCGTTGTTCACCAGGGCGTGGTAGGCCTGATCATAGTGACCCCACTGCAGATGAATGTTAAATACAATAGACTGGAACATGGGCAGCTGCGGATCATTGGAGCCTAGTACTTTCATTGCTTCGTTGGCCAGGTGGTTTATATGATCCAACGCCGAATGCTGCTCGTAGAGCTTGATTACCTTCAGGTAATATTGAACAATGGCCGCTTCAGTGTCCTCCGCTGAAATCGCCTCACCTCGGACCACACTTTCCTGTAATTTGCTATACAGCTGCGTGCTCTTCAATACGTGCTCAATTAGGAAGTCGTCTTCGACCACGTAGGAAGCTGTTTCCTGAAATTCATGGACTGCTTTGTGCGCCTCTCCGCAATCCAGCAGGGATACGGCCAACATAAAGCGTCCTAAAGTCCTAGTAAGAGGATATACAAACATAAAAACTCAATGCGACTTACTTGCAGGACCTTTCGTTGAACACCAACCGGACAAAAGGCGCACATAGTCCTGGACGATGATATGCTGGCAGGTACCTAGTAGCCATTCGGGGAACACGTAGATGGGAGACTCGGGCCACAACATCTTGTTGATAGATCCCACAATTTGAAGTAGCACATCGCGCAGATTAAACGACTCGGTCTCCAGCTGCAGACTGTCGGTTTTCTGTACCATGGCAAGGGCGCTAAAGAGGCCCTTGGACTGCAAAAAAAGACTGAGCAGCGTGGTCTGGTCATTACCCATGTTTCGCAATTGGCTGGCATAGGGACGAGTGTAGCCACTGAATAGTTGGGCGCGGCTCAAACGCTGGATGGCAGCCTCACTGAAAAGGTTGATTCATTTAAGGAATATGGTTACTTTAAAAAAAATTCAAAAATAAATACAATCCAGCTGGTGCAGTCAAGGAAATGGGAGTGTCGGCGATCCAGACCAAAGTTCTATAACAGTTCAGATAATTGATGTTTGTTTCAATGTTTGATGTCTTCATTTCACCTGGCTTACACACCAGATACTGCAATATTAAAAGGTTTCGGCAGACAGCGAATCTGTAATTTAACCACAAGAATATTTATGTTTTTTAACAATCAACAATTATACAAATATCTATATTGATCTCACCTTATCATGGCCATTTGCTTGACCGTTTCGGCTAAAATGGCAAGCCCATATTCGCTGCCAAATAAAGCTCCCGTTGGCTGCAAGAATCGTGATGAAGCGGAATAATCTAAATAGAATAATAAACAGTAGTTAGAAACTCTGACAAGCTAATATTTAATTCTTACCATATGGAGGCGCATCTGGATCTATGATGCTTAACACATCGAGTAACATTTCCACAGCTGGCTTAACGTTGGGTATATCCTGAAACTTCTGGGTTATGGCCTTCACGCTTTCCCCTGACAACGCTGCCAGTCGGGATACCACCTTGGACACCACTTCGATTGGGGATTCGCGATCGTAGAGTTGCTTGTCCATCTCAATTTTCATATCTTCTGATATCAGTCCATCAAGCTGCGTCACTACCTGCATCACGTTGACAAAACCCGTGGCCATGGCGGGATCGTTCCGGAAAATGGGAGCCACAAATGTAGCCACCCTTTTGCTGTCACTGCCGATGAGCAGAATATGCTCCAGCACCTCGCAGGGACGCAGGAGTGAGAATGACTGTCGCCTGACCAAACACACGGCATCCATGCCGCCGAGGACAGCAAGTCCCATGAGCTCAGAGAATTTGATGTGGTACTGCTCACAGCATGAGTAGAAGCGGCTCCACAGTCGCGTTGCAACCTCCCAGTACACGTCGTCGGGGACCTCGAAGTCTTTCAGCTCGTTCTGGATCTCATCCTCGACGGCCGTGCACACCTGCTCCCTTAGCACGGACATGGAGAGCTGTTTCACATCCAACTGCATGTTGACGCGCCTAAACATCTATGAGAAATCAATTATTAGAGGAAATATTTATATAAAAGCTTAATTCTCACTTACATATAGGGCCTTGGTAATCACATGCCGATCAAAACGGCCCGGATGGAAGATGTGTGAGCAATACGCCTCCCGTGGATTGACATGCTCCTGATCGATAGCAAGGCTAAAGCGATCCGGTGGAGTTTCCAGGGCAGCGGTAACCCATTTAACGACTTTTTTTGAACTCAGGTGTCCGGCCGAGACATGAAATTCACCCTCAGCGTTGCTCCAAAGGGCCCATATATGCGAGTTAGTGGCATCAAAGTTAATAAGATCCATTTGGGGCGCCGTTTCTGCAGTTTCCTCATGCTTCACCAGCATGATACCTTTGTTATCCCCGGGATCGGGCACAATGCTTAAACAAATGAACTCAGCTCCGTTGTCGTGGGAGATGAATAAACAATAGTCCCGATCGTTAATTTTGCGCAGTTGATTGTTTTGAGCTGAGAGAGTAAATACATAAGTAGGTCTAATATAAAGCACTGGGCTGTACTCACGTCCTTGCGCTCCTGATCCTGCGTGACTGGTGCCCGCGAAGAAGTTTATGCTAGCCACCGTCTGCAGGCCATCGCCTGACCACAATCGCAGCTCATTGTTTCGGTAAAGGACTAGAATATAGATATGCCCCTCAATTTCGCTGAATGCCATAGACATGGCTGCTTCTTGGATCTCCGAGCGACCACTGAAAATACATAATTTTGATAATTATTTGAAAGGATACGCCCTGGAATCGCATACTCACATCAAAGCACCTTTGAGGTTGGACAGAAAGCGTGGCATTAGATATGGCTCCTTGACTTCGCTGGTGGTCGTGTGGCCGGAACTGCAGTTCATGGTATGGAGCAGAAGCTTGTCTTCGTAGGCCACCGCAAAGTAGGCAGTGAGAGCGTCATGCGAGATATGGGATACGGCCACGTTGGGCGGTATCGTACCAAAGCTATCAGTCACATAGAAGCTGCTAGGATCGTTGATCTTCTCATTTACATCGTAGAAAATGGATTGCGACTGGAGATCCTCGAGAATACTGCCGCTTCCCCCGTCCTGACCAGCCATCTTCAAGGGGAACAAATACCGATGCACACTGCTGACGGTGACCACCAGCAGCGTGATGCTCGTCGGTTGCTCTGCCAGACTAACGTTCAAAACGGCAGAGTCCGTAAAGCGTAGACGCAAGTGGTTTCTCTGAAGAGAGATGTCCAAACTGACCTCTGATAGTTCAAGCACATCCTGATTTGCGCGCCTATAAAAGGGGCGAGGGGGGAAGATTACATTACCAGACGAAACTATATCATCGACGGTGCTCAAACTTACCAATATATAAAGCGGTTCCTGAATTGCTTGCTGTTACATCGCTTATAGCAATAGCCGCCGGAGGTCTCGAATGTCTTTAGATCCTGCAGAGTGCTCTGGGTTCCTATTTTTATTATTTACATATAAAAATCGTGGCTTTCATGGCAGAACTCCTCCTTCTCCACCTCTGACGCACAACTTACCAGTGTTTATCTTCACTTCTATCCACTCTGCCGGATTAAGGTTTTTGGGGATGACTTCCCTGTAACTCATGTTGGCAGATAAAGTGGAATTGGGCATCTTTATTAAAAATGTCCACGAGAAACCACAGAAAATTTTATTGGCGGCACCGGCAAACAACACGCTCAACAGTTTTAGTGTTGGACAACGCGGATATTGGCTTTAAACTATGAGCTGAAGTGGGTGTTTAAACCGAAAATAGTCCTACGTTTTATGATAACTTTAAAATAAAATGTTTATGCCAAATGTTTATAAAATTACATTGAATTGATTCCTATGCCAAATTGTTTTCATATTCTTTTAATATTTTTATATTTCCTATTCCGTTAGATCGTGGTCATACATCTTGCTAACCCTGGTCACATTACGCCCGGCCATCCACATGTGTTTTTGTTGATGCGGCTGTGTTATTTACCAGTTTTGCTAAATTAAAATTAAATTAGGATACCAAAATGAGTGGACAGGATAATGAGACCATTATTTGTCTGCCAGGCGAGCGCCTTTGCGCTACAGATGACAACATAGTCCTCGGCGTTGGCACATATGAACAGAATGGCTACATCTATGCCTCCAAGTCTGGCATTGTGAACATCGACGAGTCGGGGGAAAACGTGAGTTTTGTAAGAATATCTAAAGCTTAAATTAATTAACTGATATCCCCTGCAGTGTCAAGTTGTCAGTGTTCACAAGCCAGGCTTTCATCTGACAATCCCGGCCACCGGAGACGTGGTCACCGCCCGCGTTTTGGTCACAACTCCAAAATTCGCCAAGTGCGCCATTTTCTGTGTGAGGAATGTTCTTCTAGAGAGCAGCTATCGTGGTCTCCTGCGTAAGGAGGATGTGCGAGAGACGGAGAAGGACCGCGTTGATATCTACAAATCATTCAAGCCGGGCGACGTGATCCTGGCCCGTGTGATCAATCAATTGGAGCAGTCGTTCCTCCTCACAACTGCTGAAAACGAACTCGGCGTGGTCATTGCCTATGCCAGCGATGCTCGTAAAAATCGGGTGCCAATGGTACCCGTGGGCTGGAGCGAGATGCAGTGCCCCCAGACCACGATAAAGGAGCCACGTAAAGTTGCCAAAGTCCTGCCGGAAAGTTCAATAAACGATGTGAAATAAGGCCAATCGAATTGTGAACTCAATTTTTGGGAAAATGCTCGAGTTTAATGGACTGCTCTAATTAATTAATAGGTAAATTATTCTGTATCTAGACAACCCATAATTATTTCAGACGTTCAAAGTTTTTTGTATCTCCATAGTTACCTCTAACTAAAAATTTGACCCTCAATTTGTATATCCCAGCAAGGTATTATAATTTAAGCCAAGAGCTTGTTACACAGTGAAGAAGTCATTTCCGACCCTATAAATCATATATTATTGATCAGCATCGACAGCCAGTCATTCTAGCTATGTCCGGCAGACTGGCAACTGCAAGATTTATATCAACTTCGGTTCTCCAAAGAGAACTCCATTCTTGTGTGGTTTTCATTATTTTAAATTACTTAAGTATTTTAATTTATACACTGCAGGGACCGTAACTTTTTTTTTTTTCATTTAAAATTTAAATACCAATGCTAAATAACAAATGCTACCGAAACAACAGAAAATTGCATTCTTCGGACTTTAAACCAATTTATTTTTATTAAACAATGTAAAATATGAATTGAATGTCTCAGAGTACAATACCCCGGTTTCCATAGTTATTTGTTTGTGACAATGAGTAACCTTCAAGTTCTTGTAATGATTTTTTGTTATTACGATTAAACAAAAGATAAGAAAGAAGTTTTAAAACTTCTTTTTTTTATTATTAAATATCTATCTTCTTGGAGAATTTAGAGTTGCGCTAGAAATACCCTGTCCATCGTGTTTTCTGCGCGAAGGAATAAAAAGGTGTTTTCTTTGATTAAGTTAATTAATTTAACAATTTTTTAAGTAAACCCTTATGTATATATTCCTAATAGCAGGGGAAATGACCCCTTTGATGGATGGTAATCAATATGCAGACACATGCTCTTTATGAGTTGAACATAAATAGTTCTTGGAAAGGAATGACAGGTACTTATTCCAAACAATCGGAATTACCTTTACATGCTATTGCACGTGTTTCCCAAATGAAGCAAATAATAAAAAGCAATATGGCTGCAGGCGTCAGAGCTGTAAAGAACCTGACCCGTAACCCGTTGCCAATCAATGTCGCTGGGAGCTGTTGTTGATGGGATAGCAATAGTTGCGATTCCTATGCAAATAGCAGCTCCCTTTGCGTGCTGGAGTCGAACCTAATTCAATCAGAGGAGTGGGATCATGGAGCACCTCCTGGACTAGGCCACCGTGTCTTGTCTTGCCGAAAAAGTAAATGCAAATGCATAAATGTTACAGGTGGGCGGGGAGTCGACGGCGAGTGACTGAGTCCCGGATCCTGGACCGGGGCGGCATCCAAACAACCAATCGTTGTTTGGTCGATGAGAAACGCAACCGGCTCGTTTCGGTAGTTCGAAGTTCGAATTCCGGTTAATATTCAAATTAGGACTAAGGGACATACAATCAATGTGCGAGTGCAAGTGAGCAACCCGGCAGGTAGTTGGCCCTTTCGTATCTGTCGCTGAAACGTCACCAGTTCTGGCCAGTCCCGAAGCATAAGTTCCTGTCGCTGTTTCTAGTCACTGTCAGTCGCAGGGCAACAGCTAGAAGGACTACATACCAAGCAAGAACTTCGGAAGCGGAAACGGATACGGACAGGGAACTTCACAGGGACAGAGACTGCAGCAAGCAACTCATCATGGTTCAGATATCGCAGACGGAGGAGGACATTAAAATCTCCATCGAGCTTAATCGTTTGGTGACCCGCAAGCCGGATGTTGTCCTCCTCCCGCAGTATCTTAAGTTCAACAATCCTCCCATTTTCTTTGAGCGGCATCTGGCCCAGGAGATCGACGAAATGGCCAGGTGAGTTCACTACAAGAGTAATAATGCTTCTTTTATTGTTACCAATCTTTTGCAGTTTCTGTCGCATTTTCAAGAACGAGGCTCGCATAGTGCTGGTGAAAAAGGAGAAGGGTTTTTGGCCGGAGATGTTCCAGAAGCTGGACAAAGAAGCGCTTATGCAGAAGCGCCTAGAAATTGCCGATCTGATTGTGGAGCGCAACAAAAAGCGGGACGAGAAGGCGCTGGAGCGGTACGAGAACAAGAGGCGTGCTGAGATTGAAAAGGAGATAAAGCGGGAAACTGCTATGCGGGAACGGTTGAAGCAATTCCAGGAGAACTCCGTTCGTGAGGCCCTTGTGGTGGACGTGCGCAAAGACAGTGCCACTCCCAAGGCCGAACAACCGTCTTCGGTGCCTTCCGCCAGCCGCCTGGCCACGCCCCTAATGCGTCCACCGATGAGCTCTGTGCGCGGCAGCGGGCGGATCACTGTTAGCTTCTCAAGCCAACACAAGCGGAGCACGCCCATGAGGGAGTCGCAGACTACCGTGGACAATGCTTATGCTGCTGCCGGTGGACCTAATGCGGCCGTTAATCCTCCCATGGAGAGCCTCGACGAGTAAAGTTAAAACGAGTTATCCATTTAACACAAATTGTGCGTGCGTGCGCTCTTGAGACTGTTCAAAATGCTTCCTATCTTCATATTTCAACAATTAAATCTACAGGTGTGGTCTTTAACAGTAACAATAGTTGAAAATGCGTTTTCAATTGACAAGTTCATTATTTAACTGAATGAAATTTAAAATATATAATTAATTAGCTGATTCATTGATTAAGTAATAAAATAAGGAGACACCAAAAGTTAGCTTGTCTCATTTAAATATTGGTTTCAAAGTTCGATATCACCGATTACCAATGACGTGGAATAAACATCGATAACCGACTTATGTCAGCTGTTTGCCCATCAGCTGAGTTAGAGCTGGAAAAAATCGGACGTCACTTTCGATATACATTCGACGTTGCTTTTTTCACAAATTTTTTGCCGCTATGTCCGTATTCCCACAAAGAAACTATTAAGTCTCGTAATTACACAAGCAGTTGGAGAAGACTGATGACTGACGCAGCAGGAGCTGGTAACCGGAAAAGCCCTGCCGGGGACACGAACACGGACTGCATGGTGCAAACGCTGGCCGGCGGAGCTAAGGAGGCCGCCAGGCTGGATGACCTGGTGCAGTATGTGAGTCTGCACGTGCGCATTCCGACAGCATTGAGCGGTGTGGTGCTGCCCTTCGTACCGCTCTACCTGGCCGCCTTCTACCTGTGGATCCACGTGTACGGCGGAGAGACCACTCCCAGCGACAACAATAACGTCGAAGTGATCTCCGGTGAGAACATTACCAGCACGGATGCCACCACAACGGTATGGAATGACGTGGGCTTCATTGGTGTGGTGGCCATCGCCTTTCTTCACGTTCTCACCCTTCTTTTCTGCTACTGGAGCGTTCATGTGTTGGCCTTCCTCACGTGTCGTCGGGTAAAGCTGCCGGGCGCCAATGTGCTGGCCAAAGTGGTGCCCACTGCGAACAATGGCAACTCCAAGATCGTTCCCGTGCGATCCGCCAAACTGGAGGATGGCTCCACACAATATTTCTTGGTGTTCCAAAAGACGAAATATGTTTGGAATGAGGACAGGAAGACGTTCCGCGCTGTGGAGTTCCCAGTTAATGGACTGCTAAGCAGGTACTCTGCTTCCAGAGGATTGGAGACTGAGGAGGCCATCAAGCGAGCCACCAACACCTATGGAAACAACGAGATGGACATGGTGGTACCCGAGTTCCACGAACTTTTCATTGAACGAGCAACAGCGCCGTTCTTCGTGTTCCAAGTGTTCTCCGTTGGACTGTGGTGCATGGACGACTACTGGTACTATTCCCTTTTCACCCTCTTCATGCTGATTGCTTTCGAGTGCACCATTGTGAAACAGCAGCTGCGCAACATGTCCGATATCCGAAAGATGGGCAACAAGCCGTACCTGATCTACGCCTTCCGTCAGAACAAGTGGCGGCACATGGGATCCGATGAGCTGCTGCCCGGGGATTTGGTTTCGATCACACGCTCCCAGAACGACAACATTGTGCCTTGCGACCTGGTCATCCTACGGGGATCCTGCATCGTTGACGAGTCCATGCTGACGGGTGAATCGGTGCCGCAGATGAAGGAGTCCCTGGAATCGCTGGATAATTTGGATACTGAACTAGATGCCGAGGGCGATGGCAAGCTTTTCGTTCTGTTCGGTGGCACCAAGGTTGTCCAACACACAGCCCCCACCAAGGAATCGTTGCGCGCTCCGGACGGCGGCTGCATTGGCTACGTGATACGCACTGGTTTCAACACATCGCAGGGCAAGCTCCTTCGCACCATCTTGTTCGGAGCAAATCGCGCCACGGAGAACAACGTGGAGACCTTTGCCTTCATTGCTTTCCTGATGGTATTCGCAGTGGCCGCCGCCTCTTACGTGTGGGTAAAGGGCAGCGAGGATCCAGAGCGCAATCGCTACAAGCTCTTCCTTGAGTGCACGCTCATACTGACGGCCATCATCCCGCCTGATCTACCCATCGAGCTCACCCTGGCCGTAAATACGTCTTTGATGCAACTGACCAAGCTGTTCGTCTTCTGCACGGAGCCTTTCCGCATTCCCTTTGCTGGCAAAGTTCAGATCTGCTGCTTCGACAAGACGGGCACCTTGACAACGGATAATCTCATGGTCGAGGGCATTGCTGGACTGGCTCCCAATGGCGCTTGTGTGCCCATCGAGGAGGCAGAAGCGAATACGGTTCAGGTGCTGGCCTGCTGTCACTCCCTGGCCCTGTTGGACGATGGATTGGTGGGTGATCCCCTCGAGAAGGCCACACTGGCTGCGGTGGACTGGAACCTAACCAAGACGGACAGTGTTATACCGAAACGTTCGCAACTGAAGCCTCTGAGGATCATTCAGCGCTATCACTTCTCATCGGCTCTGAAGCGAATGTCTGTGCTGGCCGGCTGCCTGATACCTTACTCGAACGACGTGAAGCACATCGGAGCGGTAAAGGGAGCCCCGGAGGTAATTCAGAAGATGCTGCGTGAGGTGCCCGCGGATTACGAGAAGGTTTATTTGGAGTACGCCCGTCGCGGTGCTCGTGTCCTGGCACTTGGCATCAAGGACTTTGGCATTCTGGGCAATCAAAAAGTTCGGGAATTGAAGCGCGAGGAAGTTGAATGCGACCTGACTTTCGCCGGCTTTGTGATCATCTCCTGTCCCATGAAGCCCGACTCTAAGGCGGTTATCAAGGAGCTAATTCAATCCTCGCACAAAGTGGTAATGATCACCGGTGACAATCCGCTCACCGCCTGTCATGTGGCTCGCGAATTGCGATTCACCCGTAAGAAGCTGCTCATCCTGACGCCTTCACCCGGAAATACTTTTAAGTGGGTGTCCGTCGACGGAGATCAGAAGTACGAGCTAGAGCGAAAGAATAGCAAGAGAAGTATATCATTGCTGTTGGCCACACACGATCTCTGCATCACCGGCGAGGGATTGCAGTATCTTCAACTGAACGACAAACAATACCTGCGTCAAGTGTTGCCACAGATCACAGTCTGTGCCCGCTTTGCACCCAAGCAGAAGGAATTCGTAATCACTCAGCTGAAGCACCTGGGTTACTGTACTCTTATGTGTGGTGACGGCACTAACGATGTGGGCGCTTTAAAGCACGCCAACGTGGGCGTCTCTCTGCTCACCAGTGCTCCTGTGAAGCGCAAGCGCACCGAGGAGGAGCAACAGCAGGCGGCAGCGGCTGCGGCGGCACAAGTGGCGGCAGCAAACAATGCCAACCAGCAGTTAACGCCCAGGGAGCGAGCCCTACGCCGCCGCCAGGAGCAGATTTCCCAGACACAGGCACGCTTGCAGACTGCGTTGCGCGACATGGAGGAGCAGACTATAGTCAAGCTGGGAGACGCCTCCATTGCTGCACCCTTCACCAGCAAATCCTCTTCGATTATGTGCGGTAAGGAAAAAGGTTAACCTTTGCTTTAATATATATTCAAACGGTTAATTCTCTTTCCAGTTAACCACATTATCAAGCAGGGCCGCTGCACGCTGGTAACCACACTCCAGATGTTCAAGATTCTCGCCCTGAATGCCCTCATCCAGGCGTACTGCCAGTCCGTGCTGTACATCGATGGCGTCAAGTTCAGTGATACCCAAGCCACCATGCAGGGAATTTTCATAGCCGCCTGTTTCCTCTTTATCACCAGAGCAAAGGTACTTATTTTGGAATGCCAGAAAGGCATATTTTGATAAAAAATTTAATTTTTTTTCCACAGCCTCTGAAAACCCTGTCCAAGGTGGCACCACTGCCAAACATATTTAATTTCTACACCATTTCGACCATCCTCAGCCAGTTTGCTGTGCACTTCGGAACGCTCTACTACCTGACCAGCAAGGCCACCGAGTTGGCGCCGCCCAGGTAAGCTCAGATCTTTGATTTTATCATAAGTTATTCATAATTTTCCTTTCACTTCCTGCAGAGTGGGAAAAGTTAAGCTGTACATCGACATGGATGCCGACGAGAAGACCAAGTACGAGCCAAACATTGTGAGCAGCACCGTCTATATCATTTGCATATCCCTGCAAGTGGCCACCATTGCTGTCAATTATAAGGTGAGCCTTAAAAGATTTTTTAAATGTTGTATTTTAATTAATATTTATATATTTTTTACGAATACCAGGGTCATCCCTTCATGGAAAGCTTGCGCTCGAATCGGATGCTAATGTATGCCATTGGAGCTTCAGCTACTCTCGTGCTGCTTTTGTCCACGGGCCTGGCGCCCGAACTGACGGAGTTCTTTGAGATCATTGATTTCCCTACGGATGTAAGTATTTTGGAGGCTTCTCGAAGTGATATGGTGTTAATGTTTTTTGTTTTAGTTCCGTAAAATTTTGCTCGGTGTGTTGGTCCTTGATATTTTCGGTGCCTTCGCTTTGGACCGCATTTGCTCATTCCTGTTTGGCGAAACGCGTCGTGCCGCAAAGTCATAAATTCTGAACTGTTTGGGACCCTTAGAACTAAGTGATAGACAAGGAGCAGCTTCTAAAACAATACGTTCCACAAAATAGATGAACTTTCTTCTTATTTTCTCCTTAAAGTTAACGGCATCGGTTTCTTAAGCGTTTAAATTCGATATAATGCATTTCAGTTGCATTATCAGCCAAGTATATTATTTTTTGGGCAGACTAAATATCATTTTATTGTAAGAAAAAGCAAAACTCTGAATTTCTTTGTGTCTCTCGTATATGCAAATAGTGAAATTGTCGTAATATTTGTAATGAAAAAATAGATAAATATTTAAGAAATCAATTTAATATTTATAAAAAGATCCTAATGCCGTGTGTTTCAAGTCTGGTCTGGTTCGGGGTCCTCCACCTTTGAGTCCTCCAGCTGCTTGAACTGAATCAAGATGACCAAGTAAGTGGTGACGGCAGAGAAAATCTAAAGAAGGGATTGTGATATGTAAAACAAGAAGGTATACTAAATACTAAATAGTATTATACCTTGAACAATGTCGAGTTGTCTATGGCAAAAAATCCGTAAGCCGTGAATTGAACCTCTTGCTTAATGCTCTTGGTCAGGAATTTATCAATCTGCAAGGGAAGCGTAATTTAATTTCCAAATGTTCCCTACCTCTACTTACAATGTTCTGAAACTCCCTGGAGCTGGCATAGACCCTTGATAGTATCTGAGATGTGGCATTGGCCTTTGGACAGAAGCACTTAGTATTATTAGTGGCTTAAACATATCTGCGTTTTCTTTACTCACCTCTCTGGTAGTCAGACCACAGCTCCTGGACAGCAGAGCCAGAAGGGAGACGTGGAGACAGAGCCAAGCGAAGCACCACTGCAGAATGTTGGCCGACACCATGCCCTTGGCGGTGATTTGGACGAACAGATTGTAGCAGTTAGTGGTGACCGTGTAGAAGGAGTAGCCGAGGAACGAGACCAGTATCAGGTTGCAGCAATCGTTGATGCCCTTATAGATACGCAAAAGTTTATTGTGCATGCGATAGATGAACAGCGAGTCCTCCGGGAAATGTTCCATAATGGCGGGATTGGGAGTGGGATTGTGGTTACCATTGCCACGATGACGCCTCCCACCGCCTCCACCACCCTTGCGCTTCTGTTGCTGCCCATAGGTGTATCCATTGAGCAATTGGTTAATGAAATGGAATCGTATATACACAATTCTTAGCAGAGCTGAAGCGAAGACAATGTATGTAGCTGTTAGACCATTTTGGACGGCATAGAAGGCCAGGAGGATGTAGGAGGGCGGTGTGATCTCACCGTCCACCGCATAGATCCTCAGAATAATTATGTAGGTTTGACAAACGGCGATGCCCACCAGGAACTTCACGGAGAACCCAAAGTTCTGGTTCAAATTTGCACCAAACTGCCGACGCACTTCCTCGTCCAATTGAAGGATCTCGTTCATGATACGCAGCATACTCTTGGTATTCCTGGCACACACAAACACCGTAAGGGTGTAGGTCAAGATGCAGAGCAGCAGCTCGATCCATTGGTTAACATTATCCGTCTCCCGGTAGGAGTAAAATAACTGGGCCGAGATGGGTGTAAACAAGCTGTAGACATTAAAGATGGTAAGGGCGTGGACCACGCCTCTTACGAAGAAGGAATAGAACTCGTTGGTCTTGGTCGGTGGTCCCACTTCGTAGTTGGAAACCTGCTCGTATATAGGCATCAGGCCACTAGCCTTCAGCACTGACATTATGGTGCGTATGTCCTCGAAAACGGGGTGATCGTGTGTCCGCGTAGTGGGACCAGCAATTGCCGCTGCCGGGGAATCCCTTGTAAAGGCATCTCGATTCAAGGACGGCGTTCGGTACGGTGAGATCCTCCGCGGGTACGGATGAGAGCGTGACTTCTGCGACGGCATTTCGATAACCCAAGTGTTCGGGGACATGGCCAACGAGGCACTGACAGCACAACGTGACGGGATATGGCCAACTGAATAGAGCGTGGGTCAAGGGTAAGTGGAGTCTCTGTTATCTGATGGAAGCCAGGACCCACTTGGCTATTAGAGTAATTGCCTGCATTGTGGATTATTGAATAATGCCAACGGATGGGAACTATAAAATCAATTTTATTTGTCCAATCAAAACATCGACAACAAGTTTGAAGAAACGTTCTACGGAAATCCCTTGCTTTAATGCCTTCAGGAGAAAAACCGTTTTGGGAACTCTTATTTTATTATTAAAAATTAAATATTTATAGTTGATTGAATCTTATTTATTCGGGATATTGAATCACGGTGGCTACGCCCCACATTTTTCCGGTTCCCCAGTTCTTCCCAAATGAGCTCTTGATGATCCAATAGTCTATGAGAACGATAGTCCTGAAAAGTGACCTCCTGATCTCTGGTATAATTGAAAGCAACATTTATAGAACATTTATTTTAGATTTATGTTTATGATCCCTGAAATTGTATATTTCTATTAATGTTTTAAGCTTTTAACCATTCTTTAATTCAGATAATTTTCAAGTTATAGAATTTTGAAGTAAGCTCTGTCGGAGATATTTTATGAAAAACCTTCTAAGACTTTTTCGGACTAATCCTAATCTTCACAATCTCTCCGTTTCCAATCCGATATGGAACCAGTTATGAGGCTTTCCCTTAAGTCCGTTGTAATCCCTGTCAACATAAACCCGTAAATCGAAAATCAAATGGGGGTAGCAATTCGATGTGAAACCAATTTCACCCTCGGATATGACACGAGCGTGTTATGTCTATATTATCACACGGGATGCGTGAAATATTATTATTGTCACACCTTTTGCGCCCCCAGTAGCACCCAGACATGGACGTACTCCCACTCACACACTGGCCAACATATTTTTCAACCCCTAATGAGGTATTGCAATTCAATGTGGTCGTGTTTTTTTTTCTATTTTGTCAATCTCCACCTTACCTTTGGGGCGGAAGAGTGAGAGCGAGAGAGTCCTGAATATGGGCACGCTGTTGCTTTCGGCATATGACTTACAATGGCATGAATTCCATATATTTTTAAAAACATTTTTAATATTTATTTATAAATACAAATTTACTATATTAATAGTAAACCGGTTGTAACCGGAAAGGGAACTTACTTCGAAAAACCGAACTAACTAACTAAGCTTTTATAAACAATTTTTCAACAAATAAATGTTTTAAAACCTCATAATTTGGCCAAAAATGCATTAATTTTAATTAGGAAAGCTGATTTATGTTAGTTTTTATTATATTAAAAAATCTGCATCCCTAATTTAAAATTTAAGGGCATTCAAATTTTATCAATTTTTGACAATTTTAACGATTTAACCCCTTATAAAATTTTCAAATTTTCGAAAAATTTTAAAAATTTATTTTTTTTCGGACATATCTAGATCGAATCGCCTTTTAGTGCTGATCAAGAATATATATGATTTATAGGGTCGGAAATGACTCCACAGGTTTACAAGCTTCGGAATGTAATTAGAATACCCTGCAAGGGTATACAAAAATGGTATTAATTATAACATTTTAAAATCTACAAATACTCATATATAGCTTTATAGGAATATATCTCCAATGAACACCCACATAAGTATAAAAAATCCCCACTGTTCTGTGACGTCACGGCCTTAGCTTACGGCTAAGCTCACTCCGACAGATACAGACACGGAGAGAGTCAGTGCGTCACCAAACACACCAAGAGAATGGGCGGAGTGGGCCAGGGAGATGGGATGGGCAGAGGGAGTGGGAGAGCGGTGGGCGTGAGAGAGAGAGACACTCTTATCAGCACATCGGCATCGACAAATCGGAGACAAAACAAAACCGAAATTAATCCCGCAGAGAAAGGCGAACGCATCGCTCATCGCACGGAATGCTGCCGCTCGTTCTGATTTTGCTGACTCTAGCCAGGATCCACGCCCACTACACCAGCGGAGATGTGCTCTACCATCCATTGCCACACTTCTGGACGGGCGTGGGCTTCTGTCCTGCCGGTCGGATCGATCACATGGGGATTGAGGCCTCTCTGGCCACCCCCGCCCTCCAGATGAATCTCCGCCAGATTTCTGCTCTGCCAGTAGGAGCTGTGACCCATATACGCATCCACTGGCTTCTCGAGCTGATCCAGTTCCGACAGTATGATGCCAGCGGGATACCCATTTATGACTTCACAAAGTTCGACGACTTCATAGACTTCCTGCACGAAGAGTTGCGCTTATCCCCGGTGCTCGAGTGGATGGGCAATTTGGGTGGGGTTTTCCAGGAAAATCCCATGCAGATGCCCTTCTACTGGGAGCATTTGGTCAAGACGACAGTTAACCACCAGCTGGGTAAGAAATTGCTACAGAAACCAAAAAAGGTAATAAGGTACCTTCCATCCAACAGCGCGTCACGGTTCCGCCAGATTGGCCAACTGGCGCTACGAGACCTGGAATGAGCCGGATCTACGTGTGTACAACAAACTCAATCTAACGTCCCAATCCTATCTGGACTATGTCCAGGCCGTGCGTCAGGGTCTCAGCAAAGCTGGAAATCTGGATACCTATGAGGGCAAAGTTCAGCTGCCGATGTATCGAGCTCTCCGTGGACCTGCGGGTCTCTTTAAGAGCTCGGACACTCATCCGCTATGTTGGAAACTGCTGGAACAGTGCAACAAGAAGGTGGTGTACTGCCCCATCGATATACTCACATTTCATCGCAAGGGAATCGATGGTACTGCCACGGAGATTGTAAATGGTTCACTATCTTTAATGGCCAAGATCTACGAGGACTATCCCAATCTTAAATCCATGCCGGTGGCTAATGAGTGAGTGTTGAAAGTTTTCTGCATAATTCACTAATTATATCATTAGCCTCATTTCATTCAATGTGTTAATAAAAAACTATTAGCCAAGTTGCAAAGTGAAAGCAAGTTCAAAAGTCTAAAGATTTTTAAAAGCTATGTAATAATAAGTGACCTAACCAGATTTAACCCTAAATGAAAATATATTTTAACCCCAGTCTCTCTGTCCTTTAGTGAAGCTGATCCTGTGGCCGTGTGGAGCACTCCCAGGGAGTTCCAGGCGGATGTCCGGTATGGGATTACCCTAATATCCACTGTGATGGAGCACTGGCATGCCAAGCTAGCTGGGGGACCATTGGCCCGACTAGAGTCCATCAGTCATGACAACGCCTTCCTCAGCTACCATCCCCACGAATTCACACAACGCACGCTCCTCGCACATTTTCAAATGAACGAAACGGAGCCACCGCACTCACAATTTATCCAGAAACCGGTCTACGCTGCTCTGGGAATGCTGGCCAAGTTGGGAAATCGAGCTGCTGACATGGAACTGGTCAATATGGACAGGAAGCACAGCGTTGAGGTGCTTCGCACAGTGTCCGGCGGAGTGGGTGGACCTGGGCAGTACATGGCCGCTATATTCCTTAGCCCCGAGAAGGCTGGACCGCAGAGAACAGCTTTCCATCATAAGTACACACTGAATATGTCTATAGCGAACGAATCGGCTTTCATCACGGAGATCCTGGTGCCCCACACCACTGATCCTTATTTCGTGTGGCAGCAGGCGGGCAGTCCGGCTTATCCCAATGCTACGCTCAGGGAAGCCATGCGTCGGGCGCAAACTCCCAAGCTCTATGAGACGGGACCCATCTGGCAGTACAACAGCGAGCTGGTTATAAACTCCGCCACCCTACCGCTGCCCTGGGCGGTTCTGTTACGTGTATGCTCCTCCGCGTGGCCCAAGCTTCGACGACCGCAGCAGCTCTCCATCGTCGAGGTAACTCATCGGGAAGTCTTCATCAGCTGGGCTGAGCATCCCAAGTCCACACAGTGCCTACGTAGCTACGAAGTGTGGTTCAAGGAGCGCGACAGCAAGGGCCCCGCAGCCGACTGGCAGCTCATATCCCATGGCTGGCATCTGCCGTATCCTTCGTTTCAGTATGCGCCTGGCGATAAGGGATCCGTCAATGGTGAGTAGTGAAATATCCCAAGAATATATATTCACTTATAGTCTCTCCCTTCTCATCAGGCTTTTACAAGGTTCGAGGAGTGAATGTCTTTAATGAGACCAGCCCGTACTCCCAAATAGTCGAGTATCTGGAATTGTAGTTTAACAAACAGTTTATAAATGAAAAGCAAACATAATCAGGCTTCGGCCAGGCGCTAATGGACCTCCCACCCTCTCTCTATATCTGTCTCTCTTGGAATGGACTGATTTCACCGGGCACAGTCTTGTGCCATCGCCTTAACGCCGCCAATATCTCATATGAAGTATATATATATAAATATAAATAGAGATATAGTACATTATATGTGTTGTGTTCGTATTATATAAATGCCTTAATCCTGTCCAGGAGTCGGCGTAAAGCGTAAATAAATGTAACGTATTCTCTCTGGGGTTATGTATGTACAGAGGAATAACTAAGTAAACTTATCGAGGACAATGGCGGAGAGACACTTTCGACCAAAGCAATATATTATTTCGTTAGCTTTAAGCAATTAATGTGGAGTGTTTGCCTGTCCACTTCAGCCTTAGGCGTCCAAGACCAGCCACTTCTCGTTGATGTGCTCCATTTGTTTGGTGAGAATGGGATTGCGAACGCGTACTTTGACCTCCAGTTTGCCTCCTACTTGCTTCCTGCCATCCATTAGCTAAAAACAATAATTAATTTCGATAGAATTTGTCATTATGGAAGTATTAAACTTACATCGTAGGTATCGTGTATATCACACTTGGTCTCCAGGGGCTGCAGCTTGACGTTTACGGTTCCAATCAGCGTATCTGAGCGCAGGAATCCTCTGAAACAACACAGGGGCAGTTTACGACTTAGTCCACAACAATCTATACTGCAGCTATTAATTAAACGCGTGGCATTTTGGATGAGGTTTTTTCGATTTGTTGTGGGATTCGAGGCGTAAAGATTTTGAAAAATATATATATTTTATTAACATGTTCCACATGACAAACAAGTGATGTTCAATGAGTCTACATATATGAGACATATGCGTGCTAAGGCCATATCTGGTACTGGAACCAAAGAAGGAGCATGCTGTCTACAGGAGCAAATAAATATTTATTGTACGTTCGGGAAGGATTGAAACTAAAATATTTTAAATAATAATAATCAATTAAAATATATAAAAGTAATTTTTCCGACAAATTTGAATATAATTTGTTTGAAAACTAGGATAACTTTATGTTTCTAGTAGTGCAGTTTATAGCTTTCGAAAAAAAAGGTAATTATAAGTCCCAAGACCTGACCGAATCATTGCGGGCCCACCAATTTAAAAGTCTGTATAGAAACCGGATCGAAATGTTTAACAGTAAAAACTATTTCTACATTAAGGGAATGGTAATGGAACTATTACTACACATTCCTTAGAGTATACTATTTCTAGTATATACTTCAACTAATTAGCTCTTACAACTTCAAAAATGAATGGTCTTGATTACCACAAACCACCTCTGTTAGTAAAGACTATTATGCATGGAAAGCGACTTAGTAAGAATTAATTAAGTGTGCTAAATTAGATCAGCTATTACATAAAAACTACTTACCCTCTTGAATAAATTTCTAGTTTGACGCCGTGCCTTTTGAATATTCTTTGAAACTGACGATTGGTTCGCTGAATGTCCACCTTAAAGCGCTCGTCGTAATCCGGGCTATTGGAGTCCCTTATGACATTGGTTTTAGTCTTAAATGTTTCATCCTAAAAGTAAAGATTTGTCGCTTTCAGTAAAGTTTTAAAGATCAAGCAAAATACATACATTAAGCAGTGGAAACTCAACCCGCACATAGGTGTCCACTTCCTTGGGATTGGCCACATTGTAGTTGACACCCCGAACTACAACAATCTCCAGTTCATTATCCGTAAGATCCGTGTTGCAATGGACAATGTTAAAGTTGCGTTGCTCGTAGTGAAACTTTGGCAGGGTCTGATTTTTTCGCTTCGAATAGCGCACCAAATCCAAATCCTTTTGGACAGTAAGGGCCAGATTTTCAAAGCGATTCATGCCGGCTACATCACCCATGGCCTTGTGGTGATCCCGCGTGTTCTTGCACATCATGAGTTGCTTGGCCAGTTGCTCCTCCATGCGGATACCGATCTCACAGATGTCGTCGCTGGGATCGCACTCTTCGGTGGACACAATGGCGAACGACGCTTCTAAGTTATCTCGTTGAGAAGGCGGTACAGGAAGCTAGAAAGGATTGTGAAATATTTACGATTTTGTTATTATAAAAAGTCTTGTTTCTTACTGTGCTGAGATCAACAGGCAAGCCACTGCTTGCCGCATTCAGAAGCGAATCAAAACCCTTGTAAATCTTCAGATACTCCTTGGCCTGATCAATCTCTCCGGCTTTTTTGGCCTCAATAGCAGCCACCTTGAATTCCTTTTGACGCTCCAGAAGAAGCTTCATCTGCTGCTCGGCGAGATTGTTTTTCTGCTGGTTGCCTGAGGTGCGTGTTGTCAATTCCTTGGGCGGCGAAGGAGCCTTTCGAGGAGTCGTGGGCGTGGCTGCACTTGAGCTGGTTGGAGTTCCCCCTGCAGAAGTGCTGGCTGTTGCTGGCGGCGACGCAGGGGACGTGGGCAGCGAAGGAGTTGGTGCAACTGGAGCACCGTCTCCGGTGGGTAGTGGACCAAAACCGGGAGGCACGGGTAATTCGTCGTAAGGCACGGGTTTGCCAGCCTTGTACAGCTTGATGGCATCATCATATTGCTTCACAATCCTTCCAAAGCGTCTGGCTTTGCCGGTATTATTTTCTGCCTTGGCGGCAGCCTCCACAGACTGATACTTTTCCAGGCGTTGCTGTAGAGCCTCCAGCATATTTGTGGCGGCCGCCGGAGCGGGAGCAGGGGTAGGAACAACCGGAGCCGATGCTGGTGATGGTTCTGCTGTTGCTTCTGGGGCGGCGCCCTCCTTCATTTTAGCCAGAAATGCAAGGAACTCGGCTGGCGGTGGCGGCATGTCGCTAAGATCCACTTCCTGGCCATCCTCGCACATTTTTACAACCACATCGAACTGCTTTACAACCTTGAGGAACTGGAGAGCAGTGGCTGTGTCCCCGCTACGCTTTGACTGCAAGGCAGCAGCTTTGTACTCGTTCTGGCGACTGCGCATTTGGGTCACTAAGGGATTTGGAGGCGTGGAGGGAGCCACAGAGGTCGTTGGCGCAATGGGCGACGTTGGAGTTGGAGGAGCGGGAGCCGCTCGACTAGGAATGGGCGGAGGTGAAGCAGGAGTAGACGAAGCGGGTGATTCCTCTTCAGCTGCTGCTGGAGCCGGCCCTCCTGCAGGTTTCACGCTAACCTCTGGCGGTATATCGTCCACATTAATGGACTTGCCGGCTGCTGCTTGCTTGTGCAAATCCTGCAGGGTCTTGAGACCTCTTCCAAAACGTCTCGCCTTGCCCGAGTCACCGGCAGCCTTGGCATTCGCCTCGGCCACCTTGTACATCTCCAGCCGCTGTTTGATGATGCTCAGCGTGTCCACAGTGGTGGTGGGCAGGAAGGTCTGTACGGGCTCCTCACTGGCTGCTGCTGGCTCTTCCGCTGGCTGCTCATTGTCCTCCTCCACGTCCACGCCTTCAATACCATTCAATTCACCCAGCAGATCCGAGTCATTTTCCAGATTTTCATCGTCGTCATCGTCGCTGACATCACGCAAGCTGTCGGCAATCATTTTATCCAAGTCGCTCGCTGGTAGGAGCTTTGCCTTTTGTTTCGGCTTGGGCCTCCTGCCTCCACCGCTGGCAATGGCGGCCAGCTCTGCTTCCAGGTCACTGTCGCCGTCATCGTCATCTCCATAGCCAGCACTGGGATCGAAGTCGTCCGGGATTTCCGTAAGGCCAAACTAAATGCAAGAAGCGCGAGTGAGAGCGTAGACGATGACTCATAATTAATAAATAGACTGATCTAGATGTTTGTTTTTCTTCTTACCTGAGACAAATCGTGCTGCCTTCGCTTTGCTGGCTCCGGCTTCTTCTTGGAGAACATCCTTGACTAGCTTTGAACTATATCCTACCTAAATTTTAACTCTCAAGCGATTAAAACCTTTAATTAATTGCGTCGGATCAGACGCAGACAACAATAACAGAATGTTTATGGTGAGCAAGGCAGCAGAAGTAAAGGTGACGCAGGAATGTGTTTGCGAAACAGTGAATTCACGCCAGGGCTACTCAAAACATGCACAATTTAAATTTATTTAATTGAGAGAAAATTACTTTTTCTTATTTTTACACCCTTTCAGTGTACCATATTTTTAGTCTGTAGCTTACAACGCAGTCATTTCCAACCCTATAAACCATATATATTATTGATCAGCAACAACAGCTGAATCAATCTAGGCATGTCTGATAGAAAAATAAATTTTTAAATTTTTCAAAATTTGAAACTTTTATAAGGGTTACATCATTAAAAATGTCAAAATTAAATAAGAAATTTAGTTTTTTAAATTTAAAATCCTAGTTACAGATTTGTTAGTCCGATGAAAACTAGCACAGAAAAACTTTCCGAACTGCAATTAAAGCATTTTTGGCTTAGTTGTGGTATACGATAAACTCGAATTTATCCAAAAAATTATTACATATTTAGGTTTTCTTAGGTCTTTCGATATGCAATTATAATTCTAATATATTAAGAATAAAACATAACCGTATTTTTGTATATAACTTATTATTATTAATTCTCTTGAGTAAACCCAACTCTATTCCGATCTAAGAAGTTAAGCAAAAAACGAGCTTGTTCAACATAGTAAACTATAAAATTATTTGAATGGAAGGCAATTTAATGAATCGTTTACCACCTTCTAAAGCTAACATCATGCGACAGTAAACTTTTTTCGAAAACCAGGGCTGCCCGCAGCCTAACAGGTACAGGGCTGCTCCGCCAGCTGACTAATCGATGGGCGGACATCGCCACCTATCGATAACGAGAGCCAGCGCACACACAGTGCAAAAGAGTGCGAAAAAGAAAACTGGACAAAAAGCGAATTTACTTTGAACAGAGTAGCTTTTGGAAGTTGGCGTAGTCCGTTGACCAGTGCCAAGGCATGCTGTAACCCCTGTCCGCTCAAATCCGGCTGTGGCGAAACGAGAAGCTAGAGAAACCAGAGCGATTACAGCTCCCTTATTATTTGCCTTCTGCCGTTTTCCACCTCCTCCAACTCCGTGCGGGGGCAAGAGCAGCGAGAGACACTTCGAGACGAGTCGCTCGGGAGCGCGGGGGCAGCGGAAACTGGGACTGGCACTGGCTTGTTGTTTGGTTTAGCGTGGAAATCAACAAACGGGTCGGATCCGGGCCCGGTTGCAAGAACGGGGCGTGGCGTGCTTAGTGGCATTGGCTGGCGGCTTGGCACCAACACCACCGGAGAGGCTGCAACAAGTAGGCGGCAGGCATGGACGTGTCACTAACGGAGCCGGAGACACGGTTCTACAGTGAGCTCTTCCAATGCTGCGACGTGGAGAAGACTGGCAAGGTGCCCATGCTGAAGGCCACAGAGCTTTTTCGCTCGGCGGACATCGCCAACGAGGCGGTGATTGAGGTAGGTCCAATTTGCGCCACCGCCGCCGAGTGATCGTGAATGATTAATTACCTTGGCTTACGCTTACAGATCACTGGCCTGGCAGGGATTCCCTCGACAGCGCTGCATATCTCGAGAACTCAGTTTTACTCATGCTTGAAGCTGATCGCCGCCCACCAGGCTGCCATGCCGCTGCGCCAGGAGCTAATCTCTGCCACGGTGCCGCTTCCTCTGCCGCACTTCAGCTGGAAGGAGGCAATCACGGCTCCGGTTTCGGTTGAAAATGGATTGGCTGCCTTGCCGCCACCGCCGCCCACAGATCGGAGGAACTCCCTGCGCCGCAACTCGCAGCAGGAGCAGCTGCAGGACACCTCTGACTTGCCCAGCACCGACTCAGAGGTGGAACAGAACGAGTCTGTGGACGAGGCGACGGGCCATGGGCGTGGGGCACAGATGGCAGCGGAGTCGTCAGCAGCAGTAGCCGGGAGAATGTCGGGGTTCGTAGTTTTCCTATCTTATCATTTGCACACATGCAAATAAGCTTACAATTGACCGTTCCTCATCCGTTTCTTATCTCTCTTCAGCGGCGTCGAGGTGGCGGTGGTGCTGGTGCTGCTGGTGGTTCTCCGGAAGCCTGGAGCACTAATAGTGACAGCCCCACGCCTACCAACAGTGTGGCCGAGCGGCCCTGGGCTCAGGACACCCTCTGGCAGGGTTTGCTGGGCGACGAGCACCGCCAGTTGTTGGGCACCGAGGAGGAGTCCTCGGACCGCCACAGCAGCGATGACGAGGACAACGAGAACGAGCTGGTGACACTTTACCAGATAACTCCGGAGCAGCGCGAGTACTACAATAAGCAGTTTCGGACAGTTCAAAGGGATCCGCACGGGCTGCTCTCTGGCCAAGCTGCACGGTGGGTATTGGCAGAGGATGGCAGACGATCATAACTCAATAAACCTTCTTTTTTTTCATATAGAATCTTCTTCGAAAAAGCCGAATTCCCGTGGAGGAGCTGCGCCACATCTGGCAGCTGTGCGACGTGACTCGTGACGGGGCTCTAAGCCTTTCCGAGTTTACGGCCGCCATGCATCTTGTAGTTCTGCGGCGCAACAACATTCCGTTGCCCACCAGCCTGCCCAACTGTCTGCATCCCAACGTGCTGCTTGCGGCGGTCGGCGGTGGACAAGGTGTCACATCCTCGTCATCGTCGGCGGCACTGCCCCAGGAACCTCCCGAGGCTGATCTCCTACACCTGAACGACGACGATGAGGATGACCACACGGACAATACAATCATTGCTGGCAATCTCAGCGGAGGCAGCTCCACCACCAGCAAACCGCGTCCCAACGTGCCATCTGGGGACAAGAACATAATGAATCTGAGCACCATCTCCACGTCCTCACAGGCAAGCAATAGCTCGCGGCGCGAGGTCACGCCGCCCAAAAACCGCAGTATCTCAAACTCACCGAGTGCCGAGAAGCCGGTGACGGGCATTGTTTCCACTACGGGAAACGCCGTGGACGCAAGCACAAACGCTGCCAGCCAGTGGACAAAGTTCAGTGAATCTCCGACGACAAGCGCTGCCCCGGTGCAGTCCACCACTGGAGGAGGGGCGGCGGCAGCTGTTGTAGCAACTGTAGCAGGAGCTCCTGCCGTCTCTAGTCCCGGGCTTAAACCTGCCCTGTTCGATATGAAGCGCTCTGCGCAGGATGTGGTCTCCAATCCGCAGATTCTGCACCCAGTGCCGCTACGAGTAACGCCCATCGGTAAGTACGTCCACGTAAAGTCCAAGCACATCCTCAATAAATCCCATCCCGACAGGCACAGCCATTGCTTCCTCTGCTGAGCCATCCAACGACAACGAAGGCGTTGTGGTTATTCGCGAGGACAGCCCCAAGGCCATCACATCAACTACGACGATCATCAATCAGTCATCTGGATCGGCTGCCTCATCATCGGGAGTCGCTACTGGCTCCCATCGTGAGAGCAGCGATCTGCGTGCCATCCAACGACCCCAGGCCAAGAAGCTGCCTGCCAAGAACAGTGCTTTGCCGCCTCCTCCGCAACGGGAGTCGAGCATCGGATCCAGTGGTCCCAGTGAGCCACCTGAGCAGCAAACCGTATACGTGGCGTCCAAGAAGGAGCCGCCGCCCCTGCCGCCACCAAGGCCGCATCGTCATGCCCGAAGCAGCAGCCTGGACTTGAATAAGTTCAAAATGGGCGCAACGGGTGGTCCCCAGCAGGCAGAGGTGAGTAAATGTTGATTAATTGATTCCCTTCACTTAGTTTGTGTCTGTGTCGTGATTTAACTTCGTCCTTAAACAGCCTTGCAGCAAAAATTAACGCAGGATTACTTTATATTCCCTGCAAAGCTGTATGAGCCATCTAATAACCGAAATGACTTTCTGTCCGCTCAAACCTTGTGTCTTTTTTCAAACTATTCATAGATATCTTTGCAATTAACCAAACAGAATGCAATACACTTGTTGGGAAGTTATTATTAAAATACTATATATTATTCAGTATGCTTGCAAATTATATCGACAAAATTATTTCTGAATTATTTTAATATATGCAATAATATCGGTACCGATTTTGTCGAAAAATAATGTAACACAAGAATGAAGGCTAATTTCGCGAACCCGTATCGATCATAACTAAGCCAATAATGCATTAATTTCAATTTGGAAAGCAATATTGAGCTAGATTTTTGTAGGTTAATAAATCTGCATACTGCATTTAAACATTAAAGAAATTAAATTTTTTTTTCAAATTTTGATAAAAATTTGTTTCAAATATTTCAAAATTTTTTTAAAATTTATTTTTTTACCGGACATGGCTAGATTGGCTCGGCTGTCGATGGCGATCAAGAATATATATGATCTATAGGGTCGGAAATGATTCCTTCATTGTGTTGCAAGCCTGTGATTGAAATTATATACCCTGTAGGATATATGGCGCCTTTGTGTCACCCCTTTGAAACTTCGGTACTTCCGAAGTTCTTCTTCCCTGTTTACCTTTTCTTTGCCCCCATAAATACCATAACCTATTCTACCTGTAACCTGTGAGACATGTATATAAAAATGCAAAACCCACTCTTTGTCAAGATCACTGCGCAGGCCAGCTTCGATATGCAAACCTCAACGGGTTTTGCCGATTTCACGCACTTTGCCGACGAAGGCGCCGCGAACGTCGTAAGTCCAATCCTAAATGTATGCAACTCGTATTCGCATTCCACGCAAATTGGCCGTAGCTCCACTAGTGTCTTGTGTCCAAATTCAGTAGCTTAACATTTTATGCCAACTCCTTCATTGTTCAGTCTGAAACTAACCCTGTGCTTACGATTCTAGATGGACGAACAGCAGCTGCATTCGCTGCCGCCTGCGGCACCTCCCCCTCAGGCTGCAGTGGTGCCGCCCACAAGGATTACTCTGCAGCAGGCTCAGCAGCGTGTTTCTGCCTTCGAGGTCTATCGAAAGCCCCAGACACCGCGCGGATCGCAATCGCCACCGCAGCAGCCTCCACCTCCGGCTCCGGGCCTGGCAACAACGGCCCAAGTAGGCCTGCTTCCCAGTGCCGAGAGCTTTGAGAAGCGGGTGTCCGCTATCAGTGACTCGCTGCGGCATGTATCCTTTAAGCAGGGCCAAGCCAACACCACAGAGGTCCTGCAGCGACTGCGCGAGCAAAACAACTCACTGCTGCATCTCTGAACGACTTGAGCGACGAGCTCTGAGCGTCCAGACGCGCAAAGAGGAGATGCGTCTCAAGCTGGAGGACTCACGGCCGGCGAAGCTCCCGGGAGAACAAGCTCCTCGATATCAGCCCCGGTGACAGCTAATGTGACTGGTGGCTCCTCCGGTTCGGCAGGAGCTTCAGTCTATACCAACATTTGAGGAGCACCGATAAAGGATCATGTCTATTAAGCGGTGGATTGATTTGTTAGGCAGGAATTAACTTAGATTGGCTTCTTTTCATCCTTTGGTTGCAATTTTGCTTAAACTCAAAGGAAAATATCTGTTTGCTAATGATCAAATTTAACATTCCCATTTTTTCATCTACGTTCGTTGTTCTTAGTTTCTTTTTCGGTTTCATTTTTATTTTTTTGTAATATTCAAAAAGGTTATAATTTCCATTGCCAGATAAAGCCTAAAGTTTAATACAGAGAACAAATCAATCCCCCGCTAAATGTTAGTCACTTATTTTCTGCCGTTTTTGTACGTTGCAAGCACAATATTCTCGAAATCCGGGTTTTTTTTTGTTTGCACAACGATAAAACAAGACAAACATACGACTTCTGTTTCCTCTCATTTTGCAGACAAAAAAATCACATGATTTCACAAAGTTTGCTCGAATGTTTGTTCGGTTAGTAGACAGACAAAAGAAAACCCGGGTATGAGTTGATGCATTGAAGTTGCTAATTTAATTTGTAGGCTAGTTAAATCTCAACACAAACAAATCATGCGAGAACTACAACAATAATGCCGCCTCTAAATAGATATTTATGCAGATCGATTTATATATATATACTTATGTACGTGTGTGTATATTTAGAGACATGTGTATGTATGTACGAAGCGCTTCTCCTAATTGTTAAACGAGTAATGACAAACGGACCCTTCGCTTGACAGCCAACCGCCACCCGTATCTCACCCCACGTCCTAGTGTATAATGAAGCTGCCACAAAGTGGTCCAAATCCAAATCCTTCTCGGCTTTAATATTCCCTGCTGTGCAAACTTGCATTTCACTTTCCAATTTTGCTATTTATTAATTAATGTTTTGTGTATGCCTCGAAATTTACCCTTCTATTCATTCCGGCAATGAAAACTAACAAAGAAAAACGATCGCAAAAACAAGAATAAAAAGCCAGGCTTAAATGTTTAAGTATTAGAAAACTAAAAAACGAAAACAAGAAAAAATCGACAAGAAATTAATTTCCTTGAAAGCTTAGCTTAGGTTTTTCCAAAACAAAAAATCTTATATACATATTAATATATTTTCTATCTGTATAGTGTACACAAAAATGAAAAAACAAAAAAAAAACCTTGATATTATGTACATTTACCCAACAATTTCTTTCTTCGTCTGAAACGGAAAAGGAAATATGTAAGACCGAAAACAGGAGACAAATTTAATTTAACCGGACCACTAAATATGTACGTATATGCTAACTTCGAATTTATCAGATATACCGGCATACATATATCCTTCTTTTGCATACTTAAACCCTGTAATGTATGAGTTTCTCTTCAACTTGTTAAACATTTTCAAATATCTACCCACAATCACACAGAAACGAAATGAAAACAAAAAAAATCAAACAAAACAAATCATACATACATTTAATGAAAGGAAAGAAAAGTGATATTGAAACACTATGTAAACATATTATTACGTGGCTGCGTAATCAATGTGTATTGTTTTGATGGATATACATCTCTATGAATAAAGATAAATGTATTAAGTTGAATGTTAAAATGCAATAAAGAAAACAAAGGAAAAAGAAAGAAAATGAAAGTGCGGCAAGAGCAACGGATGTTTTTCGATTTCGAAAAAGCGCAGAGAGCCTGGAGCCCTGGTCGACGAACCGATAACAGACGCCCGCCGTTATCGATGACACTTGCACACGCCGCTACACATCTCTAGGGCTTTGCGGCATTGGGCAAAAAATTTTGCAAAAATCAGTAAGTTTACGGGAAAAGTACCCGGATGGTTCAGTTTGGCATGCTATTACAGTAATTGCTGCAGGCAGAGCCACGAGACAAGCGCGCAGTATCCAGGACAACCCGGCTGGACGAATTCGGCGATCCAGAAACTGCTGCTGCAACTGTGCATATTGATAGGGCAGGTTAGTGTGAGAGTCGTCGCTCGTTGCTGGGCATTAACTGATGAAATTAATGTGTACACCCGTGCCTGCAGTCAGCCGATGTGTCAATGTTAATCGCGCTCTTTGCGCTCGCACACTTGCCAATTTTTCGTAAGACGCCGTTGCCCCCGGCATTCCCGTCGCCGTCTGAGCCCCCGTCGCCAAGGTGTGGCAGAGCAGAGAAACCACAACCAGCAGTAGTCCATATTCGTGCACCGGCAATTGAGGCAGCAGCAGCACCCAGGATGAACAGCAGCACCACCGACCAGGACACAGGCCTGGGCAGCAAGATGCCGATAGCTGCCAATGGCAAATTGACGGAGCCCAAGGAAGTGGAAATAATGTAAGTTTTGGGGTCCCGCTTTAATAGTAGTACATGTATCATAAAGTCACGCTTTTATATTGGAACAGAAACTTCCTGCCGCACGAGAAACATGCTGTCGGGTCATCAAGACTAACCATACCAGGGTTCTGGCCTCCGGAGGTGTTCACAACCGTGGCTCTTCGAAGGTCAAGCTAAAGAACGTTGTCGACTACAAGTGGGAGCGCAAGTACTACTACCCCGGCCACCTGGTGGCTGTCCATCGCGATGGCAAGCATCTGGCATATGCCATTAATGGTGAGTTTGTTTTTATGAATATTAGTTAGTTATATTGTAGGATATGTCAAAAACTGTTTACCCTAAATGATTTCCCTGGCGTTTGCAGTCAATAACAAAGCTACTGGGATGGAGGGAATGGTGCGCGTTTGCAACATCAGCACCAGCATGCGGCCCTGATCAAGGGGATGAGCGGCGAGGTGTTGGACCTGCAGTTGCCCACACGGACTGCGAGCGCATTCTGGCCGTGATCGATGTCAGCTCACTCTTTGTCTACAAAGTCGATCTAATCGAAGGCAACCTGGTGTGCAATCTCGTGCTGAAGGTGGAGGATCCATCGCCAACTATGTGCCGGAGTACGATATGGTCTCCTGGTGTCCCTATGTCTCCACTGGCAGCTCCACTGTCTCGCCGGTCAGCGAGGAGGATGATGAGAATCAGCTTCTCATTTGGTCGCGCAGCTCACAGTTTCAGTGCTTCCACGTCAAGATGATTGTCTCTGAACACGGGGTGAGTTTCTGCTTGCCATCATAAAATCCACAAAAAACAATGTAATTTTTCTTCCCATATAGCGCGGCAAGATTCAGCCGGCTGCTCTGGAAACAGGCTATCTGAAAATAGAAGAGGAATCACTGATCACCTGCGCTGCTCTGTCGCCCGATGGCACAACAGTGGCCGCCGCCTGCGCCGATGGCTTGGTTCGATTCTATCAAATCTATTTGTTTGATGTACGCAACCATCGCTGCCTGCATGAGTGGAAGCCGCATGATGGCAAAAGGTCTGCTCGTTATTTTTCCTGGACAATATCAACAAGCCGGTGGAGGAGTAAGTGTAATCTAATAATTATAGAACTAGCATTAACGTTTTTTCGATAGTTCTTATTGGCAGCACGTGATAACCACCAGCGATGCCAATGCCGAGATAAAACTGTGGAACTGTTCCCTGTGGGAGTGTCTGCAGACAATCAACGTTCAGGCCACTGTACCGCCGCAACCGGCAAACTTCATTGCTGGAATCGATCGTAGTGCCAACTATTTGGTGCTGTCCAGCTTGGACTCGCTGGCCGTCTATGTTATGCAAATTAGCAACGTTGGATCCGAAGCTGGAGCCAGCGATAGCGATGGTGAAGGGACTGGCATACGCATTCAGAATATTGCAGAATTCAAGCTCAGCTCCGGCATTCTCTCGTTCTCGATTGTGAACGCCACGGTTCGTCAGCTAAAGAGCTCCATAGAGAGCTACTATCCTTTGAGGAGTCCGATGACTTTGATGACGACAGCAACCAAACCAGTGCCTTGGTGCTGCATATGTTCGTCGTGCAGGCCAAGAGCCTCCAGGAGTGCCAGATTATTTACCAGCCCTGCGTGTCTGTGACCGAGAAGTCGGAGCGCCGCAGCCTGAACAGCAGCAAGCGGTCGCAAAGCCCAGAGAGCAACTTGCGTATCAAACAGGAACCGGAATCCCCCAACAGCGCATCGGCCGGCACTGTCCAGCTAGAGGCTTTGTTTGCCAAATCCGCCAAACGGTCCTCGACGGGCAGCTCTTCCGCCATTGTGGCTGTGGCGGCGGCAGCGGCAGCTGCGCCGTCGGCTATCTTGCAGGACGTCAGCAAGGATGCCATCAAGTCAGAGTCTCCGAAATTCGGCAGCGCCTACCGCAGGTGAATCTTATGACCCCAGATGCCTTTAGTGCGAGCGGTACTTCGACATCAACGGCAGTGGTGGTGGCCACCAGCACCACAACCACCACGGGCACAGATAGCTCGTCAGTCGGCGGTGGCGGCGGGGCGTCTATGTCGATTGATTCTGCTGTTCTCAATACGCTGCGAATGCTAGCCACTGTTACGGCGAAGACCGGAGCCGACAACTCCAATGCTAATTTACTCAACCTGATGAACAACACTCTGATCGAGGATCGAGAGCAGCAGAAGCTCAAGGAGAAGCTGGATGCCCGGAAGAAGTTCGTGGCATTGATCGCAATCCGGAACGCAATGTGGCTGACAACCTGGCCAGCGGCGGTTCCAGTCCAAGCCGCGAAGTTCAGGAGATTATGGCCACCCAGGAGGATGCAGATGCTTACGAAGCGGAGCTGGAGAATCTAGTCGATGACGACGACGATGAAGACGACGAGGAGGAAGAGCTAGCCAATTCATCACCACTTTTAGAGGGACCCGATCCTGGATCCTGGCCCATTGTCAAGCTGCAATCTCTTACAAATTCCGCTGAGCTCCAGAATGCCGCCCAGATCATGTCCCAGGCGGTTCAAAATACCAACAATGGCAATGTGCCGCCAACGCTGAGCGGAGGAAGTAATAACAACAACACCAGTGTGGGCAGCAATAGCAACAACAATACAACATCCACATTGAACACGAGCAACAGCAGCAGCAACAACACTACAAATGCTGGCGGAGTAGGTGATAGCTCGAATAACAATGGAGAAATGAACGCCAAGATAGAGCTGCTGTTGGGTAAGTTTCCAGAAGTTTATACCCCATTTATCGTACTTATATCGTTTGCGATTTCTTCTTTAAAACCCTTTTAAAATCCCATGCAGATCTCGTCAAGGCCCAGTCTAAGCAACTGAACAAATTGGAGCACGAAGTAACCAAGTTGCAAAAACAGCAGCAGGTGGCAACGATGGCTCCAGCCGCTGGTAGCAAGCCAGATGCGTCCCTGGACCCCAAGAATGTTAACCAGCTGGCCTATAAAATCGAAATGCAACTTCCAAGCTTATGGAGCAGTATCTGAAGCGCTACGAAAACGAACACAAAAAGAAGTTGGCCGAATTTCTTGCGGCGCGGTGAGTCGAAATCGAATTCCTAATTTTGGAATGTATAATCAAATGTAATTTCCTTCCTCAGTGAAAGCCAGAATCGGGAACTTCGGGACTTAGTGGTACAGGTGTTGAATCAGTATGTGATGAACCATTTCACGGACATCATTGGCAATGTTCTTAACATGGAACTGCAGCGACACTGTTGCCGCGTGTCAATGCCAAAATGGATCAGCTACAGGCCCATATGCAGGTGAGATAATGCAGAAATTGAATGTGTTCGACAAAACGGTGAAGGAGAATATTGGTCAAGTTTGCAAGAGCAAGGTGAGAACAGATTGCAAAACTAAATACCCACAGAATTTACAAAATAAGATTTTGCAGCAATTCCTTGATGCCTTTGGCAAGTCGGTCTTGGTTGGTGTCCAAGCAAGCCTCCAGACCGCGTTTATTGAATCCATGAGCAGCACCCTGATTCCAGCCTATGAGAAGTCTTCACAGAATATGTTTAAGCAACTTCATGACGCCTTCAGCGTAGGCATTAAGGACTGTAAGTAATTAAATCCATTAATGTATTATCTATAATATATAATAGCTACATTTATTAAAATAATGTTTCTTATTATATTCTTTCAGTCATGGTTCAATTTAATACCTACCTGCAGCACATGCCTCAGCCGCAAGCGATGGGCGCTAATTCGGAGGAGCTGAACAACAAGCTCACCATGCTCAAGCAGCTCGTCGAAAGTAGCCTGCACAAGCACCGCACCGAGCTCACGGACGCCATGTTGGAGACACAGCGTGAGGTGAAGAGCCTGGAGATTCTGCTGGCACGCCAAGTGCAGGAAACGATTCGTGCGGAGCTGCGCAAGCACATGGAAACACAGAATATGGCCATGCGTTCACAGGCAGCCACGCCGGCACCCACCTATGACCTCAGGGATAGCATCAAGCAGCTGCTGATGTCAGGCCAGATCAACAAGGCGTTCCACCAAGCCCTGCTGGCCAACGACCTTAGTCTGGTTGAGTTCACGCTCCGGCACACGGACAGCAACCAGGCCTTTGCTCCCGAAGGCTGCAGGTTGGAGCAAAAGGTTTTGTTGTCCCTCATCCAGCAGATATCCGCCGATATGAGCAACCACAACGAGCTTAAGCAGAGGTAAGTGCATCAAATAGGGTTTAAATTCGTTTTTATAAAGATTACTCCTTCCAGATACCTCAATGAGGCGCTGCTGGCCATAAACATGGCGGATCCAATTACCCGCGAACATGCACCCAAAGTGCTTTCCGAGCTGTACCGCAACTGCCAGCAGTTTATCAAGAACTGTCCCAAGAGCTCGCAGTTCAGCAACGTCCGGCTGCTGATGAAGGCCATCATAACGTACCGCGACCAACTGAAATGATATCAAGAGAACTACAACCTGGCCAGCGGTTGGTTCTAACAGTTTTCGTTCGTCTGACACCACACACGCCGGCTTGCAAGATCTCGCCCTCAAAACAGTACAGAAATTCAATCTTCTCTTACACTTTTGTTGTTTATTTGTTTTGTGCGTGTTTTTGTAAGCCTTTATATCTTTTTGACTTATGTTTATGTCGCGATATTCGAAATGTATTAACCTTAGAACGATTTTCTTCTTTAATTGCAATATTTTTACAATTATTTAACTTTTTGAGCCGATCTGCAAGCAGGTCAGGTTAGCTGCCTTTTAATTTGCGTTCCTTTATTATTTTCATTTTATGATTATGACGCTTACTAAAAAAAGAAGATATAAACACTAAAGAAGATGGAGCTGTAGAAATTAATTTACAAAATTATTTCCAACACACATAACTTTCGATTTAACTGAACACAAAACACACAAATTTGATGATTGCAAATGCAGAGAACTACAAGTAAATCGTAAATGTTAAGCTGTAAACGAATTAAGGAAAATTAAACTAAAAAATAAATTTATAAAAGTAAAAAATAAATGTATGTATGTACTTGAAAGGAGTCTAGAAATTTAGTTTTCACATTTTCACATATTTGACGGAAAGGTTGGTGCTAGAGGTGAAGAAACATCGATTGAAAGCGACTTATTATTTGTATTACAAAAAAGCCGGATATATTTTGATTCGCAAATAAAGTCTAATATTATTAAATCAAAAAAGTATTGAGATAAATGTGGCTTAATTTTTAAAAATTTTATTGGCAGCTGGTATAATTAGACAAAATCTATATAAATGTTAAATATCAACAAAATAAACTTTTAATATCGATATAAAACGAAAGGAAAGGAAACTAGCTTAGGAAGGCGCATTCTTCAAATCGATATTTTTATATGATAATTTTTTTCGAAAATTCAAAGTTTAAAAAACTCATATCTAAGCCATTAAAGCATTAATTTCAATTCTGAAATCAACTCTGAGTTTGATTTTTATAGGTTAACAAATCTGCATACTTAATTGAAATTTTAAAGAAATTAAATTTTTTGTCAAAATTTGACAATTTTAATGATGTAACCCCTTATAAAATTTTCAATTTTTTATTTTTTTACCGGATCGATTCTGCAGTTGATCCTAATCAAGAATATATATGATTTATAGGGTCGGAAATTATTTCTTCACAGCGTAAAAAGCTTCAGACTAAAATTATGATTACAAAAGGATTTATAATACCACCATTTTTATGATAAATTATTTGATGTATAAATTTTGAAATAATATTGAGCGTGATATTTGTGTAATATCATCAAAACATCTTGATATAAACTCCTAGTTCTTGATCCTTAGCAGATGAATTTCCATATATATTTCCGAATCTTATGCAAATCGTACAAAAAACGTATCTTTAGAGACTAAACAACACCTATTCATGTAGTTGGATATCCCAGTTGATAAATGAAAGCAGCATGGACCGAACAACAATGAGAAATCTGGTCAGTTGAGCAAGGACAGCAGCTCCGATGTCCGCTCCAGGCACTTGCATCCACAGGTGGCGCACACAGTGTGTTTCTGAATGTAGGAAAATGCTTAGTTAAATTCTTTATGTTTTGAATAGAACTTACCTCAAACCACTGCATCATGTGATCCATATGACCACCATGGCCACAAGCCAGGCAGGCGTTGGCGGCCCCTCGCACAGGCAGACGGCAGAGCACACAGAAGAGGACCGGTCGCTTGCAGGGCTCGCACTTGGGCGTCCGCTTGGGTTTGGCGCACGTCCCGCACTCTGTGACAAACTCCACTCCCTGAACCGGTGGCGGCGTGTTCTGTGTATGCTTAAGGATAAGGGCACGTTTCGATAGCAACTGCCAACCGAAGAGAATCTCGGCGTAGGCGCGCTTGAATTGGTCGAAAAGCGGCACCTTGGCGCGCCTGATCAGGGAGCACGGGGAATAGCCATCGGATTGCAGTTGCTTCACCTCCAGATCCAAGGAGTCTGACCAGGAATTACTGCGTAGCTGCTTTAGTTGTTGCCAGGTGTTGGGCGAGGATGAAGATGACTTCACATCCAACGGCAGAACAGTGTGATACGGTGAAATCTGGCAGTTCAGCTGCGGCGGCAGGCGGCTGGCTATGTCCATTAGAGCTCCTCCACCCGTAGGACACTTGTCAAACAAGCAGGCTAGCAGCACGGCTGTCTGAATGTCCCCAGAGCTGGCGTAGTGCATAATCAGTGACTCCAGCAGGGATTTTTTAAAGGGATCTTTATAGAACAGCAGCTCGTTGAGGGTCTCGTGGGAGACTTGGGGTGTGGCTATCAGTTCCGCCAGGAGCCACACTGGGACCAGGTCCAAGCGTCCATGCTGGCGACATATCTCGCCATTTCTGCGACATGTCTCTGCTATGTTGAGCTTGTCCAACGAGAATTCCCTGGCCATGTTGCGACTGATGTGGAGCAGGCTACTCGCATCGTAGACATGGACCACAGGACTGCCGTTCATCTGACGGATGGCGCGCTGCTTGCCAGGTTTCCCCGAAATCATTCTCTCCTGCAGGTAAAACGAAGCATTCGCATCCCGCTGCGCAGTGGCCATAACGTTGCCCAGGAGTCCACTTCCATTAATTGCTGACAGCGTCCTCGGTGTCAGGGCCGAGTGTTGTCTTAGGGTCAAACGCTTGTTGTTCACCGGCTGGGCGAACGTAGTCAGCATGCCGATGGCATTGAAGTGGACTCCCGATGTCCGCGGGTATGGAATGCAGGCATCGTGAAGGGCACTGGACAGAGCGCCCTCAAGTCGGGGTGACTGCAGCAGGAGTTGACTGCGATCTGCTCCGCCTCCTCCGCCCACAGCAGCTACCTTTTTCTTCATGGCCGCAACCAGAGCGCGCAGGCATTGCTCCAGACACGTGCGCGATTTCTTCACGCGTTGCAGGGCATTGCACCGAAGCACCTTGAGCAGAATGCCACTCACATCGCTGGACAAAGTGGTGCCCTGGCACAGCTGGAACTCTGGGGGTGCACTGGGACTCGGGTACGATGTGGCAAAGTTCACCTGCAGGATCACCGTGTGCCCGCCCGCGCAGATCCTGAAACAGGCGTACCGCTTAATGGCATCTAGCATATCCACCTCCACATGCGGCATATTCGTGTTCAGCAGCGAGAATTCGTGGTGCAACGAACACGTGGGCTGATCCGTCAAGGATCTGGCTATGTGCGTCTCCTCCCGGCGACAATAACCGCCAAAGCTGGGCGAGCGGGCCATGGGCAGCGTGTTACATGATCCGTCACCCGTGGAAATGGGCAACGAGCCGGCAACCATTAGGGAGCGTGGATGCAGGAATTCTGGAGGCGTAGGAACTCTCAGCTCGCTGAGGTCTGGCTCGAAGCGGGGCTCCTCTTCCTCCGCCGCGGGTTCACATAGTTTCAGCATGTTGTCGTCGATCTTCCACACTCTCAGGGTGCGATCCCTGGACCATGTGACCAGTTCCTGAGGGAAATTAGGATTTGGATTAAAAGGAAATTGATATAGAGCTTCAAAACTCACTATCTCCGTGGAACTCTCGCGATTGGGACGCCAGGCAAAGTCCAGAATGACATCAGTGTGGCCCACAAATGAGCAAATGGGATCCGTCTGCTTACTGTTGCTCCAAAGAAGCAGACTGTTTTCGCCGCGACCCAAATGAGGCACCACAATGCTGACCAGGCCATTGCCAATGGGCTGAAAATGTTGTCAACTCAACTGCAAATATTTGTCAACTCAGCTCTGAAGGTCTTGTATTACCGTGTATCGGGCTCTCCACACAGGCGACATGGTAGTGATAATCTTCTCGGCCCTGCGGGGATTGCACACATCAAAGTACTTGACCGTGCCATCCTGACTGGCCGTGGCCAAGCAAGTCTCCCGCTTGTGGCTCCAGTTGATGCCGTGCACTCGGTTCAAGTGAGCCGTAATGTAGTGCGTGGGGCAGCTGCCCTTGCGTATATCCCAGATCCGTAGGTCTCCGTCGTGGGCTGCAGCCAGAAGGTTACCCGAAACTCGATTAAAGCCCACTTGGGTGGCTCCAGCTAATAAGAAACAGATTAAGATGAATTCCTTATAAAACTCCACTGATAGTTACACATGCAAACTGCATTTAGGGACAAGGCTGGCTTCCTGGGCTCCCTCAAATCCCAGATGTGCGAGAAGGTGTCTATAGAGCAACTGACCAGCAGGTTGGGATCCTTGCCATGCCAGTCAATGTCGGTCACGGTACGAGTATGTCCCCGCAGCGAGTTCTCATAGATGGGCTCCGCCGTGCCCCAGCGAACGATGTCGATATTTTGACTGGTCTGGATTAAACAAGAAAATGAAAGTAAATTATATTTAATAAAGTTTCGTCTATGCTTTAGATCCTCACCGCTATTGCGCAGTACTCTTTACGACTGGGACATATGGCAAACTCCGCCACGGACACCTCGTACTTCGACTGCCTCTCGTGGCGTCTGAGTGAGCCATCGTCCTGGCCCAGGCGCTGCAGGGCCAGATAGCCACGACCCGCGAGTAGCACCCACTGTCCCGAGTAGTCCACGGACATGGCCGTGGCCTGGGAGTCACGGTGCTCATAGCATTTGTTGCTCTGCCTGATGATGTATGTTTGCTCAGTGCCGCCTGCAATTCCAGCTCCTCCAACCGAGCCCGCTGCTGATCCGCCGCGCTCTCCGAGACGCAGTGTCTCCGTTGGTGGCATTCTCTACACTACAGATGAGTTTAAATAACATAAAATCAACAAATTTAATTCATTTTTGCAACAACATAAAGAAAAGGAAACGGAACTGATAAGAGAGATGGACAATAACAAAACCAAAGAGATGAAAGATTATCGATAACGCCGCGTATCGAAATTGATAAAATCGATGTATTTCCCGCGCAACATTAAAATTTAAAAAAATATATAATGAGGATTATAAATATTGCATACAATAAAATATGTATTGGTAATAATCGAAAATATTAAATAAACTTATAAAAAAAATTTTCTGTACTCTAAAAACGATCATTTTAAACATTGTTTTTGGTTTATTACAATAATTTTTATTTATTAAAAATTGACAATCACCGTATAATGTACATTTGCATTTAATTAAAATAAAAATATAAAATCTATTTATTTTATAAAATGTTTCTGAAACATTTTCTTTGCTTTTGTTTGAAACTATAATATTTACGTAATGTGTTGAATTTTGTAATATTAAAATATTATCCAATGAAGTTACTGTTTTAACTTTCCTTCAGGTTATAGGAAAAATCGCAATCCCTTATAGTTGACACATTTACCACAACGTATACAGATATATTTTACTTATAAGTTCGCTAGTTTCCCTTGACCCTTGCTTATTTATTTTACACATTCATAGTACAATAACTCCAAGGGTATCTGTATTAAATTTATTAGTTTAAGTCGGCTTATTGTCCTCTAATTTAATGGGAAATGAATAAATTCGGCTACGCTAAAATCGTGACTACATAGGTGTACCCAAGGATTGGTAAGTCCTTACGACAAAGGCTAAGATTGGATTAACATTTTTACAAACTGTGACTATTTCATAGAAATAAATTTCATTTTGGTGGCTAAGGCTACGTTCATGGGTATCAAGTATAAAGTCTTTTGTAAAGAGTCCAAGTCCCCCCCGTGCTCCCCCTATTTATCTGTGACAATAGCAGAACATCTTCAGGGTATTATCGTTGAGACAATAGCTTTGGCTTCCGTACAGGTTCAGTCGACTGATGGTTCCCGTCAGGACACTCTTATAGCCCGACATCCGTATCGTGGACTCGAAGACGCCCAGGCCAGGCTTCGTCTGCAGGCGCAAGGTGATATCCACGGCATAGTCGGTGGAGATATTCTTTACGATCTTCGAGTGCGGCGCTGCGATGAAGGCCTGCAGGATAGAGTTCAGGAAGAGGGTACGGCACTGCGGGTTACCCTTCAGTCGGTGGTTAATCAGGCGCACAAGGTAACGTGCCGCCCTCTGTACCCTAGCATCGTTTGTCGGCAGCTCCTGACGCTGATGGCAGGTGCACCAGTGGGAGGCAATCCCCGCCAGCTCGCACGTCCTCGCCGCCGGCACTGGCAGGAACAAACTAATGCCCCTGGGCATGGTGCTGTCCGGATCATCCAGCTCTGCCGCTCGACGTTGCACCTGATCTGCTTCCAAATTCCGCAGATTCATCAAGTCCAACATGGTCGAGTGGACATCGAAGGGAGTGGTCAGCCGGCGGGCGTTTAGCTTTAGATTAGCTATCGCCTTTGGATAGCGATCTTTCATCCACGGCGGATACAGGATCATCATCAGGGGCTGGCGTTCCTCCATCATACCCTGGTATGTCCGCCGAAAAGAGCCCCATCTCAAACCGTGATCGGACATCAGCATCACCACCGTCCGATTGAGCAGCCCGGAGTCCTGCATCTGCTTCAACTGATCCAGCAGGGCCTGGTCCAGCAGAGCCGGGTAATTAAAGTAGTCATGGGTGAGGGCTACCGTCCAGAAGAACGAGAAGGAGAGATCCTGGCTGAGTTTCGGCACCAGCTTCCGTATGTAGTCGAGCAATACATCCGCCGTTCGACGACAACCCATGCACAGGAACATGTTGAGCTTCTCTTGGGAAGCCAGATCACGCTCCATCTCCAGCATAAGGGGTCGCATATAGTACTCCGTGGGTTGTTTTATGAAGGCATTTAAATTTAACGTCGGAAGAGATGCCACATCCTCGGCGAAGGCGGTGCGGTAGCCCAGCTGCTGAAAACGCTTCCATATGAAGGCGCAGTTGTCAAAGGCCATTGTGGTCGGCGAGCAGGCGAGACCCAGCTCCTGGTCGTCCAACCCGGTCAGCAGAGGCACTATGTTCGGATAGGTGTTATCGCCCACCTTGTTGTAGCCCCACATTTCAACGTGGGAGAGATTCTTTCGTATGAAATTGGCCGAACGGGTCATCTGGCGCAGGAAGTTGAGGTGGGATATGCTATCTATGCCCAGGATCATCACGGAAACGCGCTCCTGGCCCATCTCTTTGGTGTGATTAAAGCTCGCTTGGTTGGCGCTTTTCTTGGACACTGGTTTTATCCGAGGCTTTTCCACCGCAAAGAAGTGGCAGTCCTTGAAGATGCCCCTGCCATTGGCGTCATAACACCACAGGCATAGGAACTCCGCTTTCGGCGACAGCTGTATCACCTTATCCAGCGAGAAATTCCCTCCCGGACCGTAGCTATTCTTATCATCCGTCTTCCGGATCACTTCCGTGTAGTTGCACTTTACGGCCGACAGGTCGGTAATATTGTAGTGGAGCATCAGCTCCTTGGCATCCAAATCAAGGTGCAATCTCCCAGGCACTGTGTCGCTACTTCGGAGCAGGGCCTTGCCACAGCTAAACTGGCGTGGCTTGAACACAAACTGAGCGATGGTGTCGTCGATGACCTCGAAGTGGGGCATCCGGCAGCCTGGAGTGTCCACAAAGTAGGCGGTGGTCATATTTGCACGCCGGTCTTCGATGCGGGCCATAAAATCGAAGCCATCGCGGAAGCGTAACAACTTTGTCCTGAGATTATAGTCCACGCAGAGGTAGGAGAACACGCAGAGGCAAAAGATGACAATAACCACTTTCTTGAAGTGGCCACGACCCTTCTTCATGTTGTAGTAGCGATAGTATTGCTGCAGATCCCGCTTGGTCATGAACTTTGGATCCAGTAGGTATTTGCTTCTGTTGTTTACAAATTAAAAAGAGAATAGAGTATAAATTTTACTAAAATTTTGACATAATGGAAAATGGAATGGAATGAATTACTTTACACTGCTATGGTCTGACATTTCAAATGAATAGGTTGAATACTACAATCTCGAAAAGAATTTCAGGATAAGGATTTTTGGTAACAAATCATAATCATAATGGACCCCTAAAGGTTAGTTATTCCTTTCTCAAGTAAATATGCAGATTAATCAACTCAATTCATTAGCTTTACATCCATCACTTTTATATCCTTTAATTTAGTTTGGTTCATTGCCTTGGTAATTTGCTACCACCTTCTGCTGACCTTTCTTCTCTGGGTAGAACTCACTCTCTAAGGTTCATTGTATTCTCTCTAGGAGCTTAACAGTTTTTTATGCTGACAGCTATTAATTAAGGCAACAAACAATATAATGAATGCCCACAACAAGAGAAGCGCTCTGAGTGGCCACTCAGCCGAAAGTCCTTAGACCGCTGCCCACCTAGAGCATCCCTCAACCCACAACCACCACTACCACCCCTTTTCCCATAGCTGGATTCCTGTGTCAGAAATTACACGAGAACGTGATGCTGTCAATGTATTCCGAAGTCCTGAATGCATATTCATGAAGAGGAGTGCCCATATAAGTAGGCAACAAAAATTACATTTTGATATTGCAGTGTAAGATATACTAAGAAAAAATATTACAAATATGATCAAGTTCAATAGAATAATATGTTAGTTATAAAAATATTGATGCAGACAGTATAATCTTAAGTTTTAATAATTTAATTTTAATATTTTTATGATTTTTATAAGTGAAAATGTTTCTTGTAAGGATTTTTTTAATACTTATTGTTTTCGGTTATGTTTTTGGTAATATATTATAAATTATTATAATTTATATTATAAATTCATTAAAAACAGAATTTAAATGCCTTAAGGATATTTGTTAGATCTAGGAAAGCTAAGCTAAACTAGTTTTGTTTTAAGTACAACAGAGAATAAAACTCCAATAAAACCTATGCCTTTTATAAACAATTTCGCAAAGTGTGTTCTATTTTTCTTGGGTCATGGGAAATCCATTTAAAAGAATTTTTTCTCCCATCCAATCCATTCGATTGTGTACAAAAACAAATTTCCAATTGACACTTTCAATTGCATTTTTCTTAGGCAAACATGCAAGGAAGCGAAGGATGGGAGCAGATAGGATTGGATTCGTGTGTGAGGAGGAGAAGGAGGTGACCAGGATAAGCATTGAAATGGCATTCGGCTTGGGTGCTGCGAGTAAACAAGTGATGACACACACACAAGGGGCACACAAACACACACACACACACCTGGCATCCTTTTGATGCTAGATGAGGTGGGGGGATTCCCCCTTTGCTTTGCTCACTTACTCATAGCTCAAGTCGCCGTATTTTCGCATATCCTTCGTAGTGTAGTAGGCACGCATCTTGGCGACACTTGGCCAAGCGCCCAAATGCGCTCTAAGTCTCGTCTAAGTCACAGCACGCGTCCACGCCGCAGCCTCAAGTCCTTGACATCCTGGCTGCCTGCTTCCAGTTGTTGTTAGGACCGCCTTTTGTTTTGCTTGCTCGGTGCTTTCAGCTTATTCTGCTAATTGTTTTGTGGGCCACGTTTTCATGCACATTTCGATACAACAATTTTCACACGACTGCACTCGCGCTTTCACTCGGCTTTCTGCAATGTCCTTTCCGCGTCCTGTCCGCTTCCCCACGCTCCAGTGTTTGGTTGTTGTTGTTTTTTGTTTGAGTTTTCAATTGCTTCGGTACTTTGTTGTTTGGGGAATTACTGCACAATTGTTTCCGTCTGAGCTGGCTCCTCATCGCACACTGAGTCCTGCTGGGTTCGGAGGCTGTGCAGGCTCCAGGTTGACAGGATTACTTGCTCTCTTGCAACTCTCACTCTCGCCTACACTCTCTCTTTCTCGTTGTTTTGACAGCTACGTTACTCGGATTGAAAGCGGTGTGGGGGAGTTGGGCGCATGCGCATGGCGGCGACAGCGGCGCCAGGGATGCTGTGATGTGCCAGATACACTTGGGAAAAATACTAAATAAGTAAGTGGAAAGATGATAATTCTTCGAGCAAGATTTTTAATTATTAATATTATTATTTGTATATTAATTTCAGCCAGAAGCCAAAAACTTATTGAAGGAGTCATTCCGACCCTAAAAATCATATATATTCTTGATCAGTATCAACAGGCGAATTTTTCTAGTTATCTCCAAGCAAAACAAAATTTTTCAGAAATTTCCCATTTATTTTAACTTTTTACATCATTAAAATTAGCAAATATCGGCCAAAAATACACATTTTAAATGGAGTATGCAGATGTATTAACCTGTTAAAAATTAGCATACAAGCGCTTTCCAAATTGAAATTAATGCCTTTTTGGCTGAGTTATGAGATTTTTAATTTATGATTTATCGGAAAAATTTGATGGTAAAAATATAGTTAATGTCCATTAAAAAATGGTATGACACCTTTCGTCGGAAGCTTAAAAGAAGCGAAGGAGTCATTTCCGACCCTATAAATCATATATATTCATGATCAGTATCAACAGGCAAATCTTTTTAGCTATCTCCGGGCAAACAAAAATATTTTCAGTAATTTCCCATTTTTTGAAAAAAAGGGGTTACATCATTAAAATTTGCAAAAATCTGCCAAAAATTCACATTTTAAATAGAGTATGCAGTTTTATTAACCTGCTAAAAATGAACATACAAGCGCTTTCCAAATTGAAATTAATTTTGTTTTACCTTAGTTATGATTTTTTAAAATATTGATTTATCGAAAACAATTGCATGGAAAAATATAGTTAATGTCCACTAAGAAATGGTATTGCACCTTCAGTCGGAAGCTTAAAAGAAAGTCAAGGAGTCATTTCCGACCCTATAAATCATATATATTCTTGATCAGCATTAACAACGAATCTTTATAGCTATCTCCCGGGCAAAAAATTTTTTTCAGAAATTTCGAATTTAAAAAAAAAGGAAAGGGGTTACATCATTAAAATTAGCAAAAATCGGCCAAAAAATCGCACTAGTCTCTCAGTTTTGAAGCTATCTGAATGAAACTTTGTAGTTAGCCTTCTATATCTTCTCACTCGTATATATGTCGGAACGGACTGGATCGGACGACTATATCATATAGCTGCCATAGGAATGATCGGAAATTTTTTACAAAAAAATTTTTAACTTTTTCAGTTTTCAATGGAATTGGATCAAATTGAAGATATAGCTATTTTACTATACTCTACAATTTTGCATAAAATTTTATGAAAATCGGACTACTACTATATCATATAGCTCCCATAGGAACGATCGAGAAATTTATACAATTAAATTTATAACTTTTTCAGTTTTCAACTGATTTTCATCAAATTTGCGGTATAGCCATTGTATATAAGTCTTAAATTTTGTGGCAAATTTTATGAAAATCGGACGACTGTATCATATAGGTGCCATACAAACGATCGTTTGACGTGGAGCAAAAATTCAAATCTGTGAATTTAAAACTGTAAATATAATATGTATAGGTGAATGAAATGAAAGCAGGTATTACTTCATTGTTTTTTGAACACCAATATATATAATTTATATTGTATGGATTCCTATTCATAGAAGTTCTATCTGCAAGGGTATATAAACTTCGGCGTGCCGAAGTTAGCTTCCTTTCTTGTTTAGGATATATTTTATATTTTAATTTTATATTTACAAACTTTAACATTTTATGAATTTTGGAGAATATTTATGATTTTTCCCTTTTCCATATTTTGAAAAATCTAGTTAAGTTTTTTGTTGAATCTTAAGATTAAGATTTTCATTGTAAATCAAAATATATTTGACTATTATTATTATACCTACAAGAAGTCCTAAATATATAGATTTTACGTATACTAAATAGATATTTTTATATGCTCATTTTTTTACTAAATCAAAGTTTTTCAAATATCATAACTAAGTCAAAAATGCATTAATTTCAATTCGGATAGCTGTTTTGTGCTAGTTTTTATATGGGTAAAAATCTGCATACTAAGTTTTAAAATTTAAAAAGATAGATTTATTTTTGTCAAATTTTGACAATTTGAACGATGTAACTACCTTATAAAATTCGGAAAATTTGAAAAAATGTATAAAAATGTATTTTTTTTACCGGACTTTGCTATAATGAATCAGCTGTTGACGCTGATCAAGAATATATATGATTTATGATTTAGGTCGGAAATGACTCCTTTACTGCTTTGCTTGCTTCTGAATGAAATTAAAATACCCTGCCAGGCTATAATATTGTAGCAAAAGTTGGATAAAAATTCAATATACCTAATTTATAATTAAGTTAACTTTGGGTATACGTTTTTAGATATGTCTAATAAAACTTGCTGTGTCACTTTAAATTAAACTTAAGTAATGGGTTTAATGGTAATAAGAGAGTTAATTAGAAAATAAATGCATAGCTAGCACATCTTAATCTAGACCTAGTCCTGATCACTCCAATAGCATCTCTTAATGTATATAATATAATAATATAATATAATTGTCATAGTAAACACTTACCCCAGTAGAGGACACGTCATCTTTCATAATTTCTTTATTCCTTTCCGTGTAGTTATATAGTTATATTCCGTGTGCATTCATTAAAGTGTGCTTCTTCTTGGTGATCCGAATGCATTCCATTGGCCACGTCATCTTTTTGCGGTTGAAGAGTTATCACAATCACTTTCACCTCCGATGTTAACACTAGGTACCCCTAGGACAGACTGAGGTCGCGGCGATCGAAGTGCCTCTATTTATACTTCCCGAGGCAAGCTAACAGAGAAAGAGAGCGAGAGGGAAAGAGCTATCTCTGTAGAGCGTAAGCGTCATCTCTACAGCGCTGTAACAGAGGGAGGCAGCCATATCAAATGTTATTGTGAGTAAGAAAGAGAGCGAGAGGCAGAGGCTTACAGAGGCATACAGAGAAAGAGGGCGAGAGAAGGCTAATCACTGCTATTACAATGTTATGATACTATATGAATCGAAACTAACTTCCGCCAGCCAAAATTTATATTAGATTGCAAATTGCAATTAGAACATTAAAATTAATAGAAATTTATTATTAATTAATTTATTATTTATATTTAATATTATGTATTATGTATTAATTAATTAATTATTAATATTTAATATTATGCATAAATTAATTAAGTATTAATATTTAAAAATTTAATTATTAATTATTAATTTCTATACATTTATGTTACAGAAACAACAAAGTAATGCCTACTTTTACAACATTCATCGATATATATTAAATAAATAGTTTTGCAATCACAGTTTTTCATTTTTCTTTACATTTATTGATCGTTCCTATGGCAGCTATAGGATATAGTTATTGGATCCTACCCGTTGAGAGAGAGAGAGAGAGAGAGAGTATATAGAAGACTTACTACAAAGATTCATTAAAAACTGAGAGGCTGGTTTGCATAAAGATTGACAGAAGGACAGACAGACAGGGATAGATCGACTTGGATTTTGATGCTGATCAAGAATATATATACACTTTATATAACCGAAAACGACTTCTTCACTGCTTTGCAAGCTCATAAACTGAAATTATAATACCCTGCGAAGGTTTAATAATGTAGCAAAATTTGGGTAAAAAATCAATATACGTAATTTGTAATTAAGTTAACTCTGTGTATACGTTTTTAGATATTCTTAATAAAAATGGCTGAGTCAATTTAAATTACAACTAAGTATTGGAGTCCATGGCAATAAGATTATTAATTGAAAAATAAATGCATAGTTAGCACATCATTCATTCATTAAATCGATATTTTTATATGCTAATTTTTGGGGTGTTTAAAATTAAAAATTAAAATTAAAATTTTTCAAATATCATAGCTAAGCGAAAAATTGATTAATTTCAGTTTGGAGTTTTTGTGAGTTTTTAAAGCGTTTACAAATCTGCATACTTAATTATAAAATTTAAAAACATAAGATTTTGGTCAAATTTTTACATTTTAACGATGTTAAAAAATCTAAAAAAATTGAAATAGCAAATATCTACCGGACATGGCTGGCTCGACTAGCTGTTGGTGCTGATCAAGAATATATATGAGTTATAGGGTCGGAAATAATCCCATCACTAAATTGTAAGCCTCTGACTGAAACCACAATCGTGTTTAAGGGTATAAAAAGATAAATGAATTACTGAAAGTATAATTACTGAAAGTATCTCCCAATTACAAAATAAACCACTAAAATTAAGACTATTTTTAGATATTTAAAGGAAAGATTATTCGGGGTCTGGAGGACAATGGTACGTATACGTAATATTCTATTTTGGTTGGGGCGACGTTACGTATACGTAATAATTTTAATTTTAATTCGGAAAATTTTTGAAAAATTTATTTTCTGCTCGAGATTGCTAAAAATTGACATTATAAGTGTTATATAGTTATGTCCATTAAAAATGGTATTGCACCTTCCGCCGGAAGCTTAAAAGAAAGTGAAGGAGTCATTTCCGACCCTATAAATCATATATATTCTGATCAGCATCTACAGGCCTTTCTTTCTAGTTTATCCGGCGAAAAAAATATTTCTGAAAATTCCATTTTCGGAAAAAAGGAAAGGGTTACATCATTAAAAAATTGCAAAAATCGCCAAAAATTCACATTTTAAATGGAGTATGCAATTTATTAACCTGTTAAAATTAGCATATGAGCGCTTTCCAAATTGAAATTAATGCCTTTTGCTTAGTTATAAGATTTTTAAATTATGATTTATTGAAAAAATTGCATTGAAAAATAGTTATGTCGATTAAAAAATGGTATTGCACCGTCAGTCGGAAGCTTAAAAGAAAGTGAAGGACTCATTTCCGATATATAATATATATATATATATATTCTTGATCAGTATCAACAGACGAATCTTTCTAGCTATTTTTTTCTGAAATTTTACTTTTTTTTGAAAAAAAAGAGATTAGAGAAAGCTACCTACTGTCATTATAATATTATATTATTACAAGAACGGAAGCTAACTTTGGAAAGACTGACGTGGCTAGATCGACTCGACTCAGTACTGCTCAAGAACATATATAATTTATTTTGTCGGAAACGACTAATGCAAACTTCTGACTTAGCTTATAATACTCTGAAAGGGTATAATAATGAAAATAAATATTTAGTGTTAACTTGGGAATAAATGATAAAGTCTCTATTATATCCACCGCTCTAATATTAATTAAATATAAACCTAAACATATTTATGCTAAACCAAGGGGAGTCAAGTATATATATGCAAAAGTAAATGTGTTTTTATGAATATATTTATTTTGTTGTTTACTTGTTTTGGTCTAGTTTATAGCTCATTGGCAAGCTTTAATTACGATTTGCATGTAACAAATGCCTCACACTGGGCAATTAATCGATGAAATCCTTTGGCTTAGAAATGTTTTATGGCCAATGAACTCGCATTCGGATATTACCCGCTGTTACTTGCTTAGGGGAGAAAAGTACTACTAGCTTGTGGCTCTGACACCTTTTTTATATTAAAGAAATAGTATTGGCTTAAAAAAGGAAACGAGTGTTTAATGAGTGATAAAAACCGGGAGCACTTCTTATTTAAAATCTTTCCGAGAATACATAATTGTAACCGTAAAGTATGATGCACAAATTAATGAGCCTTAATCTGAACTGAAAGCATTTCCTGATACAAAATACTCAAAAGAGGACACATGCATTGATAAGGACACTCCAGCTCCTGCTCTTTTTTTTTCGGCTTAACGAGCAACAAGTCTGTGGGAAGTCAGGCCAAAAAGGTCCTTCGCATTTGGCTCATTAGAAGGACCTACCGAAAAAGCGCAACAGGCTGCAATCACACACCCTCGCCCACGCGTGGCATGTGTGTGTGTGTGTGTGGAGTGTGTGAGTTAATAACTTGGCTGCAGGCAGGACATGGCTTTCGATGTTCGATAATTACGGCAATGGCAACCGAGTGGCAACAACAAGGACGCCGGGTGGCAGAGTCACTCGTAAATCAAGGGACGAAAAAAGCATTTCACTGTCGGACCAGCTCAGCTCCTTAACTGCGCGCTCCTTTTCGATTAACAAGCATTTATAATGCTTCATTACTGTAAAAAAAGGAGCTGCACAACAACAACAAAAAAAGGAAGAAAGCCAATCGCCAGGATCTGGCTGCTATAAAAGCGTTGGTCGCATAAAGCCAACGCTTCAGTTGAATCTTCAAAAGTGTCGAACGCAGGACAACTTGACAGTAATTAGTTTCCACAGGAGCCACCCAGAATGCATCATTCACCTGGGCCGAGACCCGTGCACACTGCGACGACCAGGCGTCCGTGGAAAAGGAGACCCTGGCGGAACGAGGGCTCCTCCATTGGCAGGACCTATCACCTGCCAGCCCTGTTGATTATCCTGCTTGTCCTCATCCAAAACTTTGAGCTTCACATGTGCCGGCAATTGATGAGGCAGCCGAGCGACAAACGATCCCAGGACCATCGGCTGCTCACCACCATCGGAGGCAGTGCAGCCGGCGAGGTGACACCGCCGGGGGGCATATCTCCGGAGGAGGATAAGCGTGGCAGGTCGGCTCCCAGTCAGCCGGAGGAGATATTCAGTGCTCCGGTCGACGACAGTGGGCTCAGCTACGATGAGTATCCGGTAGGGAAAAACTCTCCTTCTCCCACTTTCCACTCTCGAAAAAAGCCCTTGGAAAATCTGCAAAATTACTAAATCTCTTGCGTGGGTGGTGTTGGTCAACGGCCACGTTGTTTTGAATCCCTATCACCTTACGCACAATTTGTAATTGTATATTTTTCATTTGATTGCTTTTCGGCTTTGACTTTGACCCTAAGCTACATTTCGAATCTCCGCCCCCTCACGAAAACTGAGCTGACGTCACAGCAGCACCTTGATTATGAAAGGTTCAAGGTACATACAGGTGCTTGTGGTGGCTTTGAAGGCTGAACACGACCATTTTGAGGGGTCAAGTTCAGGTGGGGAAGTGGACTTAACGTCCATGAAAAAGCATATAATTAGAAACAGTTTTAAATATGTTTAGTTCTTTGAATGATATAGGAAAGATATGTTTAAGTCATAAGTAGTTCCCTGTCATTATTAGATCTGTAAAGATAAGAAAGATTACACATAAGACTTGTAGATACCTTGTATCTTTCAGTTCAGCTAATTTTAAGATAAGACATGCTACATATTTTATGGGAAAAAGCTCCCAGAACTAACTTAGTTTGTAACAATATACCAATAACTATTTTTACACTCAATTTTCAACCATAGATGGTGGTTCCAAAGCGAGCTGCCCTGCTCCTGGATCGCTTAATGGTGGCTCTGCATCATGCCTGGAACACGAGCGAGGTGGTCATCGAATTGGTGAATTTTACTCGGATAAAAACATTCTAAATGGAAAACTTAGTGAACTTCACAATGGATTGGAACCCCATCAAGTAAGGGAGGATGGTAAGTACAATTAAAAAAACAAGATCCTTTCAGGGTAATTATGCTCATCTCCTTTAGGCATGTATAGCGACGATGATCCTGGCATTATGTTGGATTATGATTTCAAAGATTTGAATCAAATCAATCGCGCCACTGGCGAAACAGTAAGTTGGAACATAAAACCTAAATTGCAATATAAGACATAAAATTAGCAGCGCGATGTGTAAGAAAATTTCAGTTAATGCCAAAGAGCTTTCAGAGAAGAGCCGGTGCGGAATTGTCGGGCGCAGATCGGGCGTCAGGAGGAGCCTCCACAATACCGGGCTCTCCGGCTGGATCCCGGCGTATCCATTCATCCGGATCCGGCGGTGGTCGTGCCTACTGGCGTTGCTATTTCAATGCCGTCAGCTGCTTCTAAAAAAACAAAAATAAGAAATAGATCCGAGTGGAATGCCAACAGAATATCATCTCTCTGTGAAGGTGTTTCAGAAACATCTGCGAGTTCCTTTTCGTTTGCTGCTGTGAGAGTTGTTCGCGCAATTAACTGAAATCCCCCAAATTCCAGTATTGTATCTAGTAGTATTTGTATCTAGTAACTGTATCTGTATCTGTAACTATAACTATAACTGTATCTGTGCATTTGTAACTCACTGTGAATCTGCGTTATAAATAAACCACCATCGATAAGTCCAACGGCATTCATAAATAAATTAATTCATTCACCCATCCATGGAAATCGAAATACTATATATTTCGGGGCCAGACAGGAGCTGGCGGTAATCCCCTTCTAGCTTAATGCTGACTGACATCGGTCGTAAAATTATAATTCTCTGAACAAATCCATCCAGTCATCGCATGCCCTCGACTCGTGACCCAACCACCGATTTATTTTCACTCGTGAATTTGTGGGTGTGTGTGCCATCCGGAAGTTCGGAAAAATATCACTTGATATCGGTAACTTTATCTATTTCAAAGCTAGAGTAATAAAACAGATTGAAGAGTTGGGTTTAGATATCTACTTATACTAGGAAATACTTTTTAGAACTCAAATATAAGCACGTCTTACAAATTATTATATAGTGTAAACTACAGCACTCTCTTGGAAATGTTAAACTTTTATTAATATCACATATTTAAAACTAATGTTTTTTTTTTAAATTGTAATTGAAAGCAACGTAACTACTTGAGAAATTAAGGAAACTACCCATAGGTTTTTTGAGGTTATATTTCTTATCAGATTTCTATCAATAGAATGGGTTCTGTTTTAATCGTAAACCATAATGGGTTTACAAATCAATCCTTTTACCTTAGATTCCTTTTCATATTTTTCCTTATCTCATGCATATAAAACATTTCTAAACTTGTTACAAACTATTCACAAACTCAAAGTCAATGCATATTATTAGCTGTGGGTCAACTTTTAAACTAAACTGAGGATCGATTTAAGTGTGCAATGCACGTTTATGACTCGGCTCAGCTTCATGACTGGGAAGTTGAATGGCAAAGTTTTATTGGCCAATAGTTGGCCATTAATGAGATTGTTAAAGCACACATTAATAGACTTTTATGTACATCTAATTGCCTACGTTAATTGATGGTTGGACTGCCTCCGATTTAAGCTACAAAACACTATGCAGTTTCAGATAAAAGATATATTTGGAATGGACAGAAATAAACACATTAATATTTATATTATTATTAAATAAACACTAGAGCACTTTGCTTGAAATAATTATCTATGATTTATGATAGTAGTAAATAGATAAATTATATTAAATTTATTATATCAAAGTTCTAAATATACAAATATTTAGACTCTGTTACTGTGTGGATTTTATTTTGTAACTCGCTATGATATAATTATTATCATATAATTACCTTACACAATTGTTTAGTTAAAACATCCTGGAATTAACTTTACCTCTGTCCTGATTTATAGTAAACAATAAAATGCTATATTTTCGAGGAATTCTTCTGCAACTCTGTCATATCCGATTACCGCTTATAAATATCGATATTTATAAATGTTTATGTCATAATCCCACCCAAGCACATGGCGCAATTTTTCGTTATCAATGGGGCCCGTAAATCAATGACGGTGTGATGTAAAGCCAGCCTACTGTCCAAGTGCATTTCGATTCGTTTGCTACGTCATAGAGGTAGTAGAAGTACGAAGTGCCGCTAAGTATGCAACAGGTTTCGCCTGCCTGGCCGCGAGTTAATCAGCAACAGGTGCTACTCACCACGCCTCCAAAATAAAGCTGGGGGGTAGGGGGAGGTGAGAGCAGATGGGAGGGGGGGGGGGCGGCACATGTCCATGTCCGGATCCGTGTCCCCTGTCCGTGTGGTGAATTAATAAGTCGCACATTGTTCATACGCCCCATTGTACGAGCAGAAACAACTTAGAGTGCTTGGAAAATGTTTTACTCAAGGTAGTCGACTAAGGGATGCTCTGTTTTGGGTTTATTTGTATTCTAGATTATTAAATATATTATTATAATGATAAATATGAAAGTATTATTTGTGTTTTGGGAAAGAAACCAAGAAAATGTAGGGTTTTCTTTAAGAATTTTATTGAAAAATACCATTAAACCGTAAAGAAAGTTTCATAAAACAGAAACATTATAATTAAAATATATATTTATCTTTATAATACTAATATGTATATTTTAACTCATATAATATTAGTACAGATACCTTGGAATTAATATTACTTGTATTATTTCTTTTACAAGACGGCACATTTACAATTACTTATTAATCAATAATCTTTAGAGTATATTTCTGCTAATATAGTTTCTTGTAAAGCATTTCCTGCTCCAGAACCATTTCTAAAACTTTAAACATTATTAAAGAGTAATATTTTTCTGCGTACTCTAATCCCATCACACCTTGTCTACCCTGTACATGTGGCAAGGTATCAAAAGCAAGTGTTACCCGTGCTTGTTGCACTGTCGCTTGACATGGGGCATAAAGCTTTGCCTAAGCAGACGCCCCCTACAAAACCTTTCCCTTTTGCCTACACTGCCTGCTCCTACAACACCTTCTTCTCCTCCCTCCTCCAAGTGCTCCTCCTGATTTTCCGGCAGCTCGTGCTTCCTGCTGCTGCTCTGCCTCGGTCGCTGTCAACGTCGCTGCCGCTGAAGCTGTTTGCTATTTTGTATATAAAGCCCGGTAGCAGGCACCGCCAACATCGAGTTACCAATTTCCCTTCTTGGAGTTCACATCGAGAGTGACAGAGGAGCAACAGCAGCAGCCGGCAACAAGTGACCCCAGAGTCCAAGGATCAGATCACCTCTAACCCCCCCCAAAAAAGTCATCAGATTTATTTGCCTAGCAAATAGTTGCCAAACAAAAAAACGAAATTGTTACCTTCCTGGCGCCAGAAAATTCACCTGTTTTTACCGACGCCAACTCAATTGCCGGCAATTTGCTCAATCCAAAACTAAAGGAAAGTATCGGTGAGTATCGAAGAATCGGTTTAGCCATAGACTGTATGTGTCTGCTTTTGGCCATTAATTGAAATGAGCGTTTGTGTGTCTACGAAAATTAATTTGTGGTCGCGGAAATTGTGCCACAGGTGAATTATAGCGATGAAGGAGAGATATGGCCAGTGATATCATATCACACAAGTGTGTGGCTAGGGAAACTTACCTTTACTTCACTTGCTTTTAGAAGAGTTTAATTGAAGAAAAATAGAATTTTGTCATTGATTTAGAGTTTTAAGATTGTAAGGAGTTTTTAACAAATTTTAAATTATTCTTTGAATGACTTTATAAAGAATTCATTATTTTTGATATTTTAATAACAGGCCTTAACCAGCCGAAAAATATGGTTAAAGTCCATCAAAAAGGTTTCAAAATACAAAATAACAAAGTTAAGAATTATTAAAATAGGTTACTTTCTACAATAAATTCATATTTAAATGAATAAGTTAAACAATACATTTATTGTTCAATATTACAAATATTATTTGGTTTTCTTTTGCTAACTAGAAGTTTTTAGTTTGCTAATTTATTCCTCAATTATTTCCAAAAACAAATATTAGGCTTTTAAGTACTTCTTAATTAGTGATCCGACCTAAATATTTTGACTGTTTTTATACCAATTTTTGACTGAATTTAAACTTGCAATTTTAAGTACAATCCTTTAAAAACTTAGGTTTAATTTTTTAATTAATCTTTTATATTTTCCCTGCAAATATATCTTTTAATAAGAAACCAACGTTTTCTCAAGGAAAGTAACTGACATGTTCACACGCATATTAAGGAAATATGTCTGGAATTATAAATAATTGAGGCCAATTTGGGTTTTTCCCATTTAAAGTGACTGAAAGCTGTTTTGTGTTCCCAAAATTGAGTTTGCAAAGAGTTTCCCAAAAAATTGATGGACATTTAACAACCTTTTTTGTGTGTGGCCCAAGAGGAACACCCACACGTTGACAAATATATATGCAATTCATAGGCCATATATTACATGTATCCCCAGCCAGTTTCTGCAATGTATTTTTTTTGTTTTGAATACGTAAGGACACGCTTCCCCGCAGGGACTTTTTTTCCAGAATCTCACCTAATGACAGGCCCTGGCTTCCTTTTGGCTCATTGAAAATTATGTGAATTATTTATGAAGCGTAGAAAAATCAGGCACAAGCACAGAAAATTCACTTCATTTGCTTTTTCGTAGGGAAAAAAGATTTGATTTGGACTTCAATCTCGGATTCGAGTTGCTGATAATAAATAACGTTCACTTCACTTGACTTGGCCTCGTCTTGTTTTCTGCTCGATTCTCCCCGAAACCGCAATCAAATTGCATTTAATATTTATTAGAGTTTGTCTTCACTTTTCTGGGTCTGGTTTATTTTTATATTTCGTTGTGGACATGACAGATTTCGAGAAGTAGAGAAAGACTACTACAATAATGTTGGATAAATGAAATAGGAATGATTTAATATTTAATTAGTTTAAACATGCCTCAGGCCACAGTGGGTTATTTATTATTATTAATTGATTTAAGCCCACTTGATGTCTGCAAAAGGCCAAGACAGATTGGCAAATATTTTCATCGAGATATCTGCCCACCTAGTTAAGCCAAGAATTTTCGCCGGGAAAGTCCTTAATTGAGCAAACAACTCATCCGTTCGAAGGGAAAGCCACTTTGAACCAAAAAGTTTCCACAAAAAAATCAGAACGTAACCACAACACAGATCCTGGATACAGAAACTCGATACAACTTCAAGTGCTCCCCTCTCCGGCTCCTTTGGAGGAAGGAAAATCATTTGAAGATGTCTGAAGTTTCAAGTTTTCGCTGACTGACTGACGTAATTTTAATTTGCTCCCTTAAAAATATCATATGACCAGATAAATCACACGGCCAAGGACACGACTATCGTCCTGTCAGACACACATTAATGATGCCCACGCCAGGTCCTGGCTGTCATCTTGGCAAATATTTGCCCAGCGGACCGACATTTGTCCTTAGCTAATTTTAAAGTTCCTTTTGCCGCAAGCCACAAAAAATAATAATAAAAATCCTTAAATGGAAAAGGAATTAAGCCGCTTTGGTGGGATGAAAATTTGGTTTCAGGATTAGGGAAACCCACGTGAAAATTGCATTTTCCCAGCTTGTTCGTTGGCACTTTGCCAGCTCCCAGCGCTTGCAACTTTGCCGTGAGATTAAATTTCCAATTAACATCGGAGCATTATTTATCGGCGGCAATAAAAGTGTCCTGATTATGTTGGCTTTGGGTTCTCTGCTTTAGGCCTTGCTGTCTGTCTGCTTTTGGCCTTTATGATTCCATTTGATCTAGCAGTCACTAGTTTTTTTATTATTTATCACCCAATCACTAGCTGTTTGGTTAATCTACCTAAAATATTTTTATGGGCTCAAAGTTTAACAGAGAGCGACGGCAGAGTGTGTGGGCATTATAATTATCTATATACATAGTTAGTTGCATTAACTTTACCAAGTGTTTTTAAGGGTTTTCGCATGCACTTTGATGCGAAAACAAAACACGGAAGTTAGGCGTCCATTACGATGTAAGTGCTTTTGTTTTTAGAGATAACATAATTAATGGGAATAGATTGGGAATACATTTTGGGAATATATATAGGAAGGTATAAATTTATCAATATAAAATTAACTAAGCAAAATTGTATGTTACAAGATGCTTTGTTTACCCTTTAAATAAAAGCTAATACCTCAGCTCAAAAATCACAAATTCAAATCATATTACCCATTTTCCACTTAATTAAAAACTAATTTCCAACTTAAGCTAGCAAAAAAAAAGAGGCATACAAAAATTGAAAGCCATAAAATAAGATAATTTCGCGCAGCTGTTTGAAATTCAAGAAGGACTAGCTTCTGCTTTCCAGGACCAAGAACTAGGGCAGCTATGTACATTTTATGAGGTGCAGCGACCAAATGAGACAAGTCATTAACATTTACGGCCCACGTCGTTGAGGTCCTTGTCTGAGAGGAGCCAGGATTTTTATGCCATGCCACTCGTTTTACCTGTTGCATGCTGATGGCACTGAAAGTCACACTTGATGACCTCATTTTTACCCCCCAGCAGCTAAACGAATATATCCTGGGGATTTATGCTCCCGTTGGTTGTTTATGTATTCATGTCCTGCGAGGGGGGGGGGGGGAGCGAGAAGGTCCTTTGATTTCACACCCACTTCCAATTACCAATGATGTCATAATTTATGTAATATGAGTAATTGACTGAATATTCTTCTTTATCTATTTATCATTGATGTTGAATATAAACATAAGTTATTTATTTATGGGAAAGTAATGAATATATAGAGGAAAATAGTATATTTTAATATTTATAGAGTGTTGATTGAGTTGTTATAATTATAAGAGATGAAAAGATTCACTTTTTCTGAGTTATATTAATAAATACATTATTTATTTGGTGACTGCTGAGTTGCGGGGAAACTAATTAATTTGAGAATATATTTATGATTAATGAAATGTTTATTTAATTGGATAAGTATTACATTCAGGTGTTTAGAATAAGTAATAATTTGGATGTATATCAATACTGTCTATAAGTTTTTAATAAAGTTAACAAATTCCAAAAAGTGAAGCTCAACGTTCATGGAAAACTATATCTCTAAATCCAATTTCCCATCTCTGAAATCTAAAGTAACAATTAATAATTGACCCCTAAAAAGTCAGAAGCCATATTTCATATTCATTTCACAACGATTACACACAAAACTGAGCTCCAAGTTATAAATCATCCATAAATGTTACTCAATAAATGCTCACATGGTCGAACGGAGACCGCATCAACTCGAATCACGTTTTTTGTCAGCTTCAGATGAAATCAATTAAAGTTTCGCCATTTGCCGGAAGGCCATATGTATGTTATAACCAAAGAATGTTTGTGTGGCTTTGCCACACGTTGCACCATTGCGTTGCATTGTATTATGAATGCCATGATTGCCAGACCGTGTGGCATGGAAATCCTGAGGCAGCTGCGGCATCAGCTGCTGTTCCATATCCGTTTTTAATTGCGGAAATGCACTTAAGCTGGACGAAGATGGTGAGTCCCTCCACTGACACAATGGGGCATGCCGGTCACGTTTGTGGCAACAAGTGGTCTGATATACTCCAAGCTGCCCCACGCAGTTGTTGTATAAAGGAGAAAAAATGGTAATCTGACCTTTAATTAAAAACGAACTTTGAGCCTTTTGTTATTGTTATTATTTCTTTTTGTTAGCCATTGCATTGGCAACTTGACAAGGCTTTGAGCTGTGGGATTAGCTGGTTTTATTTGTTTTTTGTAGTTGCACAAACATTACCATTAAGTGGGGGCTCGGGAAAAGTGCATAACTCGGAATTGTCATGAAATAAATTGAGTTTTAACTGGAAAAATATATACAACGGTAATCTGTTCTTTAACATTTAAATATTATACAGCTTTGAGATATTTTAGGGCTACTTTGAACTGCATAATTACTTGGAATTTTAAACCATTTTCTTATTTAAAAAAATATTTTTTTTTCTCACTTTCAGTCCAAATAAAAGCCTTAGAAAAATGATGAAGTTCGTGCAGATATTATTGTGCTATGGCCTTTTCCTGGCTCTGCTCTTTGCCCTCACCGAGGCACGTCCCTCGACTGGGGAAACAGGACCTGTGAGTATAGTAACCAGAAAAATACCCATAAAGAATCCAGCTTATTGGCTTATCCGATTAAGGACTCCGACGGGTTGGATGGCCAGGAAGCGGAGGATGTTCGCGGTGCCTATGGCGGTGGCTATGACATGCCGGCTCAGGCCATATACCCCAACATACCCATGGATCGGCTTCAGATGCTCTTTGCCCAGTACAGACCCTCGTAAGTTAATGTTTCTCTTAAATTGGTTATATCACAACTAAATCTTTGACTTTGATTAGTAGTTACAGTGCATATTTGCGGAGCCCCACCTATGGCAATATGAATGAGCTTTATAGGTTGCCGGAGACCAAGCGCCAGGTGAGGTACCGGCAGTGCTACTTCAATCCCATCTCCTGCTTTAGGAAGTAAATCCCAGACAGCCTGATGATGAGCATTCCTAGTCTACCAACCAACCAACCAGCCCTTGGATAAATTACAACGTTTCAAGCATTTCAACCCAAAAACCAAAGAGTTAAGCAAACATCTAAATTGAATTTTAGCTAAATGGATCAGCAGAAAATTTAATGGAAATATGTAGTGCAATTAAACTAAAGCTAAGACTCAACCTATATCCGTATGTATTAACAAACAAACAAATATATATATATTACATATTTAAATGTTTCAAAGACGAGAGGGAAAATGCTCCATTGTAGTTTCATAAAAGAAGACACCGAATGAAATGAAGTATTTATTTAAATATTAGCACAAGGAATATATCCTCTTCATTTGATCTTTGTTTCTTGATTTACGCTTCGCATATGGTGTGGTAAAAGAAAATACTTACAATGCTTTTCAAGCTACTTAAATATATATATATAAATATATAATGAAATGTGCTTTTCTTAGTTTAAGTGTCCCAGCTCTTGTATAATAACACGAATGTAATATGGAAAATACCAAATACATGTAATATAAATCTCTAAAATGAAATTATAAATGTATACGTATGAAATAAATGCGCCCAAATGTTAAATAATTATTGTGTTATTTAAACATTTGGCGGGAAAGCAAAGTCTTAGATTTTGTATATTCTTGTTACATGATTTCTATAATGATTCTAAAGATCTTTAACTTATTTTTGATTCCCGAATATCTCTGGAAATTAATCAGTACCCGAATAACTATGATCAGTAAGTATCCATGACCAGTAAGTAACTATAATCGGAAAGTAACTATTATCAGTAAGTAACTATGAGCAGTCAGTATCAATGAACATTAAGTAACTATGATCAGTAAGTTACTATGACCAGTCATTAACTATGACATATAAAAATCAGTAACATCTATCATGCGAATCGGTGGACTATATATGTACATATATATAGCTGCCATATGGACGATCGGACGATTTAAGAAACTATGATCCGAAATTAACTAGACCAGTAATTAACTATGATCAGTAAGTCTATATGAACATTAAGTTACTCTGAACAGTAAGTATCTATGAGCAGGAAGTAACTATGAACTTAGTATCTATGAACAGTGAGTAACTATGATCAGTAAGTATCTATGACAAGTAAGTATCTATGATCATTAATTAACTTTGAACACTAATTAACAATGACTTGCAACTTTTGTAACACAAAACATATCTGAGGCTTGGCCGACAGCAGTCACTTGGTTCGGGGATGTTAGAAACAGTTGGGAATCATATGTGCAGATGTGCGAGATTTGTTTTGGAGCAAATTCAAGCTATTTATAATTTTAATTTTACTAGTATATAATCAGAGCATGGCGAATTCGAATATACATATATATAGCCTCCATAGGAACGATCGGAAAATTTCAGGAAAAGAAATTATAACCTTTCGAGTTTTTAACAGATTTTTATCAAATTTGATAAACATTTTTGAATTTTATGAAAATCGGACTACTATATATAAAACAAACAATAGTTAAAAACTACTTATTAAAAAGTCTCGTGAATTTGTTTTAAAAATGATTTATTAGAGTAAATTATTCTTAAAGATCTATTACATTTTGATATGTAGGCGATCTGAGTTTTTTTGGTTGTTTTAAGAACAGTTTTCAGTTTTTGCTTAGCAATAGTTACAATGATCAATTGCTTTAATACGTTATTATAATGTGTCCTTCAATTTATAATATTTAAATATTTTCTATTGCCTCTAAGGCAGTATCCTTATTATCCATGTTTTAGTTTTTCCAAAAAATCCTTTGATCTCTGATTCCGTTATCACTGTTTGGAAATATCCTTTCGAGAATATCACATGTTCCTGTTTCCACAACTTAGATTTGCAAACGTCTCTTCTCCAGATGCTTGGATTGACATTTTCCTGTGCGTTGTTCCATTTTGATGACCAGACGATCCGGTGTGGATATCTTGTAGCCATGACACCGCCGAAGGCGCTCCTCGATCTTCAGCGAGGTGGCCACCATGAAAACGGAGAAGACCAAAGCGATTAGGTAGCGAACAATTAGCATATTGTGACAAATCGCGACTGCGTCGATACCAGGCTGCAGTCCATGGTTTTATAGCTCCTGAAAATCACCGAAGATCCTTACCTGAAGCCATCGAGAGGGTTCCACAACATTCCTCTGACGGATTAAGGATACGAATTTTTATGACCGCGACCATACAACGCTAATCCATTCGGCAATTTCCACTTCCTCCACGGATCCTAGGCGGATCTACAGATTGAACCTCGCGATCCCTAGCCAAAATACACGAAGGGAAAACTAATTGCCGTGCCTGATGACTGGAAGTTCCGAGAAGAGAGAAAGAGCACCACCACATCGACCTACCAGCAGCCAGCGAGCCTTTATGATCCCAGGCCAGCAGCATCTCCGCCATTAGACATTTTAATTGTTAATTTTTGCAAAAACCCAAGTCTGCCGCCAGAGGAGGGGAACGAAGAAGAAATTTAAATAATGGCCGAGCTGCAGGCATCCAGGAATCCAATGGCTACCTGCATTTATTATCTCTGCCATGGTTCCTCCTCGTCCTCGTCCTCATCCTCATCCTCCTCCTCGTCCTCCTCTCGGCCGGTTGATCTACTCGGGCCGAGTGCCATCAACGTGAAAACAAGTGGCAACAATTTTCTATAAATTGCATTTGTGCAAAATTAAGTTCAATCTTGGCCAAGTCGCGAACCAGTAGCTGTATCTCTTTTGGCTTGCATCCGCTTGCCGGCAACAAATATACTCTGCCCATCCCGAATCCCGATCCCGATCCCGATTCCGCATCCCCCTCCCAATCCCAAATCCCTCCCCCTTTGGCCGTCCCAGCTGGTTTCTCGCTGTTGGAGTAGCCAAACTCCATTAACTTTGCAATTGGCCACCATAACTCGTCGTCCGCCGGTCGACCGGCATCCTCTCGCGTCACCTTGCCTTGCCTTGCCACAAGGCCCATCCATCGCCACCAGATCCCCTGCTCCCCTTTCCCTTTCGCCTTTGCACATCCCACTGGCCACATCCCACAGAGCACTGTGCAGTGAGCACCATTCCATTCCAGGCCACTCCACTTCGCTCCAAGTCCAGTCCACTCCAGTGCCGGGGCCCCATCGCTTGTTAGTTTTTGCGCCAGATCGTTTATAATAATTCGTATGCGAGTCATGTCATGCCCCTAAAGTGTATCTGCAACCGCGCAGTCGCAACAGCAGCAGCCGCAGCAGCAGCAGCAGCAGCCTCGGTCGCCTCGCATATCTGTATCTAGTGGTGCCTCTTGCTGTTGGAGATGGTCTCGTGACACGATCAGCAGCTACAAAAATATAATTATTAAGATATTTTTACTGATGGTTAAGATAGATTAAGTTTTTAGATGTATTAAACTTATGAAGTGTATTTTTTGTACCTAGTTTTTGGACTTTTAATAAGTATTACGAAACACACTGATTAGAGGTCAAACAAACGACTTGATCTCGAGTCTGGAGATTCTGGAATATTCACTTATAAACAATATGTAAATTCAATTCAGAATATTTATTTTTCTATATGTAGATACTATAGTAGCGTTCTTCTGTTTTATTACAGGTATAATTATATAATTTCTCCTGAGAGTAACCTGAGACTTGGTAAGTATGAAGGATTTAATAAGACAATTTTTCGGCCATTAGTTTGAGCTTTGTCCATACTTGAAGCTATGGTAATAATATAATTTTCTTTTCGGGATTTAAGTTATAGTTCTATAAGTTATAGTTCAGTATATGAAAGATTATTGTCAAATCAATAGGCGAAGTGTTTGTCAAAATTTCATGGCAGCGTAAACATATTTATAAGAATGTGATTTATTTTATAATTTAATTTATTTTGTAATTCAAAATAAGGTAACTTCAAGCAAATCAATATCCGAACTAATTTATTCTCGCTTTCAACATACGGATTGCTTTTTTTTAAATAATTAAATGTTTATACAATGTATATTTATTTATTATTCAAAATCATTTGAAATAAGAGCCATCATTTCTTCTTTTGGTATAATTGTTTGTTCGATAAAAATAATATTGAATGATAATAATACATTTTTAAATTATAACATATTTTTTAGGTATATATTTAATATAAACAAATATGTTTCATGTGCATGTAATTAGCAATACATAGAAGTTACGATCTACGATCAGTTTAAAGAACCCATGTCATGTCTTTTATACTTTCGTTTTAATATTCTACCATTTAGAATGTTCGTTTTACCATTTTTTTAACACCATAGTTCTGCACTTTTCACATCCTCCCAATCACACAAATAACGCTCATCTCTGGCCAATGGATTGGCAAACTCTTGGTGCCTCGCTTGGCCGATCTGGTCAACTATGCAACCGGCAGGCAGCAGCGCCTTGTGGCTCGAACTTGACTTCACCTGGCTTGATCTTGCGCCCGTTTCTTAGCCGCATTGCTCTGGGTCGCCACCGGTTGGCTCTTTCTCCAACTCCATCCAATCCATCTCCAGCTCCATCTCTCCGGCTGCCTGGCAACCACCTCCCGGATCTCCACCTCATGGTCGTTGTCATACCACTTTATCCGCGGCGCTTTGTGGCTGGTCATCTAGTTGCTGTTCTATTGGCAAAAAGGAAGTTAGAAAAATGCTCTGGATTCATGGATTCAATGCCTCTCTTAAGTGAATTGTGCTGGATGCCAGCTGGGCTTGGATATCGGCATCCTGACCAGGGAGCATGAAATGCATAGATTTGTTAAGGTCCATAGTTAGGGAGCTTTATGGAAGAATCTATGTTGAATTAAGTTGACAACAGTGAAAGTTTGATATTAAGGAAGGTTTAATGAGATATTTGTGTCCCCTGTAATAGAAATTTATTTAAATTGAACATATTTAGATAACAAAATAAAGCAATTTCCCAAACATCTCAATTCTTTGCTCAAATCTTCATCAAACATATTTGGTCATCATAAAACACTTTAGAAACTGATTTAATTTTTGGCTTTTGTGGCAAACGATCGTGGATCTTAGTATTTTCAATGCCCCAAAACATTAGTTGCCACAAAAGGGCAGAGGCAACAACAGAATCGAGAGAAATATGAAATTCCTAATGCACTGCAAGGAAATGTTAAATAATAACTTAAACCTCTTAAATACAAGAGCTTTACTGCCACTCCAGTAGCCAAAATATTTAGTAATACTCAAAGTAATTACATATTCTTAAATCTAGAACCCATTTATTATAATTCCTATGGTTTTCAAGATCATAATTGTATGCTTGCTTTTGTAAATCATTAATAAATACAGTTTTCTTAGCGTGTGATCCAATTGCCTCTCGAACTCCCAACGTAACCGGTAGTCGGTGTCGTGGCTCTTTGGCTCGCATTCACATTCAGTGGCCAGAGGCACTTCTCCACTTGGTCGTGGCCCAAACCGAGCCGCCTTGACCATCGCCAACGTCGTCGTCGTCGTCGTCACCATGTCGTCGGACTCTTGGACAATGTTGCTATGTTGCTCTTATTCCAGAACATGACCAGCGTCCAATGGGAGGCCACGGAGGAATGCCTTAATTCAGGAATTTAATGAAAAATGCTCTATGAAGCGGTGCAGCAAATTAAAAACAGAACAAAAAAAATAAATAAATAAGGAGAAGCAACCAGAACAGAAGCCATCGGTGAGGAGTGCACATGGGGGGAATGGGAACAAAAAGGTTAAAATTAAAATCTCCACTCACTTGTTCTTCTTCTCAGCTAAGCACTTCTTTCATATACCCTTTAGAGGATTGAAAATGATCTAAGGTTAAATAGGTTGATAAATATAGATAAGCCCACATATGTATATCGATTCAAAAAATGTAAATATTTAAAGCTTAGTTATGATCGACTTCCAATACGATCCTATAATTTAGTTACTGCAAGGGTATATAAACTATTGCTTCCCAAAAGTAATTTTTCTTTTTGTATATATTAATTTTAAATTCTTCAAAAAGTAGGAGCCATTATTTCTAAATAAAGGATCACGTAGCCTGAAGTTAGTATCCTTTCTCCTTAAACATATTATTTTGTAATTCGTCAAATGAAGGATCATACATATATCTGATGGTAACTTACTATTGAACAGTTTTTAAACGCTTTTATATATTATTATGATTTTTAAATTTTACAAAAATCAAATAAGACATTCATTTAGCTAGGTTAGTATAAAGAACAATCCCTTGTAAGCCTCCTATCTTCAGAATATCCTTTCCCAAAAAGAGGGTATATCAAGAGCGATGCCTCCTGGCTTGGATTTCAATCCCGGCACAATTCGCTGGCTGTGAGCTGTGTGAGAGCTGTGAGAGCGGTGTGAGATCGGTGGCAGGTGATGCCGATGCCAAAGCCACTTCCCCTGGAACCACCACCACCACCGTCACCACCAGCACCACCAGCACCACCACCACCTTAGCCACTGCCGATGCCGTTCAACTTTGAGGTTGAGTGGCTCTTGATGCGACCGACCAAAGTTGACCACCAGTTCCAGTTGGTGTGTGCGGAGTGTGTGCGGAGTGTGCAAAGTGTGTGTGCGGAGTGGTCGCTGCTCTCTGCGTTGAGCGTTGTAAATTACATTTTCCAAATGCTTTTGCCATGTCGGACCAAAAAGCCATGTACATATGTGGCATAAAGGAGCGGCCGTTGCTTTTGGCTCCGCTTCCGTTTTGATTTGGAACACTTGTTGCACTCGCCCCGCAACCTTATGGATTTGTCCACTGGCCAGAGGAACAAGCTGGAAACATTCGCTCCTTGGGGATATGTGCACTGCACAGATACTCGCACAGCACCGATGTTTCTACATGGATTCCAACATGGCATTTGGGATGCTCCTCTTCTCAATTCGATTCGTTTTTTTGTTCCTTTTCTTTTTTTTTTTGTAGACTTTGTTTTGTTTGTTGCGTATTTAAGCATTATGTTGTTGTCCAGGGATTGGGAGTGTAGCCATTGCCGTTGATTATGTTGTTGTAGTTTGTCCAGATTGTTGTTGATTCGAGTGTTGATTGTTGTTAGCGGAATGGGTGAAGATGTGGCAGTGACTCGATTAGCCGAATGGCAAATCCATTGGGAGATATGACCAGGAAAGGAGGAAATAAAATTATAAATAAATACATATGTACTCTTTTGATGTATTTAAAAAAACAATACTATTTTTTAGGCATTACTTTTATTTCCAATCATAGAATTCCTCAACTTAAAATACATGTTTCAAGGTTTACAATTAAATTATATTTAATTCACTCACAAAAAAAGGAAAATTTAAGCTGCATTAAGTAATCATGAATTAATTGAATTAAATCCCTTAATAAAATGACTCTGGTTCCAGGATCTCATAGGTGGACATTGGCATCACATCGTTACCAAAATAGTTGGCTCCACCCGGAGCAATCTCTGGCTGCGGCATATTGTAGAAACGCTCAAGGAAGGGACTCCGGTTCGTCATCATCTTTCGCTTTAGGAAGAAGTGCCTCTTGGATGGTTTCCTCATGGGTGAGATCTGGTCCAGGATCTCATTGCTCAATCGTCGTTCCGCTGGCAAGGAGGTCACCTCGTTGTACATCGAGGATCGGGATCGAGGCCTTGCCCAAGCGATGAGTATCAAACAGGCCACAACCAGGATAATGAGAGCAAGTTTCGAGCTGCACATCTTGACTGCTTGGCAGTTGGTATCAAAGTATGTCGAAGGAGTGAAGGATTGGCAATTTATAGGACCTTCAGGTAGTCCTAGGGAGTGAACCCTAACTACTTTCTAATGAGGCTGTAACGCCATATGTCACTAACTCCGAACTACCTGGGAAATGCCTTAATTTTATGGCCAAGAAATGTAAGAACTGTCTAGGGGTTTTTATGATGTTTCGCAGGTAAATAGTATAGTTGTTATAAAACAGTTTAATAATTTAAAGTAAACATCAAGTAAGTAGCATTTTATTATAAAACAAAATGAAATTCAAGTAAAGGATGAACATTTTCAAAGATATACTTATTCTTTGAGGTTTAATAAAACTAAAAATTACTTAAAAACTAACAATTGATTATTTAATCAGAAAAACTATTATTAAAAGACTTTACATCATAAATAGTTGCAAATGATCTACCGCGACATCTTTGATTTAAATAAGCAAGATTCTGGGGCTTATAGAAGGAACCCAAGTAAGTACTTTAAATCCATCAAAATCCCAGGCTTTTGCTTTGACCATTCCACTTTGGGGCCATCACTTAACCCATCCACCTCATCAATCTCTGGACATTCGGCTAACTATCCGCCAGGCAAAGCAATCCGGCCGGGACGGAGTCACTTAGAGGCCCCTTTCGGTCGGCGACTCCACTTCCACTCGAGGAGGCATCAAGATCGGCTGGGATTGCCACTGCCATTGCGATGCCATTTCATGTTAATCAAACAACGAAATCCATCAACAGGTGACACACACACCGCCGCTTGGAGCGGGCCAGGTGGGCGGTGGTGGCAGAGGAGGAGCAGGAGGAGCAGGAACAGGAGCAGGCGGTGGGTAGCCGCGACATCCAACCGACATGTCCGTGCGATAATGGTGCTGGTACTCCTTCTCCTCCCGATCCTCATGCGAGTATCTAAAACAACTTCATTCACAAAAATCAGAACAGCAAAAGAAAACATAAAAAACAAATATAAAAAATAAGAAATAAGACAGAAGCAAAGTAGCAGAGCGAAAAGGAAGCTGGGCCATTAAAAATATCTTGTGGATGCCAAAGCGAGGCAGATAGCAGCCGCCAAGAGATGCAACCACTTGGTAGCATCATCATCATCATCATCAGAAGCAGCAGCAGCAGCAGCAGCAGCAGCATCTACTTTGGCCTTAACTTTAGCTGCGGCTTTAAGCCACGGCTTAGCTCCCGGGGGCAACTGCACCTGCGGGGGCGGTGCCGTGAGGGAAAGGGGCGGGACAGGTCGCCGGACGGTGGCTGATTTGGTCGTTGGATGGTGCCAGGAGGTAGTCAGGGGGCAGGTGGCAGAGGCATCAGCCAGGGAATAGCCAAGAAACATACGCCTAATGCCACAGTCATCGACATCCGCCATTTAGTTAATTAACCCCTTGGCAACCCAATGGGGTTGGGATTATTTCAAAGAAAAGAAGAAAGTCGGGAAAAATTTCACAAGAAAGGGATGATGTATAAAAATATTTTCTAATAATAAAATGTTATAATTTTTAACTAGAATTTATAAATGAGAAAAATTTAAGTCATAATATGTTTAATTTTAAAAGGTTAAAGTGTTTGTTATATATGAAATATTTAAAGGCTTTACACATTTACAAAAAAAAACATTGCATTAACGCCTTCCTGAAATAATATATAAATACTATACCATTAAATTCAACAGGTACAATATATCCCTAAGGAATGAAAATATATAACTATAACATTAATTCAACAGGTACAATATATCCCCAAGGAATCAGAATATTGTACTATTGAATTAATGTTATAGTTTTTATATATTTATTTCATGTCAGTTAAATATATGCCCAATAATTAGAACAATAAAACAATAGTCTTAAATTACCTATACCTATACAAAAGTTCTAGAAATATTACATAATATAAACATATACCCATGATCAATGATTTATATTATTTAACTATTTACCATAGATATATCATACTCAAAGTGTAAGTAAGTACCACTTAACCCACCTCAATCACCAATGGGTTAAATCCATCTCCCGGCACATTTGCCTCTTTTTCGCTCACTTATTTCTCGGGCTTCTGACGCAGTTGCGCAGTCTCAACTGTCTACATTTGTCGGCCTGCCTCCTCGCTTTCCCACCTCCAATCCTCCGGCCGGCAATCTTCTCCAGCTGCCGCATCAGCCTCTCCTTCGCCTTGTTCTTCTCCAGTCGATTGGATGTCCAGCTTTCAATTTGCAACATAAAGCATCTTCATCGTGGGCCGCATGAATGGGCAGAGCTGCCAGGCGGCGGATGGGAGGAGGGGAGCCACCATCCATGGGTGTGGGCTGGGAGCTGGTTCTGTGCCGCCTTCTTCTCCCCCTCCTCATCCTCCTCCCCCTGCTGCACCTCCTCTTCGACTGCCACCAGATCCGGCATTGACGGTAGGCACTCAGGCGTGCCCTGGCGGTAGTCGCTGACCTTTATTGATTGCTGTTTGACCTCGCCAGCTTTTGCTGTTGCTGTTTTCTGCTGTTACTGTTGCATCTCCTAACCATTTGTACTTGGCCGATCGCCGGCACAGATTGCACTTGGCCAGCACACGGGGGGAGGGAGGGGTAAACTATAGTGCTCAGTAGGGGTGGGGGGAGGAAAGTGGTCGGGGAGCGGTAAGGTACACACGCCCACAGCGCTATATGCTTTGTCGTTTTGCTTTCTGGCCTTTTGTGTAGCCTTCATTGTTGTTACCAATTTCGCTATTTCGATGCACTCTAAGAAGTTATATATAAATAGGAAATACTGTGAAACTAAACTAAAAAAAAAAAAAAAAAAAAAAAAAAAAAAAAAAAAAAAAAAAAAAATACTGTGAACTAAACTAAACTATTCATTTTATTAACAAAATTATTTTAAAGGTATAGTTGTTAATAATAATTAAATAAAAGATCAGTTATAAAGATGATATAGTTTAGGTAAATACTTATTATAATGCGTCTATATTTATTACCATTTCTCTTGTCAATTTAAGATAGTTTATCTATAAATAATGTATATAAAATATAAACAAATACATATATTTATTAATATATTAAAGTGTAAGGCAATTTACCTTTGAAGTTATAGATATTACTTGAAAATTCACTTCGAATTACATTTATTTTGCTTTCCAACGCGTTATTGTTTCGTTTTTTTTTTTTATAAAAATCAGGGATGTCCTTACTTCCCATTTGTTTTCAGTATAAAGAATAGTATTATTAAGAAAACCATTTAGTTTAAGGCTTTAAATACTTCATTTGAAAATAGTTTTATTATAATGTTATTATACATATATATTGATATTATTATAAAAGATTTTGAAAACTATTTTCGGTTGTTTCCATTTTTCTCTCTCTGCTCGTCTGTATTATTTCTTGTTATTGTTGCTCCATTACCTCGTTCATGGCAGTTAATTTATATTCGATGCATCTCTCTATCCTTTTCGTTGAACTGAGCTTTTTTTCACTATTATTTTTTTTCCTTTCCAACTTCCTTTTTGATGTGGCTTGGGAGTTGTTGTTGTTGCTGCTGCTGCTGCTACTACTGGTGGCGTTGCCGAAGGTCGACGTCAGTCCTCGTCTTTTTCCACCTCTTCCTCTTCGTCTTCGTCTTCTTTGGTTCGGTCGTCATTGACGCCTTTCTTTGTACTTAGTCTTCCATTTGCCATTTTGCCATGCAAAAACCGAAAGACAAAGGCAGGGCGAAAATAAACAAGTCAGAAAGTGCAAGGAGGGTAAGTGTTACGACTATTAAATACCTGGTAATTAATATGAATATACATTAATATTGTTAAAATAGCAATAAGGTCTTAATAGAACAGTCTTCAGGAATATTAAGTATACGCCCCATTAACTGTTTTGATCATTTTGGAATCCCTTAACTATAATTAAATCATATTGTACGAATTTCAATTACTTATTTTATATGTATTTCATAAAATTTAAATTCTGTGTTAAATAAAAAGCATTAACACAGTAAATATTTTTAAACTAATAAAGGAAATTCTCATGAATCATGAATTCTTTTTGGTAATTTGATCATATTAAATAAATTTGATCAAAGATTTAATTAATTCTTCAGAATTTATCTTTGATGTTATATTAATGAAACTATCTTAAGTAATATAATATAAAATATTTAAATGATAATACCCAGTAACCCTTTAATTACACGGTACTAAAACCCAGCACACTTTGGAAGCCCCGCATTGTTTGGCTTCTATCGTGTAGTTTGTTTTGTTTGACAGTTTCTATCTGGAGGGGCTATCAAGAGTCAGAGTTGGGAGCTCCAGCTGGAGTTTGGGGTTGGGAGTTGGAGTTGGAACCCTGGGTTGGAGCTAGATCTGGAGTCGGGAGGAGTAGGAGTCAGATGCAGCAGCAGCAGCCGCAGCAGCCGCAGACTGTCGTTTTGTTTGCTTAATTGTTTGGTTTTCTCCCGTTTTCGAACGAAGGTGGAGGTGAAGCCCCCTTTGGGCAGGGAAAATCGTTCGGTTCATTTTTCGGTGGGGGAGATATTTTCCAGGGAAATAAATTAGCTGATTGAGGATAACCGTAGTACTGGGGGATGGGGGTTCGGGATCAAATGGCGGATGGAATGGCGAATGCAAATGCAATGTACAAGTGAATTATCACCTCATGCATTGTGTCTCTTCGTGGATATGAGATATGTATATCTTCATCTGGTCGGCTTAATGGGGGGTGGGGGGAGGGAACTGGAAAGAGCTGCTTGGATCCCATTGAGGACACGATTCGGTCTTGTTCTAATCATATACCATATCATTATTTAAAGCGCATTTTAATCTTCTTCCGCTGGAATGAATCTACTAAAAACTATAATTACACTGGGTAACAAATGCTGAGTACATAAATTATAACTTTTATACATTAAATGAGGTTTACTACGTTAAAGATTTGAATACCTTTATAATATAGAAAAACCCAAGTCAATATCAGCAATTAAAACAATTAAAAAC